ATCTACAAACCCAGGCAACTTCACCCACGTCCGCAAAGATGCCACCTTTAATCACGTCTTTCTTCTATTTTATTCAGTTATTGAAGAATGCTTCCTTTGCTGATTCCGTTCTTGAATCTATTGCCCCGGATGGCACCAATGAACTGCGTTCTCCTACGGGGTTATGCGACCAGAGCCGGGTTGTTAGATGGCCATGGTCAAGGAAAAATAAGTTTGATGATACGGTTGTCCTATCGAACATGAAAGCGAGCAGTGGCTCCATCTTCTGCTCAAAAAGATACGGGAGGAGCCAGGAAAGGACAGAAACATTAAAGGAGGCGAATGACACGCGCAAAATAAAAAAAGAGGCCGGTATGAATCCTGTTGCCGCCTTATTGGGATTCCTCCTTAAAATAAAAGGGAAATGCGGACTACGCGAGTAAAGAAAGAGAGCCCTTCTAGTATGGAAACATTAAAGGTGAATCATTTTAAGGCGGCGATGATTAGAAAAAAAGGCCTTTGTGGATGTGGTTTTTAACAACGGTGGATAGCCCGGTTTCAACACAGCGCCTCTTGAACCTCTTTTCAGAGGCTGGATGGATGTGAGCGAACGCAACTTGCCCTCCGCCTTCCGATTCGCTTAATTCTACCAGTCCCAGCATCTGTCCTTGTAGTCCGCTGACGTAGCGATGACCAGTTCTATGAGCTTTATGAGAATCAATGTATGCCAACAAGAGGTCCTCTTTATCCCTGCCTCATAACCACTTGCTTACATGAGCAACCGCCGCATGCGCCCAACATAGTCGCCTTGCGAAACGGTAGTCTGAGATAGTGCGCGAAGGGTTCCTGCCCTGATGCCATATATCCGTAGATTCGTAGATTACGCGTCGAAATTGCTGGACTTCTTATAACGCACGCCAGTTGTCCATTATTGTATCGTCTGTACGTTGCTCGTAGGAACCTTCCCTAGACAAGAATGAAGTGCCAGTCAAGATGGTAGTACAACATATGTTGTAAGTTGTTCCACGTGGTCTATGCTCTGGTCCTAATGCAACTAGTACCTTTCACTCGTAATGGACAGTGCGCAGAAAGCACGCGTGCACTTTACTATCATGAAGGGCGCCCGTCATTGGCTGAAGTTTGAGCAGTTTTCCTGATGGCTTGGTTGTTGACATTTTTTTTTTTTTATGCCTCGCCATGCTGCTTTGCCAACCTGCTCACCCTTGCACTTCACACTTACACCTCGTACATCGCATCAGTCACTTCCTTCGCCATCGTCCGCTACTTCTGAGCCCTTTCTCTACGTCCTCCTGCTCTACTCTATCCACAGCTATTTGCACTTATCCCTGCACTTCTCACCTTTGCCCTTACCATATCTTTTACTACCTACCAACATGATGCACACAGCAGCTATCGGAAGCTTTCCCAAGGACTTGTCCTTCACCAACACCAGCCATGCCTACCCTTCGCCCTCCCTCTCGCCTGTAACCACCTTCCGCACCACCATGGACTCCGTCTCGGCCGACAGTCAACGAGCGTCGTCTATCAAGAGCCTGATGGTCTCAATCCAACCCCCCGCCTCGCCACTCGACGCACTCGTTCTGGCACTTGAGGCCACTGTAGAGGAGATGAAGGAATGTAATGATCAGGACCAGCCATTTCGTGCATTGTCTACCTTGCAGGAGCAGGATGATGAAGAGGACCCTAATGCAACTGTGCCATCTTCGCCGACGTTCTTCATGAAAAAGTCCTCGACGCTGCCCTCGTTGCACCAGCTGCCGAGCTTGGTGCTGCCTGAAGCAGCCACCTCGTCTCTACTGTCACTACCCTCTTCAGCTGACACTGTAGCTCCTATCCCTCCTGCAACCTTCAACTCACATTCCCCCTCCAGCTCTTCCGGACTGACGCCAAGCACCCATCCTGGACAGACCGCCAGCCGTCGCAAGATGTCTATTTGCAGCCAAGGGTCGATGGATTCATTGTCCTCGGCCAATTCGAGCGGAGAGCGCATCGAAACGCTCGTCTGCTCTGTCAGGAACTGCTCAAAGAAGTTTTATCAGGTCGCTCACCTGCGCATCCATGAGCGGTAAGTTTCTTCGTTCTATTCCCAGCATTACCCACATACGTTGCTGGACTAAACCAGATTACAGAATTTTTGTTCTATACCTCAAGAAATATCTAATTGGGCCTAATATGCCTGGTCTATGCTCAATGCTAAATAGGTGCCACACTGGGACGCGTCCTTTTGTAAGTCCCTCTCCCTACGTCTCTGGCCTATTCGTCGTGCTTTCTGTTCCTATGTTTCCTTCCTTCTGTACTCTGCTGCAAAGATTGAAATTCTGGACATGAAAATGGAGCGAAGAGAGAGAAAAGGACATGGGGCCCATTTTCGCCATGACGGAACTTTGGAATCAAAGACACCTACGATCGAAAGGGGAGACTTGGCTTATTTTGGATGCACGCAACAACGGCGCCAGTACGCGAACCTCACTGGTCCACTTGTTTTTGGCCGCACTTGTCCTGATAAAGAAGCATACTCCCGACCAGTGAGCCCGCCTGGCGCCTAAGCCCGACAGATGGACGGATGATATCTTTTTTTTCGCGAAAAAAGATCATGTCAAGCGCGTCTTGATCTCTTTCCCAAGGCCGGTGAAGGAGCCCTCCACTCTTTCAGTAGGGTGAAATGAGCACAATCTGCTTATGCCCCCCAGACGATGTGAAGCCAGTCTCCCGCTCTGCTAGCCCAGTAGCCATTGCGCCTACTGATTCCTAAGTATCCCTGGTTTGCGAGATGTGATGAGAAAAAGGAGGCCCCGAATTTGACGGACACTTGACAGCTCTTTTCTGGCCATTATTTCTATCGTTTGGGTTTGCACTTCAACGATCTCCTCTTTCCTTTTATTTCATTATACATGGGATGCTTTACATTACACTTTTGTTCTTTCTTCATTCCCACGTTTAATTTTCTTGATGAATGCATGGAATTTGAGGAGCTTCTGCTCGCGAGCACCACAGCATGTTTACCACACTACATCGACCGTGATGAAAAGTTGGTACAACCGTCAGCGCGAGCACAGCATTTACTCAAAACCTTGGGAGCGTTAGAAAGGAAGAACGATTATGAAGAGAAGATTAAGAAGGACGAGAGATAAACAAGAAGAAGAGCTAATGGAAAGGTGCAGGATGAGTGCGTCTCATGATGCACTTATCGATCTCACTTTGATATATGCTCCACTTTTATGTCCTCTCTTCTTTCTATCATTCTCGAGTTGTTTTTTTGATTCCTCTCAAGAAATGTTTGACGAACGTATTCAGATTTTGACGACTCACGGTCTTTTCCTCTCTCTACTTTTTCCAATATTGGAAAACAACCATTGGGATTTGCTTGTTCCATAATTTTGTCCGCATCCTTTATTGCTGTTGGGGAACTTGCGTTTTGCTTCTGGCCTTGCTATCTGCTGTTGGCTTGTGACCCTATTGCACCCGATTTGATATTTTGGCTGGTTGGGGCTGTTGGTTCTCTGCGCTGTCGCTTTGTGTGCAAACCCACACAACTCTTGTGCTTTGTTACCTCATATCTTGGCCTCCTTTCAACCATGTCACCAAACCACCTGCACTGGTGTACTGGTATTGCGTGGATGGTTCCTCGGTGATGGGCTGCTGGCTGCATTGGACGGGTACATGTCTCTGTTTGCTTGGTATGGTCTGTTTTATGTTATCTAGGTCTGCCGATATGATGGATGCGAACGATCCTTTACACAACTCGGAAATCTGAAGGTATGATCTTTCAAATCGGCTGCAAAGAAAAGCGGCAGCGAACACCATTGTGCAGTTGTATTGACCAATTGAGGCTGGCTTCGATTAGACCCACGAGCGAAAGCACACAGGCGAGCGACCATTCAAGTGCCCTTACCCCGGATGCGACAAGACCTTTACCCAGCTTGGCAATCTCAAGACACACGAACGCATTCATGACGAAGTCAAGCCTTTCATGTGCCGCCTTACTGGATGCGGCAAGACCTTTAGCCAACTCGGAAATTTGAAGGTAAGCACTGCTTTATGAACAGCTCTAAAAAAAGGTTTACTATTCTTTGCTCATTGGCTGTTCTTTTTATCTTATTCGTCTTTTTCGTCTTTTATGCTTGATAGACGCACACGGCCAAGATGCACCCTGACATGAGTATCAGCGATGAGGAAATGGCTATCAAAAGCGCCACGAGCCCTTCTCACTCTGCGCAGGACCGTACCGAACGCTCTACACAGACACATCGGATCAAAGAACAAGGACATCGACAAGTAATCGCTTACTTCAACCCGTATCAACGTCGTCCCATCCATCCTCAACGTTCAGAAAGGGACGTGTTGATCAAAGACATCAGTACGATACTTCAGCACCAGGAGCGTGCTCTTGATCTGGCGCTGGGAAGCGAGTTATCAGACGATATGGAGGAGTAGAGTCGGCCAGGACCAGTGATTTTTTCTTAGCTGTTCTCGTTTTATTGCGCTTCCCTTCTGTTGTTCATATTTACCCTGTATTGTACTTGTAGTTATGCATATTGCTTCGTTCTTTCCTCTCATATTCCGCACCCCCTTCCTGTAAACCATCCAATAAATGTAGCGTGACTGTTCAGATTAAAATGAAAACACTTAAGAAAAAGAAAAGACAAGAAGGCACTCTTGCTTCATTCCACCAAACGACAATGATACCATGCACCGACGCTATCGACACGGTGTAGCTGCTGCACCACTGGCGTGGCCTGGCAGGAACGAACAGCATGCAGGAATACTCGATTTTGGCATCCTTGGTGGGGCCTCATTTGACCCGCACAAGCAGAGCTGGGCCTTTGCACGAGAAATGGAAGGTTCGCACATTATACAACGATTCGTCTTTCACCTTATAAGCGAGCAGTACCTACCAGCAAAGCGCAGACATGCTTGTATTGCGTCCTGTCGTACAAAGCTAGTGTGAGTAGAAGAATCGAAACTAACCGGGATCTATCATTAATTATTCTCCAGAGTTTGTTTATTGCCGGGCTTCGCCTTTGACACAAATGCTACCACGAGCACGACGATGGGAACCTAGGGAGGCAGAGAGATGGCCGCAGGAACGCACAATGATGTCGATTCCCAATGATTTTAGCCGGTCCAACGCCAACGTATGTATCTTCATCCGGTTATGCTGCACTGGTGCTCGTAGCTCAATAGCTAATTTTTTTCTTTTCGCTCGAGTAGGTCCGATACCTGGAGTCTGAGATGATGGGTGACGAGACCTTTACTTATATCCCCCTCCTCGAGGAAATCATCTCAGAGTCGCAATACCATGAGTACAGTTTGTCATACTACGATCCGTTCGTGGGTAATCTTTGCGCTGCAGGAATGTTTGTGGGAGTGCCTGTGATCGCAGCACCACATGGACCTAGAGGAGCCGATCTGGCGATTTCACTCATCCAACACAAACCGAAACAGCAGCCTCCGTACAACATTCTTGCGCCACGATCAGCTCTGGCCTCTTTTCCCTCACCAATCTGCCAGATCGCCACGCCCGCCCCCCAAATACAAGCATCAGAACTTGATGGTACGTCTATATTACGTCGCACGCAGTGTGAGAACTTTTCTGGGCAGAAAGCAGGAGCGTACTATACTCAACAATATTCACGTAAGAATTGCATTGCAATACCCCTTCACCATCATGAATAGAGCAAATTTTGGTCCGCACAATGGAGTCGGTCACCATCTTTGCAGCATCACCTAACGTACCTAGAGCAATCTCCAGGATGGAATCCAGCTTCGTGGACATCATTGCTCAAATACCCGCTACTCCGCCTCAATGTACAGATGTGACGATCCATGCAGCCATATCTCCATTTTCACCAAATATATATGCACTGATTGGCGATCGCGGGCGGGTCGCACTTTGGACGCGACCCATGGTATCGTCTTCCATGTCAAGTCATACTGATGAAGACGATAGTGACAACGGCGATGGAGCACATCGGCGACAACATAGTAAGGGGTTCAGGAGGAGGATAAGTCAGGACTTTTCTGGAGCTAGCCTACAGATTGAGACTTCAAAGTTTTCAGCATCGGCGGGGACATCCGAGGTTTTGGTCGTCAGGAAAGAGGATGCGAAGAGGAATGACGACCCTTGGAGGACTTGTACATGGGGCGTTCATCCCAACCAGTTGATCGTCGCATCGAGGGGCAGCATGGACTTGGTTGACCTCAGGGTATGTGTCAGACGGTTGGGAAATGACAAAGCGAACTAATCGTCAGCCTATGGATATCCAACATGAAAGGGCACGACTAACTGATTTCCACTTTATCTTCGAATTAGACTAAAGCTGTCCAGACATGTCTTTTCGAGCCGAGGAATAGAGAAACCATTCGGGCTATTCAGGAGGATGCCAAGCTTCTTCTGGCACCATTTCAGACCTATATCGCCACTTCACACCAAATTGCATGTATTGACCAGCGATTCGCAAAGAGACCCGTTATGTCCTGGGCACATCAGATGGACCGCTATATGCCTTGTGGTATTAAAGCTATGGATCTGATATCGAACGGCGGCAAATATTGTACGTTTGTTTCGTACTTGGGAACAGGAAACCGATGGTTAGTATCTTAGTTGCGACATCTACTGACGCGTAGCTTGGTTACCATACCATTTTTTTTATTTCATTTTGTTTTTTTAATTTTATTTTTTTAGCGACAGTATTAATATGGAACGAACGAGATGCTGATATTGTTGCATACAATGTCTCACTCGGATCCGATGAGCGTGGTCCGGAGCCCATGATTATGCAAGGCCGGGCACAGGAATTACCATCGTTTCATTCACATACTCAATATACCAACTCCAGCTCACTAAGAGACCCCCAGAAGCGGGCACAATTTACATACCGCCCTAACCATCAGCTCCAGCAGGCGACCAAACCACCCCTACGAGGACTTGCGGTGCTTCCAGATTCTATACTTGCGGAGAAGGACGAGGAGGACGACCAGCTTGTGGATCACGATGTTTCAGCCATGGGAAAAAAGAGCGTGTCGAGATTCTCGTTGGTCCAGTATGCATATACGGGTGCAGTGTATGCTCAGGAGATCGTGTTGAGGACAAAGCAGGAGATTGAGGCCGCGGGAAGCGATGTTCCAAAAGATTCAATCCTGGGCACAAACCTCAACCAGGATTCAGCACCCGATATCGATTCAGCAAACACGACATCATTCAAACTTGTTCAAGATCTGATTGCGAATCAATTTGAGGAGGATGAGATAGTGAAGGCGCTTCTAGAAGCGCCAAAAGGAAATACTATGGTCCGGAAACAAAAGGATGAGGAAGCGCAAAAGCTGGCGGACGATGAGAAGTTTGAAGCTCCAGAGGTACATTTACATCGCAATGCGGATCAGAGACCGCTGCTGAAGAAGCTAAAGGAATTACTACTAGTGGATCCAGAGGTCCAGGACAACAGGGATGATCGGGATATTGAGGCTATGGTGGATAAGGCCATGGATTTCATCGGGAGTATGGCCTCACCTAATTCAATGTAAGTTCTGTGTGGATTCTTGGAGCTGGGCGAGGAGAATACAAGAGTGATGGTACATATTATTTACACTCATTATTTATGTTTGTAGGCTTAAGATTATGCATGCGATCGGGTGCGATAGATGGTCGACAGACGAAAGGAGTAGGATCGCACAACTGGTCGAGGAGAACATCGAGCTCGAACCGTTCGCGACTACAGACAAAGGAGAGATTGTCCAACGCAGGATCCAGAGGACTTGGCCGATTTTAGGCGGCAAGGTCAACGAACTGTTACGAGGGACAGCTCTCACGTTGCAGACCCTCACAGAGTTTCTTGCTGATATGTACCCTCTTCCGGAAGGGAGAGCACTGGGACCGGAGCAAGGCAGCGACGGACCATCACTTACAAGTCTTCTGGAGAATCTCAGCATCCCGTCGAACCAAATATCTTTGGAGCTTATGGACGCAATGCAGGATCTGGAACAAGAACACCAACGAGGCGTTATATGGCCCACGCAGGAGTCTCGGATGATCCGATCCAATACAATACGTCGGCTGGCTCAGGAGCTACTATTGTCGGGTATAGTCGTTGTCCAGTCAATCGAGCCGTATACTACTAATGGCCAGGAAGCAACCTCATCGGCCCAGGAATACCCGACATTCCAATATCTGTTCCAGAGCGCGAAGAAGCCGCCAAAGGTCATCTTGTCGAAAGTATGCAAGGAGATTCTCAGCGACTGGAATGTGGGCGAGGATGTCACAAAGTACGCGTATCGACTGCCGGAGAGGATGACCAATCTTGTTCGACAGGAAAGCGATGCCGAGGACGTGGATGAGGAAGAGATCAAGGAGCGTAACGAGCGGTTGCTAGAATTGCGGCGAAAGCGTGAGCAGCGCGAGATCAAGATCTTGGCGGCACGCAAGAACGACCACGGGTATAATACCAGTGCAGGAGGATCTGCTTCCCAGCCCGCTGGAATCGTCACGAGCATGTTTGACTCGAGTCCGTTTGGAGAGGCAGATGATGATGGTATGTTTTCTATGCCGACCGTCATCTCGGCCTCGCAGCCCGTATCAAACGTTAGGGCTGGACTGACACCACAACGGACTAAGCCCAAGGTGGTGCCGCCCATGAAGCCAGTATTTTCAGCATCGCAACCCAATATGGTATCAGCAACGACAGAGAGAATGCCACATCCGCATGGTGTGCGACCCATGCCGTCGCATGATATTTCGTTTCAGTCAGTCAGTTTTGCTCAGAGCGAGGACTGGGAGGCGACATTGTCAATGGAGGACCGAACGCAGGCTGTTTCATGGAGCCAGGATTTTGGTACAGATCTCAGTCAGAGCGAGAGCGTGGGTTTAAGCCAGGACGCAGGGGGGGCGATGTGGAGCGCGAGCCAGCCTGTACGGGGAAACTTTGCGAATCGGAAGGTGGTTGCTGGATCAGGGTCTGGACAGGCAAAGAAGAAAAAGAAGCCGCGGTCGCAAGGATTTTAGAAGGGGCATTTGTCATGAGTCCTTTTTTTTTTTTGCATTTTAATCTTGTACATTACTAGGCGTAGCTCTTAATTGCATGCTGCAGTCTGCATGTTCAATAGAAACGACAATAGAAAGTAGAAAGTGGAATATGAAGAGATGATGAACACCCAGATGTAGCTCGCTCGGGTTCTTCGTCCCGAAAATAGGAATCGTTTGATTTTAAAATCTGCAAGGCTCAAGTCCAAAAGTGCTGCCTGTTCCCGACAAGGGCAATTCAACCCTACCACCTCCACCTCCAATGTTTCGATTTAAAGTATGAACGAGACGTACAAGAAAAATTGCCACAATGGATGGAGCGCGGTGCTATGGAGCTGTTACTCATTCAAAAAGAGGTTGATTTAGGCCTCGAGATATATATATAGCAATGGCTGAAGGGGCAACACTGGAGGAGAATACTTTCTGGTACTACGGCAGTCAGTGAAGGCATAACGCGCGTCGGTTCTCTCCATTTACAACAGCTCTCTCCAAGAGAGGAGGACTCAGGAGCAGCACTCTTGATGGCTGCGCACAGGTCGATATAGACGACCATACCCTTGAGGAACAACGCAGTGTTCACATTTGTATTGGTGAAAGTTCCAGAGTTGATAAGATACTTCTTACGGATCGCGTCGGCTTTCTCCGAAATGAAATCCTGTTTGTGGCTCCCGGTGAAAATTCTTCACCAGGTCTCCCTCAAACGATGCCAAGCTTTCAGTCCCCAGCCTCAACCTGCCATGACCGCTTGACCATTGCGTCAAAAGTGTTCCTCAGATGAAAGAGCTGCATCACAGGAATCGCACATTTTAGCCGGTCGAAACGCGTAGTGTCCATTGCACGCAATTCCTGCAACGACCTGACCCTGGATACAGTGAGTTGGTCCCCCCTGCAATAGTAATCCTTCTTATGCTGTCGAACCAATCCTCTGGCAAGTCGAATATATTCCTCATGATTGTCTCAATGATCCGGAGATTGCCCTCCAGGCCCGATTGGTCGATTTTCATTGCAGGTTGCGGGGATGATGCTGTTTTCCTGACGAATAGACACTCTATTGTTGAAATACAGGTTGAGTGTTGTCCGTTTAAGTGACCATGTCGCTGCAAGATGTCGAATAGATAAAAGTGGGAGACAGATGTTCTTGAAATATTGGCAGTTCTTGACATCGGGCGCGAAATCTCTGGTACTGGGCGGGGGCGCGCGGACCCTGCACTGGGTCTTCACTGCCAAAGGTTCTGGCCGACCACAGTGATTGCGGTGGTCCCGTTCTCGAAGATATCGATATCGTGCATCCATTTGGTGATATTTCCGATCCGGAAGGTTCGTATTATCGTAAACCAGAAGCCAATGTTGATTCAAAATTGCGGACCGAGACCTCCTTGAGGGTAGTACAAATCGTCTGATGCGACACGGGTAAGTGAGCATCGTTGAGCGGGTTGATAACGCGCTTTTCACATCCCAGGCTGGTATAAATACAGCTCCATCATCCTCTGCAGATAATTCGAATTTTGATTCTCCGGAAAATACCAGCATGCCGCCAATGGTTGCGATCAAGGAAGAGTCGGCGGCTTCCTAATCCACTCAAGATTCGTACGAGGTAGGATGCATAAACTCTTTGACGTGAAATATTTTTGGCTGAGTGTCTGAAGTCCGGATCCTCCGCGAGTTTCTTGATTTCGGTTTTCGATCGCTTGGTGACGACTTCCGCGGCGGCCTCGGTGAAGGGCGACCTCGGTGAAGGATTTGTGGAACAGGTATAGCGGTTTATTTGAGAATGATGTCATAGTCGTAAGAATGCTTCGCCCAATTTCTTGAGCATTCCAGCGCTGCTTGCTGAGCCATATCCTTCGCATATAATAGCTTTTCGAACGTGGGGTCAGATAAAAATCATCATCGAATAAACCACTGAGTCAACCCTAGAATCTCTTGACCGCTCCGACCCAGTGATTGTTTGCAATTTGTCGTTACGAGTGTTCCGAGGCTCCTGGTCCCAGCACTGGACAATGGCAGAAGGACCATCCAAATATGATGTCTGATGTCTGCGTTTATGGGTTTGAAAGCAGCCAACAAAAACGAATGAAGCGTGTCCTTCTGCGATTTCAGTAAAGTAGAAAGGGGTCGTCTGAAGCATATCGCAGTTTCTGCCCAGTATTGTATGTTTCGCGGGTGAAGTCGCACTAGGACATATTCTGAAGGACGTTAAGGAGCAGCAGAGATGGATGCGGGCTGTGACAAAAGGAGAGAGCTGAAAAGATGTGGGGAATGTGGAGGAAGAGCTGAGGGTTATGAGAGTGAATCAATTCAGGAACAGGGGGGGGGTTGGAACCTTGCAGACTTTAGAATGTGTGTTAACAGCCTTCAGGACTTGCTGGAAATTTACCCGCAATCGCCTTCTTTCAGAGAAGCCTCGAGTCCTCGCCAATAAGTGCTAGCACCAATAGTTTTAGAATAGACATTCAATTCAAAAGCTCACCAAAGCCACAATTTCCACTTTTTTTTGTTCCCCAAAGCCGATGGTCCAGGAGGATCTTATATTTTTAGAATAAGAAATCAATTCAAAAAGATTTTTGGCCAAATTTTGTTCCCCCGCACAATTTGCATGTAAACGACCGGGACATGAATGCGTGGACACGTCTATTCCTGCTGAATCATCCAAACGCGACGATCAAGTCTGCAGTCCACGCAAGACCACCACAGAACTCCTTAACCTCTCTCCAAGGAGAAGCGCGCGATTCGTTTCTGTCTCACTCCCTTCGCAATACGCTGGCTGACCTTTAGCAACCCCCCCACCCGCAACATATCCTCCTTTGGTACCTCTCCTCTTGGATATAGGATGTTTCCCCCTCATCGCCATGCTGGAACTCGTACGAATATATCCCCCAGACGCGGCGTCTATGCTGTCACTTCATCATTCAAAACCAAGATATTGACACCGGAACTGCCTCATCCGACCAAGGACAATCTATTTCTGACCACCGAACCTCCTAGACTACACGTAGCAGTTTGAGAGGGCCGGGGCCGAGCCTACATTGCTCCGAAGGCCTTCTGGGCTTTGACCTCTTGCGAATGTGTTTAAAGTTCGTCCCTGGCTTCAAGCTTATTTTTTTTTGTCTCTTTCCTTCCTTCTTTCTTCCTATCAACACCTCATTCATATCTTTTCTTTCCACGCTCCTCATTTACTTATTGCAACCCAACACTCACATCTTCTCGCTTCTCCCCCTCGCAATCGCTATTCATGCTATCATCTCAGGACTTGGCAATTGAGGTAACAATGCCTTGCCATTTCTTCTCCACGGATATGCAGAATGCCATGGTTATTCAACCCATTCAAAGACTATTCGCCATGACATTAACATACCTTTATTTTGCCTTATGAACCTGTGCTATTGAAATCGGCAGCAGCCACATTTTGTGCCGCCTCCTCAAGTGACATTGCTGCGACCTACGCCGCAACTGCAGGCGATGATGAGCGTGATTCGGGATAGGAACACGATTCGGGCGGATTTTGTGTTTTATGCGGACAGGATCATCAGACTCTTGATTGAAGAAGGTACCTTTTCTACTGCTTGACCAAAGGACGTTAGTTCGCGAGGCAGCAAAGAGAACATCCGCTGCGGACGATGTTGTGCTTCATTGCTGTTGGGCTAACGCAGAAGGATGGTCGGTTACTGAATGTAGGACTGAATCATCTTCCGGTCGTGGAAAAAAGGATCCTGACCCCGACAGGTATGTAGGAAAGGCATTTGGACTAGAGGTGCTTCACTGCTATGAATTCACCCCTCATCTTTCCCCCCCTTTGTCCCCTTGAAAATGACAAATGCACTCTCAGACCACCTCGATGAGCGTAATTTCACTTGGGCAGTGGATCCGAGCCTCTTCCCTCCTGACTTTCCTTCCTTTCGTAACTTACTCGATTGTCATTTGTTATCTTTTATGCAAATAATCACTTTCACCCCGGATGATGGGGGGATCTAGGCAACGAGTACCAAGGTCTTGATTTCCAGGGCCGGATCTGTGGGGTCTCCATCATGCGCGCAGGCGAATCCAGTACGTATAAAATCTCTTTTTCTTTTTCTTTTTCTTTTCTTTTTTGTCTTCATGCGTTGCACAGCTGTCGCTGGGATGTTATTTCCTATCATCCAGCCCGTGTGCACTTTTGACTTTACGCGATAAAGAGAGCAAAAGACATGTGTCTGATATGTAAACACGCGCGTTTCTTTCCCTATTCCGGTTGTATATGTGCAACCTTAACCCTTTTTGCCTACCCTGGGGGGGAATATACGATTTTTTTTTTTTTTTTTTTGCTTCGGATGGATGACAGTGGAACAGGGACTGAGGGATGTGTGCAGGAGTGTCAGGATTGGCAAGATCTTGATCCAGAGGGATGAGGAGACAGCCCTGCCGAAGTTGTATTATGCAAAGTTCCCACCAGACATCGCAACAAGATATTGTCTACTACTGGATCCTGCTCTCGGTGAGTTTTTGACAAGTTCGGTCTTTCTCTTCTGGATTCGTTGTGAATACGTTATCGTGTTCACTTCTCGTATTGAGTTGGTAGTATGCACTGTTCAAGACCACTTACGATTCTATTCTTTTGCTTTGCTTTGCATGCACTTGCTTGCTGTTTCTCGACCTGCACAAAAAAGCGACGGGTGGCTCTGCGATGAAGGCGATCGAGGTGTTGAACGACTATGGTGTGCTCGAGGAGAGGATCTTGTTTGTAAACCTGCTGTGTTGCCCCGAAGGCATCACTGCGGTGTTGGAGAAGTATCCGAAGATAAAGATCGTTACAGCAGAGGTTGACAGTGGATTGAATGCGAAGAAGTTTATTGTCCCAGGTCTGGGAGATTTTGGGTGCCGGTACTATGGCACGGATAGGTGAACGAAGGAGGGACGGCATGGCAGAGGGGAAGGAGACGGGAGGAGAGGAGGATTAGTAAATGTGTATCCATGTAGAGATGATGTATGTAGCTGGTGTGTTACGGACAGCATGCACAATAAATTGCCTAGTGGACATGATGGACTTGGAAGTACTTGGAAGTGGTACGGCGCAACGCGTGTTGGGTCCAATTGCTGCCTGAAAGGGGGGCGGAATGAATTGGTGGCAACCGCAAAAAGAAAATAACGAGGCTGTAGATCTCACGTGTGGGGACGAAGGCGCGAGATAACCTTATTTCGACACGATACCTTGCACACCGCTTCCATATTTCTCCATCGCCTTTTTTTTTCATTCTTCTTCTTCTCTCTTCTTAGATCTTCCTACTCCATTCCATACTCCACACCGACATTCCTCTGCATTCCATTCCTCATGTCTTCTGGCCCTGATCAGCCCCTCCGCGTCCACACTTCTCCCACCAAGGAAGCGAACGACCATCTCGAGCCTCCGAACGATGAGCAGCACGAGGACGAAGCGGCTTCGCTCGAGGTAGAATCCTCTTGGCAGGACCAGCCCGTGCGTCTCCCAGCCTACACCCCATCCTCGGCCGCGAGCGAAGCCCAACGGGACTCACCCCCAACGACGCCTGTGGACGATCCCATCCACCTGTCTGGATCAAAGAAACACTTTGGATTCTCGTCTCGTCAGTCGATCGCGTCGTCGATTTTCCCATGGCAGAAGCATAAGCCAGCCGTCTGTCATCAGTATGCACCGCACCGTCCACCCTTGAGCAAGAGGTCGAGTCTTGCGGGGCTCAAGGTCTTGCCTATGTCACATCCGGACCCAGTCAGGCACATGGATAATGAAGAGCTGGATATCCTGTAAGTTTCTGCTTACCCAAAAAAAACACGATAAAAATGACGTATCTTTGCATGATCTTTTTTGTTTTTGCTTTAGCTTCTTCCAATTGAAGGGAATCTTACCAAATCACCTATTGCCTACGTTGCAATTATTCGACAATCACAAAATAGGACACTGAAGGGTGATGATTTGAAGAAGCGAGTGCTGAAACTGCTGCATCTGATGGAGGTCCAGGATTGGGCCGAGGTGAAGGATTTTCGCAAATTGAAACTCGAGCGGATCAGTGGAGCGATGACCAACTGCATCTTCCTCGTTACGGGACCACCGCCTTCAAATTCAGCTGCATCACACCCATCATTATCAGTGGAGGAACAACAACGGCCAAAATATCGCAAGGTGCTTCTTCGTGTGTACGGCGTGGGTCTCGAGGCGATGTTCTCGCGTAGCAAGGAACTTCAGTGGCTGCACAACCTGTCGACGATGGACATTGGTCCCTCACTTCTGGGGATCTTCAAGAACGGACGGTTTGAGCAGTATGTGGAGTCGACGACGTTGACGAAGGAGGATATCCGAGACCCGAGGACATCGAGACATATTGCGCATCGGATGTGTGAGCTGCATAACATCGTGAATATTTTCCCGCCCCCCAAGGGGACGGTCCCGCAGTCACAGGAGAACATTGCAAAGTGGATCCCGTTGGCGAGAGAGGCGATTGAGAAGATTAGTAGGAAGGATCCGACAAAGAAGGAGGAACTGAAGGCTTTGGATTTTGAGAAGCTGTTGGTTGAGATTGGAGAGGTACACAAGGATCTGGCGACGGTGCATTCGCCCGTGGTCTTTGCTCATAACGATGTAAGTAAACAAGCAAAAAAAAAAAAAAAAAAAAAAAAAAAAAAAAAAGAGTGAATGGGTATTTTTATTGTTCGTTTTACCGACACAATGCTCATCAACCAACGTACTTGTCTCCCTCCACTCTCATCCGATGACATTAGACGCAATATGGTAACATTCTTCGTTCACTTGACGAATCCGGAGAATTGGTCGTGATCGATTTTGAGTATGCGGGTTACAACACTCGAGGATTTGATATCGGAAACCATTTCTGTGAGTGGACGGCCGATTACCACTCTGAGCGGCCTTCGCTGATGCACCCAGATCGATACCCGACCAAGGCTGAGCAGCTGAATTTCCTGGAGGCCTATATGGAGGCGGAAATTGCGATGTGTGGGTACCATCTGACGGCCATCAATTTGACAAAGTACTCCAAGAAGCGTAAATCGCTCACGGAGACGTTCACAAAGGGACTCGCGAGCGCTGCGCTCCAGGCTGTGAATGCCGCACAATCCTTAAGGAAGTCGCACCCTGAGTATCAGCAGACGATGACAGAGTTCCACAAGGATGAATTGGCGGCGGCGCAAGCAGTGGCCAATGATGAAGAAGCGGCAAAGGATCGAGCACAGGGCAAGGGAAACAGTGCAATCGAGAACGCGAATGCAGTGCCGAGAAGGAGACGGGAGGCTGGAGACGGTGGTGGAGGAGTGACCAAGACGGAGATCTTGGATAGCATGTATAAGGAGGTGAACAAGTTTGCATTGACGTCTCACATTATGTGGGGCCTCTGGGGCCTGATTCAGGCGACGCAGAGCGAGATCGAGTTTGATTATGTGGAGTATGCGATGCAGCGCTTTTCGGAGTTCAGGCGCCGTCGGGATGAATTCATGAACTTGTAGCTCAGTCTTCAGTATCACGATCATGTCTATTGTATGTAATAAACATTATGTTTTATAGTTATGCTTGCTGATGATGGGTAACTTTATTTAGATGGACTCGCCTGACAAGAAGGCCTTCATACCGAACTGCTGGACACCGTCGTCTTTGAGAACGACACCCTTCTCAGTGACGATGGCTGAAATCAATTCTGCAGGCGTAACATCAAACGACGGGTTCCAGACACCGATCCCCCTGGCCGCAACGGCAATAGTTTCTGCGACCACGTCGCCTTCACCAGTCTTCTTGAACTCCACATCGCTCGAGTCCTTCTTGATTGAATCAAGATCAACGACGGGACCTCTCAGCGTCGTGACCTCGACCTCAGGTCTGACCTCGATATGGATTTCCTTTCCTGAGGCGATATTCAGATCCACCGAGGTTGAAGGGGCAGCGACGATGAAAGGGACGTTGTGATAGCGAGCTGTGATGGCGAGCTGGTAGGTTCCAATCTTGTTGGCAGTGTCGCCGTTGGCAGCTACACGGTCGGCACCAACGACGATGGCGGCGATTTTGTCGGGATGTTGGGCGAGCAAGGCGGAGGCCATGGAGTCGGTGATAAGGGTGGAAGGGATCTGTTCAAAGACGAGTTCGTAGGCCGTCAAGCGAGAGCCCTGATTATAGGGACGGGTTTCTGTACAGTAGGCGTGTGTGAGGTGTTTCTGGGAGGCGAGAGAGCGAATGATCCCGAGGGCTGTGCCATATCCTGCTGTCGCCAGGGAGCTATGAGATTCCAAGCGCGCAAGCAGAACGAGTAAAAACCAAAATGATGTTAATAAGGAAGAAGTGATGTAGCGCCGCAAAGCAAACTCTGTCTTTTTTGTTTTTCTCTTTCTCTCTCAAAGGTTCCCTTGAGAACGTTCCGTTATTGTGCTTACCCAGTGTTGCAGTGGGTGATGACTCGAAGATCCTCACTACCCTTCCAGACTTTGAGAATAAATTCCGCCCCAAAGCGTCCAATGTTCATATTATCCTTCACATCCTCCTCCAGCATCCTCTCCGCCAGTTCCAGATACTTCTGTACAACATCCTGACCCGTCGCCCCATCCGCCTTTGCCTTTGCGCGCACGCCCGCCGCAAGCTTATGGGCCGCATCAAACAGATTCACAGCAGTCGGGCGAGAGGTTTTCAGGTACCCCAGCGATTCCTCAATAAATTGCTTCGCCTGTTCCGCAGTCGAGAGTGAAGAGGAGGTCGAGGACTGGACGAGAACAACAGCAAGGGTGAGGGCCGCGACGATGGCGATTGCAGGTGCGCCTCGGACCTTCATGGTCTTGATAGCATCGTGTCCTAGCTCGAGAGAGTTGATGGGGATATATTTGGTTTGGTGTGGCAGCAGGAGTTGGTCGAGGATCTCGAGTGACCCACGCTGGTAGCGGATTGCTTGCAAGGTTGCGCTGGTCATTGGTTCAAAAGTCTTGGCGGTGAATGAGAAAGGAGGCGAATGGAAGGGAGGGTTGAAGAGCATGCAGAGTGTGGATAAAAGTGCCGTTTATGTTTGCTTGTTGATGCCATCCACAGTCACTTTTAGCACCATTTTTTTTTTTTTTTTTGCCACCAAACAAAGTAGGGATGCCAGCATCATGATACAAAAAGGAGAATTCTTAAGGTTGGTTCTATGGAGGATAAATAATACTACAGATAAATATAACACAAAAACAAAACTACAAGTTACACATCGCACTAGAGACTGTGCATTATGGGGCATCCGGCACGTTTTCAATGAGAACGGGGCGAGTTCGAGGCAGAGGTTCCACCATACCGGAACATCGTCGGTAGGTCCGTTGTGCCCGCAGGGACCATATCATGATCCCTCCTCCTCTTCGTTCCCAACGAATAATGGCTCAAATCAAAGTCCCTACCCCCACTCATCGGTGGTGTTCTCATCCCATGATGATGCGACGATCCCATGGGTGTCGGCGTGATCGAAGCAGAGGAAGCACCATACGGCCCTGGTACCGAATAATACGAGGGTGATGAGAGCAGTCCCTGTGTTGCTGTTGGAGGTGGCGGGGTTGAAGGTCGGCTGCCGTGATACGTTCCTGCCATGTATGATAATTCTCGATCATAGGGAGAGGACGTCAACACCAGTGCAGGTGCCGACAACTCCTTCTTGTTATCGTGACCGGGCTGCGATTCCGGATAGATCTGCTCTGCCGCGCTATTGTACTCCCCTCCTAGCCCCGAAATCTTTTCCTTAATCCTATCGAACGAGAGGATCTCCGGCTCTGCAGCCGACGAGGTCGAGGATGCATTCGTCGCCGCGGCCGCGAAACGAACGGCCCGCTTAAGTGTCGGACTCGAGCTCCGGCTCTGACTCCTCATAGTTGACTCCTCCATCGACGGGAATAGCGACGTCGACAACGGTGAGGGAGACGAGGGCTCGTACAGGTTTGCGTAATATGGCTGCTTCAACGCTTTTGGTTGCGGATAATATGCCGCCTGAGAGGCCTGGGGAGCCTGTGCAGCAGCAGCAGCAGCAGCGGCAGCAGCCATGACCGGTGACCGATCCGGCGAAAGTGATACTGATGCCGAAGTCAAGGTTCTGGGCGAATGTGGAGCCGAGACGCTGCCGCTACTAGAATATTGCTGCTGCTGTTGTGGACTCGCTGTATCAAAGACGTAGTGGGATGTGGCGATATCCATAAGTGACTTTGCGGGTTCAAACAGTTCCGAATCCTTGTACTGCGACAACGAAGGCATCCTCGATCGGAAACGGCCCGTCGGAGTCGACGGTGCCGAGGGATGATAAGAGATCTGGATGTTGTCGTATTCGCGGTCGATGTCCATGCTGGTTGCGGGGTGAGACGAGCTGCGTTGATAGGACTGTGGGGTCCTGGTTGCTGGCGTAGCCTCGTCCTCATCCTCCTCTGAACGGCTGTCGTTGTTGTTGTCGTAGACAGAATATGTTGGCTGAGCAACGCGTCTTCGGTCACTCAAGTGTGGGGAGGACTGACGGGAGATGGTTTGATGGATCTGGCGAGCGGTGATACGCGGGGAGCAGACGGGCTGGATCAGGGATTCAACCTCTTGAAGCGTGTACTTTGTCCAGCCACGACGAATCTTGAGAATCGCGTATTCGAGCCGTGTCCTCAGTCGACGGGAAACCTAAAGGAAACATGTTAGACAGGTAAGCATTGGGTGGTTGTTATAAGGTTATTTATGCTTTACCATGCACCAAGGCATAGCAACGCATGGCATTGAGTCCAGTGGTCTGGGCCGACCGGAGAAAACTTTAAAAACAAACACAAAACTGACGAAGCAGTCCAACTGGGAAGACTAAAAAAAAAAAAAAACATCGACCACCCTATTGCAACGCTCGGTGACCACGCAGGGTGGGGTGAAAAAAGCAATACATACAAACACGCAGGCAAATAGTAAACACCTTTGCTGGTAATAGTGATACACTATCAAGGGACAAGAAGACAGCATGAAAGAGCATGGATATAAATAGAGAGAGCGGGAGTGAGAGTGAGAGTGAGAGTGGTTACCTTGAGAATCTTGCCTTGGTTGAGAACGTGTTCGATGGTCTTTTCCTTGGTTCGCTGCTCCAGCTGCTGTTTCTGCTTCCGCCACAAGAGCTCCTCGGTCTTGCGTGAACCGACCGTCAGTTCGTTATGCAGTCTGCTGGTCGCAGCAGTCGTGTTGTTGTTGGTCTGTGTCTGTGTCTGCAGCGTGAGGTCCTTGTCGGTAGTTGTAGGTCTTAGTGCTGGTGCTGCTGGTATAGCAGTCTCGGGTTTGGATTTGGGCTTGGTTGTTGCCTTGGTCGCAGCAGCAGCGGAGTTCACTTCAAAGTCCTCCTCCTCGACTGTGTTAGACAGTGGGGGGGAGTGCATTCCGGAAGCCGGGGTCGAGGCCGAGGCTGTGCCCGTGGCAGGGATGAACAGTGGCGCTGAGGCAGGCAGTGTCGACGTGGAGAGTGTTTCAGTTGAATATGGTGGTACTGGTACTGGTACTGGTGCTGGTGCTGGTGCTGAGAATGGGAGGTTGTTGGTGGTGGTAGAGCCGAGCGGTGCTGGGTTTGTAGAGGTTGCGGGGGGGAGGACTGCGGGGATAGTGACGGCGAGTGGCAGAGGTAGCCTCGTGTGCTGTTCTGTCGCCATTGCTTTCACGACTGGCTCTCTCGACTGGCTGGTGTGTTCCTTTTGTATTTCCGGTAGAGGATTACGCGCGTTGTGGATGGAGTGCTTGGGCAGATAGGTGGGAGGTGAAGAAGGGTGGGGGGCAGGTGGAGTAGAACGCGGCGAGAGAGGCGAGCAGAAAGGTGCAGGTGGTGGTAAAATTTTTTTCTTCCTTTTTGCCGATGGGCGACAGAGGTTTGGTTTTCTTTCCTTTCCTTTCCTTTGGTCGACGGCAGGCGTGATCCAAGGCCAAACCTTAATGGCGCAGAGACATGACGCACTTCCACGCGGAGTGGAGTGTACGCGGCGCGTGTTCACGTACAGATGCTCGCGTACACGGCGCCAGCAGGGGTACCGCCATGGTGCGCATGGCATGCAGCCAAACGCGTCTTCTGAGATGTTTGTGCCTGCAGGTGTACATGTCCGTGTCTTTTCCGCGTCTGCTCCTCCGTCTGCAGCCCCCACATGGACTGCAGCATTAGCCCAATCGAAAGATATGTTGATGTGTTGTGCCACGCGGGATAGACTTCCCTGCCAAATCTCATCCAGCCAACGGATGTTTGTGGAGAAGACCACAAAAGCACAGACACTCATTCGTTGATTGCAAACCCAGAATGGCGATCCTGCTTACCCATGGAATGACAAACAATCCTGCCGAAGCACACACTCCTTCATAGACACATAGCCATCTGTAGTCATGTCCTAATAGCAATAAAAATGCCCTATATATACCTGCTTCCCCTCCCCAGCTCCCTATTGTCCACACACCAGACCTCCCACTTTGACCACACAACGAAGGATACAATGCCCGGCCCCATCACCACCGCCTTGACAGTCGCTTTGAGCCTCACCCTAGCCGCTCACCGGTACCTCGAGCACCGCGCCCTGGGCCAACTCACCCACATCCACACCGACGACACCCTCTACAACAAACAGAAATACGGCCACATCCTCGACTATGACGCCCACTCTCTCATCCTCCACGGCCAACCAACCCTTATCCTCTCAGGCGAGTTCCACTACTGGCGCCTACCAGACAAGACCCGCTGGAGGCCCATCCTCGAACAATACCGCTCCGCCGGCCTGAATTGTATCCGTATCTACTTCCATTGGGGGTTTCATTCCCCTGCTCCCGGCAAATACATCTTTGACGGCAATAGGGACATTGACTACTTGCTCCAAATCTGTGAGGAGATTGGACTGTACGTGCTCGCGGCACCGGGGCCATATATCTGTGCGGAGACACAGGCGGGTGGATTTCCTATCTGGTTAGCGGCCAAGCGCGAAATTCGGTTGAGGCATATGAAGACCAATTTGTGGAAGGAGTATGATGCCAAATTTATGGAGTACTGTGTTGAGTATTTTGAACAGATCCTACCGATTCTAGCGAGGCACCAGATCACGGAGAAGGAGGAGGGGTGTGTGATTGGGTTGCAGATCGAGAACGAGGCATTTCAACGGGTGTTTGGGTACCCGATTGGGCTGCATGATGATATGAGGGTGCTGGCCAAGACTGCGCGCGATTGTGGGATGACGGTCCCGCTATTCACGAACGACGGATTTGAGCAAGGGTCGTTTATTGTAAAGGATGACCCGGGAAGGAGGAAGAAAGAGTTTGGGATCGATCTCTATGGCTTCGACAAGTATGTTGGTAAGTGCAGCTTTCCTGTAAGCTTGCTGTTAATGTTGATGTTGATTGTTAGGCCGTCAGCACGCCAAGCACAAATGTGCTAATGGACTTGCCGCGTTTGATCCGTATCGTAAGTTTTCACACCGAATAGCGAGCCAACCTCATGGGTCGTCGGTCGGGACCCATCGTTCCTCGAAGATTGGGACCCTTCGACTGTCATCTCAGAATTGGATTTGATGGAGAAGAAGGTGCGCTCGTTCGGGCATGCTAACAAAAGGACGCCCATCTTTATCCCCGAACTCCAGGGCGGTTGGTTCAACCATTATGGGATCCAATACACGTACGATGCCATCTACCGGTTCTATGGTGACCAGTACACGCGGCTGATGTTGGATACCGTCACCTCTCAAGGGTGTACCATGCTTAACTTTTACATGTTCTATGGAGGTACTAACTGGGGTACCATTGGCGACGCGTAAGTTATCCTCGCTTGAGCTATTTACTCCAACGAAAGGATGCAGGGGGAGTGACTAACTTGTCATGTTTCCGTTTTATTGTCCGTTTATAGGGATGTCTATACGTCGTACGATTACAGCGCCTGCATTCGTGAATTTGGCTTAATGTCCGGTCGTCTACGTAAGTTGCGCCTTGGAATCCTATTTCTCCAGTCCTTTGCAGACATCACGACAAGAACCGATGCCGTCGATTCTTCCAAAGCCATGACAGTCCAGTCCAGCCTTGACAAGACCATCTGCGGGCAACGGCGATCCCGAGTCGTCGGGCTCAACGGGCCTGTTGAGCTGACCTTCATCCGCAACTTTTCGACCTCGAAACTGGACCGCTTCGAACTTCGTGCTCGTCCGACGGAGAAGCGTGAAAGTGCTAATGCGGTCAGACTGTCGTGTTGTCTTGCATACAAGGCCTCGTTCACTGCACTTGGCAACTACACGACAATAAATCCAGGCATCCATCTCATTCTCTCAGTTACACCGATCTATATCCGAGGGTTTTCTGGCGACGGCAAGAAGGAAATCTGGATTGCGGGTCTCGCAGCGTCCGGCCCGACACAGATGGCGTTCAAAACGGGGTTGGTCATTCAGGAAGCCGGCGGGCAAAATGTTGGAGCTGCAGGCGTGCAGCTTTCTGAATCGTCAGAGGACAAGACTATCAGCGTGCTGTCCGTTCCCGAAGGAGCCATGAACGCGTTTGTCGTGTTATCCAGTGGCAATTCCGTGCACCAGCTGCACATTCTGTTCCTGGATCAGATGACACTTTCAACTTTATACTGTTATTACGACAATCGCCATGCGAATAAGAAGCTAGCGCAGTCTCGGGGCCAGTTGAATCCTCGGAACATGGCCTCGTCGCCCAGGATCGTTACCTGGGGATCGTATGATGCCCGCTACAACCCACAGGACAAGACGCTTAATGTCAGCTCGACCGAGTCTCAGGACTCACTGCATATTCTTTCGTTTGGTCAAGATCTGTCCCTACCCACCACTACTGAACCATCGTTCTTCGGATCTGGGCTGCAACTCCAGGTCCTCACGCTCAAAGGCAGCCAATCCGTTATTCTGAAGCAACAATCAGCCTCGCTCTGGGTAGCTCAGAATCGCCAAGGCATCGCTCTTTCCGAATGGGAAACTCGCACGACCGATTTCGGTTCGTTTGACTGGAGAGAATGTTCTCGTCTGTCATCTTCATCCGACCGTTTCCGGGACGTCAACCTTGACTATCACTTCACATCGGGCCATATCCTCTACCGTGGGACATTCAAGACCCGTCAACAGCAGGGCCGAGGCATCGTTACGAAATCGAGCCCTGTAGCACTCAAGGTTAACATGCGCAACCGGATCATCGCGTTCGTGAACGGCGTCTGTATTGGGTCTCATATGACGTATTCTCGACAACTGATGATGCCTGGGGCCAAGATGGGCTATGATCCCGTGTCATTTGGATCGCATACGTTCTTGGTGCCCTCTCACGCCATAGAAGCCGCGGCACTACATCGTGAGGGACACCCGGATGAAGATCATGACCAGGAGCACGAGATTATCCTAGTAATCGATTCCTTCGGCCTGAGTCGCCAACCCTTCGTTGTCGACGATATCCGGAATCCACGCGGGTTATTGTCCGCGAGAGTGTCCGGCAAAGATGTCGTCCAGGGGAGCGAGTACTGGGAGGTGGCGGGTGTGGATGTGACGAAACTCGATATGGCCTATCAAAGTACGGGGTTCCCGGATGAGCATTCTCAGCAAGGTTGGACGAACGCTGGTCAAAAACATCCCCAGTTGGTCCCAGATGCGGGTGTGACTTGGTGGCGCACCCAATTCGAAGGCCCGCCTTCTTCGTTCTCCTCTCCATCCTCAGCATCCGGATCCGAATTCAAGTCCGTGGGCGCCAATATTCCGCTCTGTTGTAAGATCGAGGGCGAATTTTCAGCAATGATCATCCTAAACGACGTGCTGGTCGGACGATACATTGGTTCAGATTCTCCGCAGCATGATTTCTATTTGATGGATGGGCTTTTGCACAAAGCCGGGTCTGGGAAGCAGAACGAGCTGAAGATCATGATGTATGGGTCTCAGGCGGCACAGGAGGCGCGGATTAGGATTTTGCCGTGGGTTGTTGAGGATGCACAGGGGGAGCTGGGGCAATGGAGCGGTAATGCGGCGTTTGAGGGCGAGGGGGTGAAAGAGGAGGAGGTGCGAGCGGGGGTGTTCTGGACACTGCAGCAGACGTTTTCATTGTAAAGTGGCTATAGTGTTTCTTGTATGAGGCGGCAATAAACATGATACAGTCTTTGGCTACGATGGCCTTTATTAAGCAGCGGAGAATATTTGTACAGAGAAGCGAATGGTTGCTGGTTGCTGGTTGCTAATTGCTGTTGTTGCGGACGAAATTAAAGAAAGAAAAAATGGCGCAAGGAAAAAAACTATCTCAGTCCTCATCCATTTCATCTGGGCCCGAGAGCTCCTCATCGTCCGAAAGAGGTCGACTGGAATTGATATCCTCGGACTCCGAGAGTGGATCCAGATCTTCCTCCTCCTCCTCTTCTTCTTCGTTGGCTTCATCGTTTCCGTTTTCTTCGACATCATCTTCGTCAGATTCTCCCTGAGCTCTACTTTCTTCCTTCTCCTTGATAATGCGTCTTTTCTCTAGTGCGTCTGACAATGTAGTCGTCTTTGGCACGACGTCTGTAATTTAGCAGGCAAAGAAAAAAATATCAGCTTCAGTATCGTTGTCCAGATAGTATATTGAGCCGATTGATGAATGATACTCCCTGTTACCTTGCAAGAACTCAAGCGAGTCATGCTGAGTCACCGCCGTAGCTTTTAAAGTAAATCCGCAATGTCAGGAAAAGAGAGAAGAACGAACAAAAGAGGTTGGGTTGTTAACGAGCTGGTTCTCCTGCATCTGAACGCGCGCCTCAATTGGACAAAAAAAAAAAAAAAAAAAATGGGTCCAAAGAATGCCTTACCGAGATCCTTGTATGATACTGTTTTCCGCTTTTCCATCTTTGCGAGATTGAACGCCTTGGACGTAAAGCTCTCCAGGAACATCTCCTAATTGAAGCATAAATCCATCGTGTCAGCATACAAATTTTTTTAACGCCTCCATTGTCCGTTTTGCTGTGTATTCCAATCGAGAAGCGATATAACGTACGGTTGCAAGACTAATGACGAATACAGCGTCATTGCTGACCATTTGGACGTCCTTATCCTCCTTGATGATCCTCTTGACCCTCGCAACGGGAAGAACAGTGACACCCTTGGCCGTGCCTGTGTAGACGGATGATCCTGATCCGGTTGAAGATTTGGACGTCGTGGATTTGGCTGGTGTTTTCTTCTGAACCTTGCCTGACGATCCTGCCTTGGGTTTGCTGGTCAAAGATGATGAGACGCGTGCTGGACCAGCCATGGTTGGTTATTGTTGAGGGTGATGATGTTGATGCTGTGGAGTGGAGCGAGGTGCCGGTGAACTGATCTTTTTGTGCAGGTCTGTGTTCTGCTCAGCCACTATTAGACGCGCTGCAGTCGACCAATGAAAAGCGCCTGAGCTATGGGCCTTGATCTACGAGCGCCCGTATGATTGTTTTGTTGCGCAAACGTTCTTGGAGCGTTCAATACTTCTCAGTCTACAATCGACTAGTTGTCCTTTCAATCACTGAGCGTAGCTTAGACCGCCCGATAGCGTGCGCTGACAAAAACCACATCTCCAGAGCATTGCCACCTTTACAATCCTTTAGCGAATAGAAGCACGTTGAACTTTGAGACGGTTGCGCGCGATCGGACTTCATAAATATCTTGGTAGTAGCTTGGTTGCATATCTGCAGCACTTAAGGCTTCATGAAGACAAAAGGACGAAGCACCACGCAGACGTGTCTTTTTATTATTTGTTAAATAGCAGCGCCATTACGCGTCGCACTAAAACAAGGTCTTATACGCAACAATATTCAATCTTGGAAGCAGAGGTAAATACCCGCATCAACGAGTTTACAATCTAATTCATTATCCAACCTGGAGCAGCAAGGAGTTGCCAACTGCCGATCGTCGTTTTTTAAATACAACACCATGAGTTCCTACCGCACTGAAATAAACACAGAGATTATTCGTTCACAGACGCGCAACCTGTGTGCAAATGACTTTGATAGAGGTGCAGGATCTTTACAAGACTAGAGAGTGGTCGCCATTTGATTTCTAGGTGCACTTTTCTTTTCTGTTCTTCTTCACTAGGGAGCGAATGCACTACCGCTCCACTGCACCTGTCACGCGCGTACAACGGCCTCGATAGCAGTCTAACCCTGTCTACTGGGACTCGTCAAGAGGAAAGATGCAGAAGATTACAAAGATATGGTCGACGGTCATTGTCTGCTATCGTGCCTATGGATGACAAGTGCCTGTGTGTGTTTTTATCGCTTCCTAACTGTTGCTCGAACGAGACGCGGCAGTAACCATGCGCCGCCCACTCACAGCGAGCAATCCAACCCTAGCAAGCCTGCTCAACGCACCCAGCGCGTCGGGCCTTTATTGCCTATCGAGTCCCAGTCCCGTCAAACTACCTGGACCATCAAATGTGGAAAAGTTGTAAGTACGCTCTATGCTCTCCGCCCCTTTTTCCCCTGCGCCTCTTTAGTATGCTTCAATGACATTGCACATCGATGTCTTTGTTAACAGTTCTTGTTATCGTGAGCACTGCCCAGAAAGTCCTAAGCCAATGCCATACTGGTGTCAAGGTAAGTTATCACATGAGAACTCACTCTTCAGAGCTGTCGCTCGTAGACCACTGTTCCAAGTGCCGGCTGCGACGTCCATGGTAGTGTCATCAAGAAACTGTTGTCTCAGCTGAAGCGGCACCCAGTCCACGCCTACAAAACCAAGTCAGCGCGCCAGCAAGATCAAAAAGTGAACAAGCAAAACAAAAAAAAGAAAAAAAAAAGTGACGGCTGCAGTAACAATGACTCACACAAGGCGCAGACTAAGACTGGGCTTGAAGTACAATACAGAGAAATGCCAAAGAGGACATCCAAACGACATCGGGCGGTGCTTAGGTCGATACCAATGTCTGAAAGTCTATTGACTCACAAATAAGCGACATTGTTTGTCGTATCGATGAGACCGAGGCAAGCGAGCGAGTGAATGACCGTGGGGAAGCGATGCAACTTCTACGGGCTCGAGGCGAATCACGATCACTCAAGCACTCTAAAGCATTCAATAAAATCTTCAGTAAAACATGCTAAGCACAGCAACAGCAACAATGGCCTCGAATTCTACCTCTGAAAACAGCACAGATGCTCGGATAAAGACTATGGAGTGAAAGTCGGCTTCTGTGCATCTGGTGAACCGTGAGAGGGGCTTTCCACAATTGTATATTACTGTACGTGACAGTTGGACGTTGCCACCTTGCCATTCTTTTTCTCGAGCAAGGAACCCCCAGCTCATATCCACGACCAAATTCTAGAAGTACACAACAATTTGCGGAGCAAAATCTACTTGATGACAGACGATAGACCATGGGATAATACCTGAAGCAGACAAAGAAATACCAACAATAATCATAAACCGAAAGAAAAGGAAGACATTCATTCCTAGAAGCTGTCCAGATGCACCTTGGTGGCGAGCTAACAAAGCTGATTCACGAACTATGATATTTCAGCTCTAGCTATAAAAAAATTGGACGTTGACCAACCAAGGGATGACTATACGGAGGGTTAAACTCCTTCGTCTGCTCCATCATATGTCGGTATTACTAGGGATTCTCATGACGACCGCGCTTGCTATTTCTTCTACTTCTTGACAATGGATACTCGTGTATCCCGCCGCATCCGCCGACCACTCTATTCATCATAGTCCACGGGCGGCGCTACAACTGATTAAATCGGCGCGTGCATTCTTTGCTTGTGATTGATTTGGAAAGGTGGGAAACTGGTATGGCTGCCAAAAAAGAAAACGAGCAAAATAAGTTAAAAAACGATATCTCTGTACTCGCCTTGCAATGCCAGTAAAAGATCGAAGGAAAAAAAGCGCGGCTTTCTGCTTCCACTAGCATACGCCTCTTATATCGTTACTCCACGTCCTGAGTTAAAGCTGAGTCGTCCTTCCATGAGTTGTTCTTAGCGTTTTGTGTGTGGGTACGAGTAACTTAATATCTGCTTGAAAGTGCTTCTCATAGCTGGTATGGACATGCGATCAAGTGATGGCACGGCACTTGTCTGTGCAACATCGCACGCGTACTGAACACATTCAGCGATAGAGTGCGAAATCTGTATTTTATCTTTACCTGCCAAACAACAATAACAACATAGGCTTCTCCTTAGTCTATCTTTAAGCCCTCCTAGTGTCCACGGGTCTTGTTAAAGTTCTGAGTGATCGCATCCATAAACTCACTCGTCGTCACATAGTGCTTCCTCTCCAACTTGGATCCATGGATTGCCAGCGCCAAATCCTTCGTCATCACCCCTGATACATCCACAGTGTCCACACACGCCTTTTCCAGATCCAAAGAGAAATTCAACAACGCCTCGTTTCCGTCCAAACGCGCACGGTGCGCCAATCCACGGGTCCACGCAAAGATCGATGCAATCGGGTTCGTTGACGTCTCACGGCCCTTCTGGTGCTCGCGGTAGTGACGGGTCACTGTACCGTGCGCCGCTTCAGCCTCAAGCGTCTTTCCATCGGGTGTGACCAACACCGAGGTCATCAAGCCCAAGGATCCGTAGCCCTGGGCCACAATATCTGACTGGACGTCGCCATCGTAGTTCTTGCAAGCCCAGACGAATCCACCAGAGGACTTCAGTCCCTGCGCGACCATATCGTCGATCAAGCGGTGCTCATACCAGATCTTCTTGTCCTCGAACTCCTTCTTATAGTCCCTGTGTTCCACAGTATACATTTTATACTTGTTAGTAAATACCACGATTGCAATACATTCGCCGTTGTGGAGAATCATAACCGTCAACCTACTTCTGGTAAATATCCTCAAAAATGTCCTTGAAGCGTCCATCATACTTCTTCAGGATGGTATTCTTTGTGCTGAGGTACAAGGGCATGTTCTTGGTCAGTGCCATCTTGAAGCAGCTGTGAGCGAATCCTTTGATCGACTATCAAGAAAGTAAAGAGATGGATCAGATCAAAGGCGATCGAGAAGATCGCTTGCTGGCTTTTTTTTTTTTTTTTTTTTTTTTTTACCTCGTCCGTGTTGTACATGGCCATTCCAACGCCGGCACCATCAAAGTCGTAGACGACCCACTTCTTGGTCTCACCTCCGTTCTTGGGCGTGAAGGTCATCTCAAAGCGGCCAGGGCCCTCCGTGACAAAGTCGGTCGCCTTGTACTAATAGTTCAAATCAAGAATAGCGACAATGAATGAGTGAAACGATCTTGAATGCATTGTATCCCCTAGTTGAAACCAAGAACAGCGATGTGCCGTACCTGATCACCAAAGGCGTGGCGTCCAATGACAATGGGCTTCTCCCATCCAGGAACAATCTTGGGCACGCTCTTGAGCAGGATGGGTTCCCTGAATACGGTTCCATTAAGAATGTTGCGAATGGTGCCGTTGGGTGACTTGTACATCTTTGAGAGATTAAACTCCTTGACGCGCTGCTCGTCAGGGGTAATGGTTGCGCATTTGATTCCCACGTTGTACTTCAGGATCGCCTCCGCAGCATCGATCGTCACTTGGTCGTTTGTCTGAACATTGGAAAGAAGACGAATTAGGGCGCGATTTTTAAAACACTGGTATGCAATTGCACCAGGGATAGAAGCACAATACCTTCTCACGGTGCTCCATGCCCAGATCATAGTACTTGATATCCAAGTTGACATGGGGCAAGATCAGCTAGAAATATTGATAGAGCTGTATTAATAAAAACGTATGTCTACATTGGAGCAACTTCCCTTGCAAATCGAAGCTAGCTATGCCTCGAATAAAAATAAAAAAGGCATTCCTTCATGTCCAGAGCAAAAGGATACCTTCTCCTTGATGGATTGCCAGATGATACGCGTCATTTCATCACCGTCGAGATCAACAACGGGATTTGCAACCTGAATGCGAGAATCCTTTGAATCTAAGTTGATCAGAATCAAGCAAAGCATAGGAATGTTAAACCTAACTGCAATGAGAAAAGCTCTAAAAGTCGATCAAAGTAAGAACTCGACTGGACTTGACTCGAACTTGCATGTGCGGGTTGCCTGTGAGTTGAACGAGGCCAAGGTAGCAACCCTGGAGAGGCTGGGGAGAGCGCGACGGGTAGTCGAGGCGAGCAAGGACATGATGGAATAGAGGCGATGTAGACAAGTTTTGGTGGCGAGTGGAGAAGAAGAGCGGAGAGGAGGAGAAGAAGAAGAGAAAGAGATAACGGGCGTATGTATGCACTCGATTGATTGCAGGCAACGGTCTTCACGACGAGAGATAGAGAGGTGACTAATTTTTGATCCAGGGCGATAAAATAATGAACCCAAAGGTCCCCATTTCGCTTTCCCAAAAGAGGACCCGATCTCAACATTAAGCGGCATCCCCTTGCCTTGGTTTGCACCGCAAAGATTGTCCAGATCTGTCTCCTGCGCAGACGTTGGTGCGATCAAGCGCCTCTGTCCGCGCATGGATCCATCGTTGTATTTGTTGCTGTTAGGAGTTCCTTTGCATCGGTGCTCATATATAAGGTTATCTATCCATCAGCTAATCTCGTTTTCCACACTTCTTCCTGATTCTACCCGACTTATTCCTCCTTGCAACAAATTGCAGACGCTCAAGTTTTTTTATTATTCGTAGAGATTTGTTATTTTCCGATAGCAACAGATGTAGATATTCCTGCACTTCTTATAGCTTATAGTTGCGACCACTGCTTCCTATGTTGACGATATTGTTATGTTGTGTTGTATTGATAGTTGCAAATGTGTGGGTGGTGCGCTGTTTGGTTGATTTACATGAACCACATAACTATTGCAGTAAGTAAATAAAGTAGCCGCTCAGAAGTTAGTTAAAATGCACTCTCCACTATCACAACGAGATAATAAATTGAAGAAAAGATCAGATAACACTTACCCTTCATCAGCTCAGGCTTGACAGTCAGGTACGAAGCAGCGTCTCCCTGGTTAGACGACTCGGTCGAGCCGGAATCGCTCCAGCTCTCGGTGCGCGAGTGGAAGCGAGCGCGGGCTGCGACAAGATGTGCATAGTAGGCTGGTGGTACCATCGAGACAGTACGTGTGCATCGTGCGTACAAGTGGCAGAGCTTGTATGTGAAGTCCTGGAGTTCATCAGAGGTAAACTTGTTGTCATCGTAAAGCACGCAATAATGTGCTGGACGCGACGTTCCCAACAGCCCAGCATGACTTTGCAAATAAAAGTCGAATTCGAAGGGGTGAGTGATGCCAGTGTCGACAACCAGGCCGGATTTGCAGTTGCCGCTGCGATCACCATCCTCGCGACGCATGGGGAAGAAGCGGGCGTGATGCCGCTTTTGCACAACCACAAAGGTGATCTTAGGCTTGTAGTTGGCCTCCAGCCGTTGGCAGGCGGCCTTCAAAGCTGCAACTTCACTGGCCAAGACCTCCCCAAACTGTCCCTCAGACACACCATCGCGGTAAAATAAAATCCTCTCGGGCTTGCGGCCACATCTAGATCAGCAGAAAAGAAGTATGATAGGTTAAAATCACGTCATGCTGTGCACAGCAATGCCAAAAGCGTATGAAGCAACGAAGCGAGCTTACGTCTGGAAGAATGTTTTCAGAAGCTCAACAGCCATATCACTGAGATCAGAAATGTTCTCGGTCCTGGCAGCCTGGACACGGATAGAGGCGGCATAACGTGAAGCCTTCGAGTCCATTGATCCAACCAACGACGCGATCGAAGGACGGACAGAGTCGCCTAATATGGGTAACAAAAAATACAGCGGTCAATTATACACATTTCATTAAAGAGCCATCTTTTCTTCGTTGTCATAGGTATAACAAGAAAACCGTACCGGGTGGAGGATGCGAGACATCAGCACCGAGCAAGATAGTAGCCTTGGAGGTCAAGAAAGGCAACATGTTCTGGGCGAGATGTGAATTCATGCCTCCGAGCTTGACATTGATCTTCAAGCAGACGTTGGCGCAGTACTGCTTCTTGGGGGTCCAAGTATGCTTGATCTGCACGCACTGCGACGAGACACCCAGGATGGTGTCAGTGACACGTTTGATTTCCGCATATAGGGGCACACCAGTGTTGGGAAGGATGCACAAAATCAACTGAGGCTGACTCTTCACAGCTTGTCCTGCACGCTGCCAGGCTTGACGGAGAGAATTTTCAATGTTACCGTGGGGGTTGGCGTAAAGAATTGGGGGACTCTTATTGGGGATGTTCATGCCGGTGTCCGTGCAAGTGACCACGAGCTCGCGGACGAATCCATTGACCTGTGCTTGTGACACGTCCCTCTCCGTGGCGAAAACAACCACGCCCCAGGAACCGAGGGTGGCTCCCTGCGCGACCTTCTTGCCCAAAAGATTCCATGCACCGTCGCGGGGCTTGAAGTTGGCGTCCTGCGATGAAGGGTGGTACGAGATGATTGGTGGTGCGAGCATGCGACCCTTGACCTGGGTCATCTCGTTCGAGATCTTCATACCCCAGTCCTTGAGGTACTCGTTATTGTTGTAGTTCAGGATGCGGAGGCCCTCCTTGATAATGTTAGCTCGAACGTGAGGGGGCTGGCACGTAAACTTGATCATATCGGCCGTCTGGCGCTGGTCTAGCTTCTTCATGTAACGCTGACCCTCGACCACTGTGCACAATTCAAGAGGAATGGAAGCGGTTTTGCCGATAACCGCGCAAGGGAGCATGGGATACTGGAGTTTGATGTCGTACGTCTGCTTGAAGTAGGCTTCGATGCTGGTCTCGACCTGGGACGTCTTACCGTCGCCCTTGGTGGTCTCGACCATAAATTTAGTCTCCCGGGCGGACTTTGGCGTCAGTTTGAAAATCTTGAACGATCTCTTCGCACGCTCGCGGTGCTTAACATTGACACGCAGACCCTTGATCGCCTTCTCGACTTTTGGCCAACTCACGGGAGGCGTAGCACGACGAAGGTCGTCTGTGATCGACATTGAAGGAGGAATAAATTAGATATTGGCCAGTATCAGCTCCTGCTTCAATCAGTACACAAATGCGTCTTACCTGGGCCACGGAGATTCAGGATCTTGATGATCAGTTCCAGAAGGGAGCCGGACTGGAAGAATGCGGTGGCAGAGATATCGAGATTGATCATCATCTTGTCTATCAATGTGCACAGGAGATGTAGAAGCTCAAGTTAGTGATGAGTTTGATGGTGAAGTGCATGTTTTGAAAGTAATTGCACGGATATTGATAAACGTACTCAGCGTAGGGCGTGCAGACTGATAAAATCCTCTCCAGACATCAAGGGGCCCAGCCAGGGGCTGCTTGCCATCAGGAGTGAAGAAGGAGCGGCCGATGGTCGTGTAAAGAAGTGCTGGCTGGTGGCGGATCAAGATATCCAACGCCATGATACCGGTCAACACGTTGTTGGTCAGCTTCGACTTACGCTGGAGGAAACGATGGAGTTCTTCCAGGTTGATGGTGGCTGCCTTCTTGAGCTTCATCTTGAAGACAGGAATAGGGCGCGTGGAGTTCGGAATAATATCACTATCAAGAGTGATCTAGATGATTGCGTACAAAAAGACAAGCGGCGCATAACTGATGATTAATGTACGTGTTTCTGTGTGATGCATGGTAATGACGGGCGACTCCACCACCCGTTGGTATTAAACAGGGGCACTGCACGAACAAAACGAAGGAACGTACATCAAAGGTCTTGCTATCAAACTTGAGATCTTTGGGTGAGAAGAGATTCTTGCGACCGTCGTAGACGGGACGTGCACCGCCGAGGTCCTTGCTGGCGTAGGTCCTGATGAACTGGTCGTAGATCTTGCGGTTGACAGGTGGGGCCACGTCCGGGGTCACGGTGACATCGTAGTGGTGGACAGTGATGTCCGGCAGCTTTGTCACCTCAAAGAAGTTGGCCAGGACGGTCACTGGGTGGCCAGCCTTGCCTTCAGCAGGGCGTCTGACAAACTCGGTCAGCTGAAGCGAAGACATTGTCTAAAAAACCGCAGTTAAGCAAGACGGAGACGCAGGTCAGCGGGAGCTTTTTTTTTTTTTTTTTTTTTTTTTTTATATGGGGGTATGGGAAAAGCAACGAAGAAAAGTTGTAGATGTAGTAAAGCGATAGAGGAGAAAGAAGGCTTTCAAAGGGAGGCTGGAGAGGCTAGGGTGTGTTCAGGAGAGTGGAGGGGGAGGGGGCGGTGGTGGTGGGAGGTGATTTTGGATAGTATATTACCTTGTGGAATGGACGATGGACGATGGGCAATGGAGAGTGAACGATGGAAATGGGCAATGGACAATGAGAATGGTTTGGGTGCAGATGTAGAGACAAGAGTGTAAATGTGAGTGCAAGGTTCCCCCCGCTCTTATGAGCAATAATGCGCTGCAGCAATCTTATTCTTATTCGCGGTGTCTGTCGTCCTGCCTGCCTGTGGCTCAGCAGGTGATCTCATTACATTTTTGTTCCGGTAAACAGTCCCTCGATATACACCAACCAGACCGTTACTTTTTTTGCTTAGTGCACGCCCTGAAGCTGTTTCGCGTCTCTGCATCCGTTCGCTTCACATTCCCCTCCCTTTCTCTCTGTCTCAACATCGCCCTACCTAGCCATGGCTACTGTAAGACTCAGTCGCAACAACGCTCTACCTTCAGCCACCACGCTGTTCCCCGACGACCTCACGCCGAAACCTCACGCTCTCACCTTGTTCCTGATACCCTTAGCAACCACCGACCCCGGAAGAGCTGGCCGCTCACAGGAAGCGCCAGCAAGAGTTTGAGGAGGCCGTCAGTAAAATCCAAAGCATGGTAATGCCAAATCGATTACTCCAGATATATAAAATACCTTTGAGCCACTTAATTCTACCCACAGCTTGTACTCACGAATATCCTTTCTCCTTCTCTCTCAACAGGTCGACAGCGTCCGCTACAATCCCATGAAGGTTCAGAAGATCACAGTCCGGGGCACTGCCAAGACCCGCGAATCATTCATGCATCGCATCCTCCAACCCGTCTTCGAGGCTCGGTCCCTGCACGAGGTCATGGGCCTGAGTCGACAGGCCGCCCGCAGGATGGAGCGGTTTGGGATCTTTGACGACATCAAGGTACAATTGGATAGCCCCAGCGATCCTTGGCTGCACGATCGTAAAGATCGGGTCGATCTTGGCATTTGGGTCAAGGAGGGAAGCCGTTTTCAGATCAGAACAGGAACCGAGGCCGGAAACGCGGAAGCCAGCATGGTAATGAATGCAATTTGGATTTGAACCTCTTCTTGGAGTTCGTCCGGAGGCTGTATACATTGGCTAACACGGGCTTTTTATGAATCTCAATCGTGGCCTTCTATTTTTTTTTTTTGTATAGTATGGTGCCATGACTGTCAAGAACCTGTTTGGTGGCGCTGAGACCTTGAACACAAGCATGGCATTTGGAACACGCACGTCGTCTGCTTTTCAGGTAAGTGTTCTTCGATCTGATACTGAACCGCCATACGCGCAGGAATTAAGGATGCGTACTGTCCGAATCTTGTCCAATAACTAACCGTACTTTATATTTCTATTTGACAGTTCGCACTTGCAACTCCTATTCTCGCGGATCCCGACAAGAATTTGTCGTTCAATCTTTTCAGCCAATCCAGGAACAATACCCAGTGGAGCTCATACGAAGAGGACCTGAGGGGAGGCTCCTTGAAGTACAGCGTACGTTCGGTCAACTAGGCATGGCAGCAAAAAATCATTTGTACGCCACGAAGGAGCCACTTATCTTACCTTTGCAATCGTCTTTTTAATCGCGATGTAGACACTCTCTCCTCTCGGCTACCACGAATTTGCATACGAGGGTCACTGGAGAGAAGTCTGCCGCCCCTCGGAGAAGGCATCTCTTAGGTAAAGGCTATCTACATCTTCTCAAAACAACAAAACCTTCAACGACTCCAATTCACTTATCGCGTCGCATCTCTCATTACCAAACATTATAGTATTCGCGAACAGTGCGGCCACAGCTTGAAGTCAGCCTTGACTCACATGTGGATCCACGATATGAGGGACGAGCCTCTCATGCCCTCGACTGGCCATTTTGTACGCGTCATTCAGGAATACGCTGGATTGGGCGGAGATGTCAACCACTTGCGTCAGGAGGTTGAGGCACAGATAGCTCGTTCCAACGACGCCGGATATGTAAGGCATCCAAGCAAACGGGCAAACAGCCTCTCGGCATTATAGCTGGAAATGAACTATTCAACTCATTGCTTGGATTTTTTTTTCTTTCTTTCTTTCTTCTGGATCATAAATGTATAGATCGTCTCTGCGACAGTCAAGTCTGGATACCTGCATTCGCTAAACGGCAAGAAGTCCAAGATCTCGGATCGCTTCTTCCTTGGAGGACCCATGTCCGTCCGCGGCTTCAAATCCAATGGTCTTGGCCCTCGCGAAGGAGGTACTATGTTTTCCTCATTATAACCTACTTTGCGTCATGAACTGAGTCGAACAACCACCACACTAATTCACGACCCTTTATTAATTCTAATCGATGCTCCTCCTTATTTTTCAGAGGATTCTCTGGGAGGTGACGCCTACATGTCCGCCGGTCTCAGTTTATTGACACCCTTCCCCGGTCTCGCCAGCCGTGATTCCTTCAAGGCCCATTTCTTTGCTAATGCCGGTACCTTGGTTGGCATCGAGCCTGGCCAGTCTGCGCTGAAGACTGTTGAGGATTTGACCAAGGCCCCCAGTGTCTCTGTTGGAGCCGGTATTGTCTACCGCCATCCTCAGGTCCGCATCGAGCTCAACTTTGCACTGCCCCTGATGGCGACCAAGACCGATGCTATCTCAAGAGGATGGCAGTTGGGTCTGGGTATCAGCTTCCTGTGAGCTCTTCAAGTAGTGTCCTCTTTGAAAAGAAAGAGGGAAAGATGAATGCGTCTACAAACATAAAGTAAAAATAGAGAAACATGAGTGTGAAAATGCCCCCATTGCATACACTATCTAAACCGCGCAATCCAATGCTGCCAATGCTTGCTGTCTGACCATTTGGCCGTGTTTATTTGCGAAGAACAGCAACTACGTGATAGGGTTATATGCGATGAGTTCTCGGACTTCTGTCAGCTCCCTCTCCAGCCCAGACATGCTTTCATGAAGCGTGTTCATCTCCTGCTTCGCGATCGAGAGTTGTTGTTGCATTTTTAGAAAATCCGCTGCGACCTCGAATCCGTTATCGACCACACCTTCCTCGCGCTGACTTTTTTCTGTTGAGGCCTTGAACCGTTCCAGCTTCTCTAAACTTGATGGTGGAGCCGCGTTCTCCTTGATATCGCCTAGAAGTATGAAGAGGTTTCTGTCATTAGGAAGAGCTGGCGAAGTATGTTCCTTAGGACGGACGAGCTCAGCCGGATATGTTTTTTTTATGTACCGTCGCCTAATATGTTGGTGCCTTCTGGCTGTGAAAGAGAGATGGAGGCGGCGCGCAGAGTCGAGAGGTCGCCTAGAATATTTTTTAGACTCGGAAGTGGAACCGGTGTAGGCATTGTCTCAAGTGTGATGTCGTCCTGCTGATGGTGGAAATGATGAATGAAGAAAAGCTCTTTGGGCGATTCTCATAATTTTATTTACATGCGTACGACCGGGTTAGTCTCCTCCGCGCAGATACTGTTTCTTGTGTTCAGCGGCGCTGACCATGTTCTTCTGGGACCAGATGCCGATCTTGTGTTTCCTATTCAACACGAACGACCCAACTGATGTCAGTAACTTGGATTAAGCAAACAGAGAACCCAATGGCCGCCTTGGAATATAAAAGTGCACACTTACTTTGCATTGGCTTCGACCTTCTCGAATTCCTGCAGCATCCCGCCATACTCTGACCCTGCCTGACGATAAATCTGTCCATACCCAACCTTCAGCATTTCCACGCTCACATTCTTCTTTGGCAGGAACGGCAACAATCGTGGATACCATGCCATTGAGACCTAGAACCAACAACGAAAATAATAATAATAATAATAATAATGATAATAATAACAATAGTAATAACGAGAGGTCAGTCAAGCCTTCCATCGCTGATGCCAAATCCCGGGCGATCCAAATTGATGACTTACAACACGTTCGTATCGGTCCTTGCTAAAGGGTTTCACAACCACTGTCTTGCCCAACAACTCCTTCCGAAGCCATTCCAGTGATTCATGTGAGAACGGCTGAGCTGGCATGCCGAAGTGCGCTCCCTAATTTTCAAACAGATTGCAGATCGTAGTGGTGTTCAGGATCCAATTTGATCCGATTCAATGGGAAAACACGCTCAGCATTCATACCTCGGGTGCATCGACACCAGCGATACGGATATGAAGTGTCTGGTTCTTCAGCTCTATCCCCATAAATATCAGTTCTCAGTCAGATTGGCAGTAATATTCGCGGAATTAAAGGATGTCTTACATCGCATTCAACAGCCCTTACCTTTACTATTCTTGGGCACATGTCTCAACCATCCCCAACCAGCCCAGACTCCTCCTGGAGTATGATAGAACCTGAAATTATCCGAGTCTCCAACACTGGTAACCTTTCCCTTGAGGATCCTCTTTCCTTGCAGCGTATTCGGTGTCAAATAAGCGGACGAAGGAATTCGTCGAAGTCGTCTCCTGTAAAAAAAGCCCATTGCTGTAACAAGTCCAAAGACAGTCGACGTAATAATATATGGCTCGGCAGCGGCTGGAATAGCGGGCAGTTTACTTGACAAAAACGAAGTTGAGCTTGCAGCGGTTGTAGCCATCGCTTCGACATTATGGGTCATTTCATCGAGGGATGTCTTTGTTGATTGAAGCAGTGCCTTGGCATCCTGTCCTGCATGCTCCAGGGTGTCCTGAACTGATGAAGACATAGATGATGCCGTCGGGACAGACGTGTCCTTGTTCCCATTGGATGAGCTTGAGCTGAAAGGCCAGACCATAGTCGAAGTAGTAGGAATGGGTAGGCTTATGCAGGTTTGTGATGCACAAGGTCAACACGCGTGCCTGAGCTCTCAGAAAGGAAATACCCCCACACACATTGGGGCAGTCCCTCCCATTCGTTGCTGGGGCAACACTTTGCACTTTGGTGGTGCTCATCTCAGAAAGGGGGTTATTTGAGAGGACCCTGCATCATAACAATCTCTTCGTCGCCATAGGTAATCGATCAGCTCGACTTCATCTAACCGGTTTATTCGTACCAGCGGCGCTCTATGCTGAACTTGTCGTTGCGCTGTATATGTCTATCGGCACTATGAACTCATGCCTTGGCCATGATAGGCTGCTCTTCAGGAATGGTCTTCTTCAGAAACGTCAGCAAGTCACCGAGTTCCTCATCGCATGCACTATGGCCCATGTTAGGGTATGTATGGAAGTCAACACTGTACTTGTGCTTCTTCAAGAACTCGACGGACTGCTCGCCAAACTCGTACCTGACCATCTAATCATGTCGAGACAATATGTTTGTTCAATAAAATAAATATCTGTGCCATAATCGCTTCTCTTTCCCAGTGAAGACATTGTTAGGCCAAAAGTCAGCAAAGCGCATCTTTAAAAGGTGGTTTACCTGATCAACTGTACCGTGGCCCCAAAAGATAGGCGTCTTGCGGTTCGCATCCGCTACCATGCTTGCGATCTTTGTGTGCAATGGCAAGTATCCACTCAAGGACACAATACCTGCGAATTTGTACTCAGATGTCAGTGCTGTCAGGAGTCCGAGCACACAGCCTTGCGAGAAACCTCCGATCACAATTCGATTCGCAGGGATACCGGCGACCTCCACCTGCTCACGTACCAGTCGCATCACTGAATCGCGTGGAAAGGAGCAAAAGACATGGTGAGCTCACCGAGGACATGGTCCGTCCATGTAATCCGCCAATATGCAATGGCACAGTTACCTTGTTGACGTGAGTGGATGAGACCTTTTTCGTCCTGTTGGTGGCTAATAGACGAGATGGATATAATATCGTACCAGGCAGGTGTCAACATGCCCCCGTTAATGGTTATGGGGAGCGCTGGAGCGTTGGGGAATATAAACTTGACATGTGGCAAATAGGCACCTAGCTATAGAGTAAAGAGACGAATAAAGGCCGTTAGCGACATCAGTATCAAGCACATTCTCATGGTCCCTTGGTCCAAGATTAAACATTGATTTCCACTAACCATCTCTCCTACAGGTGCCCTATATTAAAAAAATGGAGAAAAGATGGGTCAGGTACAACATTAACAAGCTCTTGGAGTAACTTTTGCCGACGACCAAACTACACTTGCCATCCAGCTCCGGAATCGCCGAATCCATGCAAGAAGATCACTGTCGCGGTGTGTTTGGCGGTCGGCTCATGCACCACTGCTGTTAGCTTTGGGGACTCTGAGGACATGGTGTCCGCTGTAGAATTGTGTTATGATGAGAAGGAATGAAGAGGTTTATGATGAATCAACCGCTCGGAACCGCTGAGGATGAGAGTGTTGACACGTGCTAATCTCTAAGCTCCTCTTGTCATCAGAATCACTCGATGGCAAGCGAGATCTGCATCCTTATGGCAGTAGCGGTTTTTACCAGGGGCATAGGCGGACGAGGACAAGGTCGCTTGCAGCGATTCGGTTGAGACACGTCGTGTCTCAGTTTGGAGAGTACTGCTAGGGTCAGACGCGTGTTGACGCGTCAACAGCCATTGGACGCGGGACCGCACAGGCGAGCCTAGGGAGTCAAACGCGTTCATGTACGAGTACGCGAGGTAGCACACGAGGACGGGTAGAACCACCCAGAGCACCAAGAATCTCGAGGTGGATCTCGGCGGCATGTTTGTGTATCAAACTTTTTTTTTTTTGGGTCTTTGGGTCTCGGCAATAGGGATTTGATTAGTTAAGCTGAGGTGAAGCGTGAGTGGCGGACGAACGAGTGGATAATAAAGCACCTTTGCCCGGTGAAAGAAGGACATAGTTCAATTGGACAAATTAATTGAATACAGCATGGAAGGCCGAGAACGCATGCACGCACGTATCTTCTTTTTCTTCGTCCGAAATAGTCAGAGTGTTCTTATGCGCTAGGCCCATGGTGTAGTAGCCCATCTTTGGTGCGTTGAACTAATTACTTGGACTCAATTGGCTAGTTTCGTCCCCCCCAGAAAAGACCCCAAGAGTTCCTCCATTCCCTCTCCATGCCTCATTCCAGACTTTTTTTTTTGGTTCTATTTCTAGTCAAGGGTCCCTTCTTTTCTTTCTTTTCCTTCTCTTTTCTTTCTTCCGAATACTTTACCTTTCAATCTTTCCTCTCCTCTTCTCCCCCACCGAAAGAATACCCACTCGTCCTCAACCATGGAGCAACTCACACCCATCCTTATGAACTTCCTCGAGGAGTATGGCCGTCCTCATGTCCAGGAAAAGGTCACAGAGGAGCTCGACGAGACCAAGGTCGACCTCAAGAGGGATCTCCCCAACACCATCGTCGAACACGTCCAGAGCTCTGAGATCAACCCCCTGATCGGCCAGATCATCGAGTCCATGGGAGATAAGTTCCTCGACCGCGTCAAATCCGTCACGAACGCCACCATCGAGACCGCGTCCGAGGGCATGGATCTGCTCCTCACCAACGGCGTCATGAACATTACCAAGGGTGTCCTCACCAAGTCGTCTGAAGAGGGTTCAGATGGATTCAACCTCGATTTCCTGAAGAGCGGTAAGGAAGGAATGGTTCAGACCACCATGGCTGCATCCCACCCTGTCATTAAGCAGGTCAGCGACAATATGGGCCGTAAAATCAGGTATGGAGAAAACATCCTTCTTGCAAATCCAATGACATGCCTTCGGATTCCCACGTCTTTTTTTTTTTTTTTTTTTTTTTTACATTGTTGAGCCCAAGAATCAGAAATAGCGAAAGCTAACAGGCAAGTCTTCTTCTCCTTGTTGCGATTTGCATAAAACACTTGTAGCTCACACTTCCCAGCCGCCATTGGTGGTGCTATCCAAGAAATGATTGACGAGCACGGTGGTATGGGCGGCGCTCTGGGTCTGGCCGCAGGACTGTTGACAAAGTTCATGGGCGATGATGGGCCAGGCGAGGTCGCCGTCGAGGGCGGTGGATCCGATAGGGATGTCGAGGCCGTCGGTGGCCATACCGGATCTATCCAGAGGATGCTGCAGAAGTTCTTGGCTCCCAAGATTCTCCTCATGATCCAGCCTTATCTGCAAAGGTTCGAGGCCAAGATGGTAACGTCACGTTTGTCTTTTTGTCTTCATCACATCACCCATGGAGTCCATCATCGAAAGAACTATGGTTGACTGATCGATATTCTTTCACTTCTATTCCCCTCTTTCCCTCTTTGCCATTCATTATCGTGTGTGTGTTCGATTTGATACAGAGCACGTCTCTGGAAGGAGAATTGCGCAACAAGGTGTTCTCGGTCGACTACATCAAGTCGAAGGTCATGAGCATGTTGACTGGCGGCGGCGATGGCGAAGGTGGCGGCTCTGGTTTTAGCAACATCCTCGGCGCATTTTTGAACAAGGGACACAACGGCAGCGAGGGTGGCAAGAGCGGGGGACAGGGAGATCCCATGGATATGATAGGCAACCTTGCTAGCCAGTTCTTCAAGAACCGCGGAAATTAGAATCTGGCGCCCATTGTGAATAATATTGTGTATATAGGAAATAAAACCGTTTCAACTGAACTACGATTCTTTGTTCTTTATTCGTGTAAGTGATCCGGTAGTGTTTTTTATTTATCGCTTGCGACGCGTCTTCCTCGTTGTCGCATGCAGCACCAGACAAAGAAACATGGTATCAGCATCAGAGAGCCAATAAACCCCAACGTGCTAGGAAGACCATATAAGACCAAAGTTGGTTGCGTCGTATTTGTTAAATAGTGGTTAGTTCCACTGGAGATCTGCGTGGGCAGACTTGCGTCACTTTTAATAATGGGCCATGTCCAGGCAGATCGAGGTGCTGTTGTTGTCATGGCAGGTTGGGGTGCTATAAACAGTGTGGAAATGGACGCGGGAGTCGTTGGACTCGGCAGCGGTATCAGCTCGGACGAAGTTGGCAGGAGGAACAGGAAAATCATTGGTGAGATATGCTGTGATCGAGGAGTGTAAGCGCGAGCGGGATAAGCGCATCGTTGTAATGATCGGTGGATATATCACATTCGAAAGCGGAAAAGCCGTGTTGGTGTCTCCACAAAGACCAGTTGCATACCCCAGCTTTTTGGGATGCACAATGGTGGTGGTTGGGACGAATTCCTTTGTCGGCGCTAAGAGGAAAAGCGACAGACGGGAGAGAGGGAGAGAGAAGGGAAGGCCGACCTGAACGTCTGAACTTCCCTAGGAGACACTGGCGTGTGTTATAGATTCGTGCTCCCATGTCCCAGTATGCGTAGAAACACACTCGACTTGCCAAATGGGGACGTCTCAATAAAATGAGAATTACACGCACGTTATTTCGCTTCCTGTGGTCAAAGTCATCTTGTTCATCACTCTGCGTCGTGTCTCGCGCCATCAACTTACTCTACTCAGCCCTTCTTTGCAACTCCATCATCCCCAGACCACTCTATACAGACGCATCTACAATGGGCGCATGGACAGTACTTCAGGAGAGGTACTACAACAATGGCTACAGATGAAAAAAGGATCACATCAGCTTCAAGCGATGATATTAACACAGAACACTTTCTTGATGCGTCTTTTTCTAGGCAAGCAATGCTTCTCGATCCAGGTATGACTGCAGCAACTTCAGCACCCAGCCGACTTACAGGATGCAGCCTGTCAACAGACAGCACTTGTGTTATTATCGTTTTGGTCGGGACAGCACAATATCCTAACCGCAACCTATCCATGGATCTTTATTTTTGCTTGGCGTCAATCGATTAGCCATTAGGGATTGGGTCTTGCTCCCTATCATGGTGGTTATGATTCTCGTCGGTGTCGTCCGTCACCAGGTCACCGTCCTCTTGAACGGCGCCCCCAGAAAAGCAGATCTCAAGTCTGCTCGCGAAACGTAATGTCAACACGCTATTTCCTTTCAGCAATCAAAGAAACCGCCCAGGCAGGACTAACACTAGCTCTGATGATCTCTTCCCCTGTTATTCACATTACATATCTTGCTGTCTGCAGTAAAGGCCTTCAAAGAGGCGGGATCCTCAGGGCGCATGGAAGCCATCTTCCGGAACACGCCTTCGAGGCCCGTAAGGCTTACTTAACGGATGCCTTTGAGAAAGGCACGTATCTGAAGGAACCCAAGGCAGGAAGCAAACCCAAGGGCAATGTGATGCAGGATCCCGCCTATGTTGAGACGATGATGGACGGCATGAAGAAGAACATGATGAACATTGTTCCCCAGACCGTCATCATGGGCTGGATCAACTTCTTCTTTTCTGGATTTGTTCTCAGTAAGTCCATCATGACCTCCCGCCCCCCGATCATGTTGTCTGGAAGACAAGGAGGCCACAAAGACGTTTTTTTCTTTTAAAGGACATATTCTTTTTATTCACACTATTGTTATTTCCTCTCTCTTTTCTTCTTTTTTCCTGTGTAGTCAAGCTGCCGTTCCCTTTGACTATCCGCTTCAAGAGCATGTTGCAGCGCGGAATCGAGACGCAGGATATGGATGTGACCTGGGTCTCGTCGCTCTCGTGGTACTTCCTGAATTTGTTTGGTCTCCAGAGCGTGTTTACTCTGATCCTGGGCAGTGGCCATGGTAAGATCTCGCATTCACGAGTGTCAGATATACGATGCAGCTTTTTTCCTCCTTTTTGTTTGCTCCATGTTCTAACCAATGTTTCCCACCTTTCTTTCGTATTATATTAGCTGCCGATGCTATGCGTGATATGCAAGCCATGTCCACGATGGGTATGGGTCCCGCTTCAGGACCTCAGATGGGTCCCACAGGTCAACCCCAGGACATGCACAAGGTCTTTTTGAGCGAGAAGGAAAACATTGAGCTGACAGAGCACGAATGGGGTTTGGATAATGTCGAGACTCGTTTGTTGGTCAAGTATGGCAAGCTGCCTCGCTCGATCTTGTTGGATCAGAAGAAAGCAAAGGCTGCTGGGGCTATTATGTCGTCGTCGTCGGCCGCATCTTCTTCGTCAACACCGTCAGCGGCCATCGCTGCTGCTGCTGTTGCTGCGGGAAAGAAGAAGGGAAGGAGACAGAACTGAGGATTGTCGGAAGCAATGGAATGATGTGGCGGCAGTTGGAGTTGGAGAAGGGCGCGCATATCGTAGGGACATAGATTTTTTTATGCTGAAATACAAAATTACAGGGTCGATAAGAGACATCATTGGCCATTTACTTTCTGGACAAAGTACGATTGGAACGACTCGTGCAAAAGAAGACAGTTTGGTCTTTGTAGAAAACTTCCCGAGACCCACGCCGATCACGACCTTGATGCCGTCTTCTCTCTTGGCGCCAATTGATCCTCCAACCAGCTTGAGAAGACGGTTGGCAACCTGATTGTACTCCTCGCCTCACGCCCTTCTTGCGTCCCACTTGTGTTTCTTGAGGATCATGTTTCTGTTATAGAATGAATCGAAGTGTGCCTCCACATCCTTGAGCCTGTCAACGTAATCTTTGATGCTTGATCCAGAGCCGCATAGGGGGGACAAGTTACTCTCGATACTGCTGATAGATGTCGAGCCGTAGATTGCTTTGTCCTTCCTTTGTTCCATCCAGTGTCAGTGTTTTAGTGTGGGCTGATACATCGCCTTCTGCTTGACAGCGAGGTTGGAAAACTTGAGAGCCTTTATCTCTCCAGATGGTTCCTTGATGGCAATGTTCGTCCCTGTTCCTTTGTCCAGCTTGGGTCTCTCACGATGGGGCAACAGGACACTCGCTCCTATCACGAATGCTTGCCCTAAATCCAGATATAAAGTCTTGATCTGCTCGGGCCCAAAGATCCTAGACGTCCTGCTTAGTCTTCACTACATTCCTGATCTCGGCCAAGAAATAATCCGTGCCGCCGAAAGTAGAAATGATGCGAGGAGGTAGCTTGGCCTCAGGAAGTCATCTGTACTTGACCGCATTGAGTTCGTTCAGCTTGAATGCTGACAGCTGGAGCCGAAACCTATCCGTCCAAAGTGAACCGCGTAGAGCATAGCCACTTTCCTTGTAAAAGCTGAGTTCGAAGTTGTCGTCTTGAATGGCTCCAATATGCTGTCTCGTTTTGTTCAAAGGCATTACAAATGTCCTCATCTTGTAAGCTTTGAGCGTTTTCTGTTGCTCTGGTGTATATTCTCCAATGTCGATGATCAGCTTGGTGATAAGATGTCTAGGAATCTTTTCCGAGAGCCAATACGAGGAAATCAGGCTTGATCATGTCGTGTCGTGTAATCCCATGAGCTCAAGCGACCACACTCCCAAAAGAGCGACGCATTCACTCTGTGCCTTTTTTTCGGCATCGACAAAGACCCGGTCACCAAATACCACTCCATGTCCACTGTTTCTTTGTGAACTCCGTACCCTTTATGCCGATACTCTTTGTCAACCCAATAGATCACTCCAGCCGTCATTGTTCTGGATCCAGAGGCTGCGAATGACGTTAGTGCAGCTTGAGAGACCCAGTCTTTGTCGTCCTGGGTAGTTGGAAAGCAGCGTGATAAATGTATTGCATCAACTGCTGCACTGTACTTGTTTCCGTCGGCAAAGGCCATGGTGAATCTAAAGCAGCCCTTTGCCCACGCGCTTGTATATTGTGTCTTTATAAGAATCATGTAGAATAGAGCTACACACTCCGCTTTTTACCAACGTAATGGCCATGGGAATTATTTGCAAGCCGTGTGGCGATGCATTCTAAGGTCCGCAGTATATTTTCGACGCCAACAACAACAAACTACACCGACGAAAACATGGGTGGGGGTATAGGACTACTTGTCTAGCTTTAATCTAGTCCTGCCTTGCTCTACCAAGAATTGATCTCCTTTAGCATCTCCTCCTGGTTCCTCCGCTGCTCCTCCTTCTGCTCCTCAGTCGCATACAGATTCAACGTCCCGAACCACAGTTTAATGAAATCCCCATACATTCCCGCTTTTTCCTTCGCAAACCCAAATCGGATATACCCATGCAACGCAGCCTTCTGAAAAAACGTCGTCGAGAACCACACCCTCCTGAATCCTTCGGCCTTCGCATACTTGACCAAATGCTCCATCAACATTCGACTGATCCCCAACCGACGATAGTTTATATCCACGGACAAGCGCCTCAGCTCTGCGTCGCCCTTATCCGCGGCCTTGAACGTCTCCTCGCTTCCGCCCATTGCCAGATGCTTCCTCTTCAAATGCCCTTGATGCGCAAAGTTGTCGTCTAAAGCGATGCAACCTAAGACGAGCTGAGGGTGCGAATCCAAACAAGCGACCCAGAATGCCGATCGGTTCTTCTTGCCGCCAGTAGATTTCTGGGATTGATAATATCCCTGAATATCTGAAAGATCATCCTTGAAACAGCCCTCGATATACTCTGCAGTTCCCGCTAGGCACATCCGATAGATCCCCACGAACGTCGTTACTGCCACCACCACTGAGACCATGACCCAAACAATCAAAAGCGACGGTTTCACAAAGTGAAGGATGAGCGACTGCGCTGATTCGGGTTTTGTCAAGCTCTCCCAGAAGCTGCGCAAATCCTCTGCTGAAAGCCCGGCCATTGACGGCGAAGAGACCGAGGATTTGGAGTTCGCATAGGCAAAAAGGGCAAGCTCGATCAAGGAGGCGTAAATGACCGACTTTGTAAGGATCGAGAGAATCGTCTTCGGGTGGGTCGCCTGTTTCCGGAAGACGGGGGCGGTGACCACATCGAACCCCTGCAGTAGGATCTGGACCACTTGGTCGTTGTCCGCCTCTACGTATGGTCGGATTCGGATCGCACTCTTGTCGATTTCTTGCATTCTTTGGTGGTTGGGAAGCGAGTGGTGGACGGCGGGTGTGCGGGTGTGGTGGATAAGCGAAAAGGAAGAAGAGAAAGAAGAGAAGAGAGAAGAAATAAAAAAAATTATATATTTGTCGCCGGCATATTTTTCAGCCAGAACCCTTATGATGGAGGAAGTAGTTTTTAGTATTCAATTTGATCCAAAAATATATATAAACGTGAACACTAATCATCATCCTTCTCAACTCCATCTACCATCCTCATGCTCAACGCGAAACGTAAGACTGAACCAAGCAAGGGAGCTTTCTCCTCCAAGAAAGCGAAGTTAAAACGCCAATCCATCACACTGGACGAGAAAGTCTAGTTTATCGAGAGCGTCATATCCTACATTGGACGCGTAAACAACATTATCAAGAGTTCTACGGCTCATAGGATTAGGGGAGAGCGAGATACCATCCTAGCTAACAAGAACCGGCTGTCGCCCCGGTCTTCCAAGAAAATCATGCGCATTAAAGAGCGCCCATTTCTTGCCTTGGAAGAAGCACTTTATAAGTTGCAATTCTATCAAATGCTTTAAGCTTTCTCAAGAGCACAATCCTAACACTGGGTTTTGAAGACGTTGTTGTGACCGATGCTCGCCTTAAAGCAGCAGCTCTGCATCTATGGGGCGTCATGAAGGATTATTACAAGTAAGGAAAGGAGCCGCCTTCATCAGCCTTTTCAACCGGGTGGCTTCGTGGGTTCAAGAGACAGCAGCCGATCAATAAATTCACACAGCGCATGGCGAAAGTGGGTCCGTGGATCTAACAAAAGTTCAGCGCCAAATGGACGACATTCACAGGACACTTGCAGGGTTTGACCCCAACGACATTTACACATGCCACGAAACTAGCCTCTATCTCAAGATGCCCTCAAACAAACCACTTGACACTGGTCCAATTCGTGGCAAAAAAATCATTCGGACACCTCAAGTGTCGGTCTTGCTTTGCTGCAATTCCACCGGCTCTGACAAACGCAAGCTATCTGTGCTGTGTAAGTCGGGTGTAGCTGCATATTTTGCACATTCTGAGCAATGTTATCGCAAGGATTTATCCCATTGCATTTTGCTATTTTATAGCGAAGAACAAACCCAAGGGATTGAAGGAGGAGACGCTGAAAGAGATTGATGCCGATATGAAATACTCTGGATATATGACAAAAGTGCAATTCGACAAATGGCTTAGGGATCTCGATAAGGATATTCGACAGCAAGGTCGCAAGATAGCTCTGCTTATCGACGGCATACCAGGACGTGGTGGAGGCGAGGGCCACGGTCTCACCAATATCACCATCGTACATTTATCAGCAAAGACAACATCCGTTACTCAGCCTTTGGACGCCGGCATTATTCGATCTTTCAAGGTTAAATACGGTCAGGAGATGCTGAAGGTTATAACTCGTGCTCGCAAGGAAGCGAATAATCCAGATGCAACAGTTGCCAATGGAGTACTCTGGGCCTGTCTAGTCAAGGCATGGAAGGAGGTCAATTCTGGCTTTATCCGTAACTGCTTCGCCCGTGTCCCAACTATGCCTCCAGAACACAAGAACCGCCTACGTAAGCTTGGTGTCGTAACACTTAAGGATGAAGTAACACGCCTTCAACAGGAGCTCAAACGAAAATACGCGGACAACAAGGACACCGTCTCCAAGCAAAAGGACTTTTCTGTCCTCCATTACCTCATTATGTGCGACGGTGATGGACCTTCAGAGTCGGTTCAAGGAGCTGCGATGAGTGTCATAAACAGCGAAACATTCAAGCACCTTTTCAACCATTACCAGGAGAGCGGCTTTATTGAGAAGGATAAAATCGATGATGATGATGATGATTTAGGGGATGAATAGGTGGTTCCGCCGAAGCGGAAGGTGAGCAGAGTCTTTTTTACTCACCGTTCTCGCGACGTTACAAGGGTTGAAGAATACTCATCGTCTGATGCAAGCCCACAGAAAAAGAGGCCGTCTGACATGTAGGCTATCTGGCGGACCATCGATGAAGCAACGTCCATGTCCCGTGGACGCCGTGACCCCATATCTATCGAATATATGCGCGTGTACAGAAACAAGTTTAACTGCAGGCAACCAAGACGATCCGGGCCTTTATTATGATTAACGTTATTATGAATTAAAGCAACTAGTTTTTACGTTGAGGTAAAGAGTCGATAGAAGCAATGGAGAGAGTGGAGAGAGTGGAGAGAGTAACGAGTAGATAAAATAAAATGAAAAGTAAATGATGCATAGAAAGTAAAATATTCAGAGCGGAGAGTGCATCCCCAGCTTGGTGTTGAACTCGAGTTTTGCCAGCTTCTGTGCCCGAACACATTCCTTCATATCCCTGGCCTTGACCACTTCCTGCACTGGCAAAAACACCAATGGCCACAGGAACGCCAACACAAAGACCCACCACGACACACTCCGTACTGAAAACGGGCCGTGGAACAGTGAAATGATACAAAACACAAACTGCAGTGTCAAGCTAATTCGATAAAGAAGAAAACACGCGTTAGTATAAATCACGAACTTGACGTACATTTCGATAAACCATCGAGGGGGGAGGGGAGGGGGGATTTCTTCTGGTCATACTTCCTCAGAACTTACCTACTAACACAGGCGCCGATCCAGACCTTGTTCTTCCATGGCATGAATGACCGCATCGACAGTGTCCGGCTGATAAACGTACTCGACATCCAGATCATGTACCACACCCATATTACCATCGTAAAATTCTGTGCATACAACAGTGCCCATTGTTCGCTATCGGACCATTCCAACCAAGGCGTGTCAATTCCGAAGCTGTTGAACAGGAAATGGTACCCCTCCCGCCCATCATACACTTGTAGCGTGCTATCATGAAAGAAGACAATCAGAGACATTAGTTTGCTTGAAAACGAATACGCATAAGACATCATAGTTGACGTAGATAGCGAGACATGTCACATACAAGAGAAAGACGAACACACACATCCCGATGGGGAGGATAAATCGCGCCAGAAAGTAAAAGATGAACCGCGGAAGATCTCTGAGAGGAGATGTATTCTTGCCTAAAAATCGCGAGAGAGAGAGAGAGAGAGAGAAGAAGAAGAAGCTGAGCGTAAGAAACATGGTCTGATAATAACGAAGAGGCACGCAATGGTCTACGATGACTATGGAACAAGGTACAGCACTTACTCGGCATCATGGTCATGGTGTCCGGTTCGTGCGGCGAAAAAAAGAACGAAAGGATCAAAAGTGGCACGATAATCCACATCAACCACAGGATTTGATAGCCAGTCATCGCAGGCGGCAACAGGAAGCAGTACGAGACAAGGAGAAGCAACGAGATCGACATGAAGGACGCGATCATAAAGATAACACCCTACGCGATGAAAAGATTAAGAACGGAGTCAGCTTTCAATAGGCCACGACTCATTGTAGGTAACTCCACAGCAAACGCATACCTGGCGCTGTGAGTTCAGTAGACGACGCGCCTCCCTGACAACCTGTGTCAGGGCATATAAGCTGGTTTCGCTATGCATCGTCAAACCGCAGGGCAGGCTGTTGATCTTGGCCCCAAGTGAGAACGCAGATCGTGATTCTGGACTCGATCCCATCCTTATAGGCTCCATTCCGACGCTGATATCCGCCTGCGATAATATTAAAATGATTAAATAGGAATAGGAATAGGTTGTTAAAGTTACATCCCTTAAAAGAAGCGTTTAAAGCCGAAAGACTCGGTTTCTTCATCTTACCTTGGCAAACGCCGCGATATTATCAATGTTGAGCGAACTGCCAATACAACAGACGACCTCGCCATAATCCTGAAAGATCTTGATCATCTCTGTAGCTGCCTCGGCCCCACATTCAGCGAACAGTGACACATGGAGTGGAATGTCATCCACACTCTCGAGGTGAGGTCGGATATTCTCAATCCCTCGTGGCAGCTGCGCCTTGATATCATACGATTCCAAGTACCCTGTGCTCGCTCCAAAGGGGTCAGATGCAGAGGACAGCAAGATACAGCTGTTCCAGTCTGTCTCTAGCCCAAGACGGTCTGCAAAGGCCTTGCTCTCGCGTTCGCTCGCCGGTGAAAAGTACACAAAGCGGATTCCTGCCAATCCCAGATCCTCGATAAAGTCGCACACATTCTAACAAGATTAGCAGCAAAAAACGTCAGTATTTTCTCGCTCGAAACAAAGGGAGTCAAGTTCGCCTCGCGGCTTAAAAAAATGTGCTCAGAGAACATACTGTTTTGGGCTGGTGTGCAAGAGTCGCCATTCCAAGAAAGATCTGACCCTGCACAGCTTCCTCGTAAAACCCCTGCGTGTTAACAGGCGCCACAGGAACCAGGTCATCCATATTTTCCTCTCCCGACAGTTCCATCTCGCGCAGTTTTCGCCATCTCTGCAGTGGGCCGGTTTCTGTCTTCGTTCCAGATACACCAGAGTCATCAATAGAAGATCCGTAGTGATACGCACCATCATCTCCCGTATCGCTGACACCACCAACTTCAATTACGATGTTGACGGGATCTGGTAAGCTGCTGATGTCAATCCTTGGACTCTCAGCTAGGGGTTCAGGATCCGTGCTAGTTGTTTTAGTCGCCTCCACCACCTCCTCTTTCTCATCCCGAGCTTGGTTTGGCGAGTATTCGTTGTTGGAAGATTGTTTCTCGTCCTGCTTCTCCTCGGCCTCAGGCAGCTCTCGCACAGGTAAGGTGATGAATTCAGAGGTCGAGGGATCAAATTCTGCCGCTTTACGTCTCTGATCGATCGCAATGGGTCGGTAAGCATATGCCACGCATTGCAGATCATTCACTACAGCCGTCTGGTAAAAGTCCGAGATTTTCTTGAGCATCTAGTATTATACAGGCACATAAGCATAAGTTAATCGGTTATACCATAGAATACCAAATGCTAAATGCGAAGGGTACGTCAAGCGGAGCCCTACTGTCTCGTTGAGCTCCTGAAGATCGGCTCCGTTCCAGTACTCAGTGCAGCACTCGACCACGCACTCGACATGTCCATCTGTCTGAACCATATAGCTGTCGCTGGTCTCTTCATGGTATATGGTGCTAAGCATCGTCGGTATCTCGTACGTCGACAGCTTGCCAAAGGTCATCGGTGGCATCGGCAAATACGGATGGAAGCACATGATCTCCTTTTGAAGCGTGAACGGGTAAAGGGCCTCCTTCGTAAACCCAATCTCCTTGCCTAGTCGACACAGACATGTCTGCTGAGCTGCTCTCGTGCGACAGTGGTAGTGCAGCGTATTGCATTTTCGATGCGGTTCCCTCCTCCGGGGGGCCGAGAGCGTTCCGCAGTTCGTGTTTAAGAGCTGGTTGAGTCCGATGGGCTTGAGCGACTGAATGTAGGTTTCCCAATCCTTGTCCTCAAAACGTAATCCATTGGGCGAGAAGTTGTCCTCCAACACATCCAGAACAGCCGTATCCTCATCCTCTGTCGCCACAAAAAGCTGCTCCATTGCAGGAAAGGCTGTAGCGATCGTTCCTTCCTTATCGATGCTACAGATGACAGTGATTCCGCCAAGACTCTCCACGAGATTGGTGCTCCGAGTCAGACCATCATCGAAGTCTGAACCACTGTGGTCCCACCGCGTTAACAAGCGCCAGAACCGCTTCCAGACCTCATTAAATTCGATGTTGACATTCTTGGTTGGTGGGGGCGCTTCGACGTCGAACTCATCCACGTCCTTTTCGTCCTCGTACTCTGTCTTTGAGATCTGAAGAGTATTGAATAGGACCAGGATGGCCGCGTTCGTGTATGCCTTAGAGATCTGAAGTAATGTCGGTAGTGAGAGAGGAAGCAACGGCAACGCAGCATATACTGGGAGGGCCAGGAGCTGCTCGAATCCATTGGAGGCATGCTCCAGCTGCAGAACTTCTTTTAGTATGAATCGCAGGAGGTTGATTGCAAAGGCCAGGAGCGCAATACCCAACAGGACTTTACAAAAGATGATTTGATTGACGACGAGGAGCTGCTTCAGGATCAAACTCTTTGGTCGGGGCGTTGGGTCGAGGGCCGTGTGCAAAATACGTTCCAGCGGTGTCTCCAGAACCTCAAACGTATAGCGTCCCTGGAGTTCATTGTGAATCCTCTGCAGTGCTTCTGAAGGCGATGGTCCGAACAACGATGGTTGAAAAATCTCCTTCCGTCTAAGAAAAAACTCTCTGACGTGAGGAGATGTTCCATGCCGTCCATGATCCTGATCCTGGTGAGGTGAATGCGAGTGATGATTATAATGGTGGATATTGAGGTGAGAGCTCCGTGAATTGAGTGGCGAGTTGGGGTGTTCGATCCTGTGCCGTGAGAGCATACAAAGTACTCTGCAGGGAGCTTTATCGCCATATACCATCTCGATCAAGTCGCCTTTGACGATCAGGTTGCTCGGTATTGTCCTGACGATGCCTGAACGGATCACACGCACTGTGCTCACCGATGGGATTGATGGGATTTTGAGTTCCTGGTGAGGAGGATTGGACACAATGTTGAAACATAGATCAGTAAGGGAACAAAATGTCTGTAACACTTTCACGAAGCGACCACGTTGGTCGTGGCTATTACCTGACCCGCCTGCAGTCGGATAGTCTCTAGTTCCAAGATTACGCCCTTCACACGGTCCTTGACTTCTCTACCTCGCAATTGAAGATCACGTTGGTTGATGTATGCGTTCCAGACAAAGATCGCCGCCAAGATCGCCACTTCGACAATGGTTCCGATCAGCCGTGATTGGCGTGGTGAAGAGTTGAGTATGCCGTAGATGTAAAAGGCTAGCAGGCAAAGCATGGCCACGACTGTCGCAATCGGAGGGAATGAAGTGATATACTTGATGAAGTCTACAGGGTGGGATGAATAGCCAGTAGAGAACACAAAGGGGCGGTCAGTGTCAAAATATTCGGCGTAGGCTCGCACAGACCATCCAATTGCTTAATTGTCTTACGCTGCATGCTGGTCGTCCGGGTGCTGTACTGGCTCAGCACCTCCGTGGCAACATCAACGAGTTTGCTGTAGAATAACAGAATAGAGCCGCAGAGTACAGAAATATTACGTTAAATGACGAGAGTTCAATTGCTCAGAACAGTGTTGAATCCAGAGTATAGAAACATACGTGATTGCCTCATCCGTCGTCAGCCCGGAAAAAGATCCTTCTGGCTCCATGGCCACGGTGATTTCTCGAACCCCCCTCTCCAGATCATCGTCCTCCGATTGTCGATGTACTTGCGTAGAGGAGCGACTGGGTAGTTCGTCAAAGAGAATTGGTTCGTTAGAGTCCTGGTTGATGATCCTTCTTCTGGAGCCTTGATTTCGGACGAGGCTTCCTACAGTCTCTGAGTTTGCCAGTTCTGAGGCCAGGCTACAGAGGTCCTTGGAGGATGAGGATTTTGTATGCCCCGGAGAATCGAGTCTTGAAAGTGGAATGGGATCTCTGTGTTGTACGGCTTCAGGCGTGTGCTCGTGGGAGGTGTTCTGGGACAGATGACTGAATGATTCCATCTGAATCCGATGAGGGGGCGAGGAGTTGTCGTGTAGGGTATGTTCCTGTTCTTGCTGAGGTTCCTGCGGTCGCCCCTGTAGGTGCTCCGACAGAGAGAGTTTGGGGTCCATGTCAGCCTCTTGTTTCCATTGGGTGTTGGAAGGATGCGAATGTGTGGTATAAAAGTGTCAGGAAGTATGAAGAAATATGTGTGTGACCTCAGGAGCTGTCATAGAAGAGCAATTGGGCCAAGCATGAGCTGATTAAGGGTATACTTTAAGCATTCTCAGAGTCAAAGCTGTCGCGCGGTCTTCGAGCATTCCTGTTCCTCATTCAAGCAGCCACACGCTTTCATTCATTTTGTTCGGTCTGCCGCTTAGAATCCTTGTAGAACCAGGGACTGGAACCATATCATGTCGCTCTATATAACCGCCAAGGGCTCGCCTTACAACAGGAGCCACTATCTGAACCAATCCTTGCACCACCTCGCCGAACAGTATGGTATGACTCTATTCTCAGTCAAGGACGTCAACCTGAGCTGCTCGCAGACAGTCTTCAACCCAGACGGAAACCCTATCGCAGACATCCTTGAGATCACAATGCGCGCGAGTACCATTGGGAGCAAAACTGTTGACTGTAAGTCATGAATACCTCCGCTTTCGACCGCGTGTACCATATGCCAAGCATTTGGACTAAGAACCACCAATACCCTGGCGTTCTCTTCTCGCATCAGTACAATTCTTCTATGATCCATACGATTGGTCCTTCCCACCCGACTTGATTATCCATGGGCTATCCACCAATCCCTCCTTAAGTGACCTTGGCTTGGACGACTCGTGGGACCATGAGGACCCTGCAAACCTGAGCAGAGTGCTGGGCAAACTATCACGGATGATGCAGGTACACTTGCTGCAAAGACAACAGGTCTTTACTTCAAAAGTAATGTGGGATGAGTACAGGGACGCGATATTGAACGTTCATGATCGCACGCCTCTATAGCACGGCGAACGACAGAGAGTAGCACTGTGCGACAATGAACGGATACAAGTCGAATACAGCTGCCTGCATGACATGGAGGTAATTCTACAGTCTACTCCTCATTTCCAATTAGGAAGTACGCGATCACGATGGCTGGCATAAAAGATATTGTACTGATTTTGTACCTGACTTGAACAGGAAATGGACTGCTGCTTGATACCTGGAATGGATGGACCAACAAAGGTATGCTTCTGAACCCTTGTTATCTCTATGGAGATTCTGCTTATTTGATTCATGTTCATTAACGCTAGCTTGCCTACCCGTTCAGGTTTTGTTTGCAGTGCCTTTCCATATTGCATATCATAGCAATGGAAAGAAACGCAGGACCAAAGGTATATGACTAGTACCACGAGGGATACTCGCTTAGCATGCGACAGTAACACTGGGTGACTGAGGCTTATATTTTACTCCGTATAACTCTAGTTGTCGCCAAAATCCAGTTCCTGATCAGCTCCTTGGTCCCGAACGATATCACGGCTGCTCAGAGTAAACTCGAAGTACTGTCATCATTCGAGTACCCAGAGCTCATCCAATCAGTAAGTGCCTAATAACAACCCTGGAGAGTAAACGTCAGTATTCAAGGATCGGCCACTCTGACATCCACTAGTTAATGCTTACAATTAGGTATCGGAAATTAGCAAAGAGGAGCCGATTACGGCTTATATTGAAAGAGTTACAAAGAGAGTAACGGACCATTTCGAAAGGCAAGGACGAAGCAGACAGCTGAAGAAAGAGTTTATCGAGACCATCACGACTACTTTTAAACCGTATGTTGCATGCATGGATTAGCTTTGATTTTTTTTGCACGAAAATGCTTCCTCTTGCCGCTCACATATGATTCGACTTTGTGCCGCCTGCTACCTATCTTTTCTATAGGCAACTCTTAGAGTGCGACCTTACGAACTACAGTTACGCTGCGTTCTTGTTTACGGTGCCAAAAGAGAAAATGCAAGCATCGGCGGTCGTGACATGTGAGCTATCCACTAATCGTTCACTGGAAGGGAGTGCCATTTTTTTTAGAGCATTAGTTAACATCCTGCTGCACTTAGTTTTTGTTTCTGATAGCTTTCCTGATGAGTATCCAAAGATGACGATGACGGCACCGGTTATGCCAGGCGACTCTTACACGGCAACACCACCTCCAGAGGCGATACCCATCAAACGGTACAGTCCTCGGTGGGGCGCCGACAGGATTGTCACAGAAATTTGGTAGGTTGTCAGAGTCACTTTGTGCTTTTTTCGAGACGGCGGATCAAATCCTACATATGCCTAACATGCCTATTTTGATTACTGTACCGCCATAGGGAGCAATTGTGGGACGACATCCCTCGCTTCCACACCAAGTTGTTGCATATGGCATCAAGCCAAACGACTCTCGTCTAGGTGTAGAAGAATATCGTCGTCATCCTTTGCACATCATTGCAGTAATACGACCCTCTCTTCAAATAAAATCAATGATGTGGAAAACCCTGTCTATATTCAATTACATTACGAACTATTGCCTTTCTGTCCCGTTGGGCTCCTGTTCTTTCTGGTTCTCGGCTGACCAAAACCACCGCGATACTGAGTCGACCCAGCCGCGCTCTCGCTCCCGTTCCCGTTCCCGCAGCTCGAGACTTTCCCTTTCTGGACCTCTGCTGTCGTCGTTCCCCTCTGTATCTAGTCGCGAACCATCCATCTCCCACTTGGTGCTTCCTTGCCGCATTAACCCTTCTTTATATCTACCTATTGAGGACACGTCCTCATCCGAAGAACCAAACAACATCGATCCAATCGCCGGCATCGATCCAGACTCAGACTCAAACCCAAACTTAACCTCACGCGCCAAGGGTGATGAAGCCAAGTGCGGTGGGCTCCTATACGCACTCGAGGGCGAAGTCGTCGCCATATTACGGCCATTCAATATCGGGATACCCGCACGACCACTATGGTGATGATGAGACGACAATGGCGACGATAGTGGTGGTGATTCGCTCGACCCATTATCCTGGAGCTCTGCCGATAAGATCAACGCTCGCGTCTCCAGATCTGTACGGACGGTTGTCTCAGGCTGAATAGTACTTGTAGACGCCATGCCTGCAGCTGTGCCGGTGCTCGTGTGAATGGTCGGGCGGGGTGGTTTCGTGTACCACCACTCGAGCAGCGAATCCGACTCTGAACAATCACTGCTAATGGAGGAGGCGTCCCAGTTGTCGTCCCGGTCCCGGTTCTTGTCGCTCCATGCGGGCTTGAATGGGAGTTTGTTGCTGTGCACCAAAACGGGCCCTCTCGACGCTTTACCGCCAGTTACCTGGCTGAACGAGGATGTCGATCCTGCTGAATTAGGTGGTGAAGATATTTGCTCTCGGTTTTCTTCACGAGATATGCGAGGCGGCGATGATGATGATGATGATGATGAAGTTGAGGTTGAGGATTCCTCGCTCTCCCTTCCATCCTTTGATCCCATCCCTAGGATCGACAGAACCGATTTGTTTCTTGCAGCCGATAGTCTCAATGACGAAAAGTATGGTGGCGATATTTGAACATTGTTTGGTCCATTGTGGTTGCTGTACTTGAGAAGAATCGCTCTATTGGGTAGGCCATCCAATGTCGGAAGCGGCGATTGTTGCACCAGGGCAGGTGAAAAGTTGACGAGGATGCTGAACTCCCTGTCGAAAATCGAGTGCAGTTTATCTTTGCAGGCCTTGTCGACCTCGGACTTTTGGAGGTGTAGTCTGTTGCAGTCGCTGCCGATAAACGTAGTATTGAAGTGGAAATGGCAGAGATGGCACTATATTGAATATCATCGAGTTAATGAAGAGTCCTTGATCGAGTGCCAGCCTCGTCAGCAGCGATCCACGGAATAGACACTTACTCTTTTGTAGAGACTATCATACCAGAGCATCATTTTCACGTCGCCAGCGAGTACGATTTTATCGGTGATACTTAGACGAATCTGCTGCAGCTTGTGGTCTACAACACACTATCATCAAGACATAAAGAAAAGAGTTTGTGTTACAAAAAGACATTCGGCAACAAACACTTTGAAGCATTACATGGATCCTTACATGTTGAGGAAGCGACTCATATATCTTGACATCGCCCGACATAATGGTCAAAATTAGGTCTAGAGTAGACAGAAGGAACAAGCGGACAAAGTCAGCACTCACTAGATATCCATCAGAATATCTGCCGGTGCCGTTCATGGCGTCCTTTCATTACAGTTTGATCCTGACTCAAGACTCAACAGCGGTTTGGGTATAGTGTCGATGACGATCTCATGGAGTGACAGCAGGCGTGGGTCGTAGTTGAGCGTCCTGGATTCCATAAACTGTTCGTAGTAGTGTATGTATCGGATCTGGCTTGGGATGGTGACGCCCTATATCAAAGGAATAGCACACGAGATTATTAGTCAACGAGAAGTAATTCCCATTTACCGGGTCAAGGAATATAAAGAAGAATACCGCTGTTGGACTTACGCATCCATCCAGAGTTCTCTTCTCGCCGTATAGCTTGATGGCTTCCTCAGCTGTGGCTCCACAGTGGACGAGAAAGGCACAGAGCATGACGCCCGTCCTCCCTTTGCCAGCCTTGCAGTGGACTGCAACGACGTTTCCTGGGGTGGTATGCAGCCAATCTGACACGTCTTCACAGAATGGGTGGATAAGCTGGAAGGGAGGCGGCGAGTGGTCATGGAAGGGAAATTGGGTGACTATAAGTACGGATGCAGTTCAATAGTCAGTATGTGTATATGTGTGGCAGTTACTTAAATAATGGAAATATTGCTTGCGCTATTCTGTACCTCGTCCGTGAAATCGTTGGTCAGAGTAGGATCGCTCCGAGCAGCTGTCGCGTTGATATTGGATGGATGCAAGTCATTAATGGTGTTAGTTGAATGTGTCTCTCCCTGCGACTGCAGTTGCCCTGAGCGCACTATGCGTGAATGAGCCCAGCGCTAACGCCAGGGGAAGGAATATCTCAGGGGAAGGATCACGTCATGGACGTGTGCTTGGGAAATGAATGCCAGCCAGCACGTCCAACGAGTGACTCCCCCCCCCCCCCTCCCCACGCCTTCAGCAACCAAGCACGAGCGTAACATGCAAGACAGCCTATAATAATACCGACAAAAATCAACACCCCTTTTTCTCCTCCTCGTGTTCGTTGTCGGCATGAAGTAGGGGTTTTTAAGCCGATGAATTATATGCCACATGCACCTCCTCTCCCCCCCTTCTTCTGACCCTCTCCTCTCTCTATCGCCCTTTGACGTACAGGTTGTAGACTTTGTATGCGCCCTCGTGACGGGAGTCAAGGAACCTGGAAGAGAATGCGCAGATCAAACAACAGATAACAAAAACTCATCGTCATTAGCAGCCTTTTTGAGTCAACACAAACATCGTTGTGGAGCAGGCAAATTTTTTCCTTTACTTTTCAACTTCGCTCATTGGATTGCGATAGAATGCCTCCAAGGACTTTGACGGGTATCCCATTGCGATCAATGCCGGGGTGATGTAGGCGAGGTCTAAATCTAGCCCAGCGTCCTTATCGATAAAACGGCGCTGTCGATTAAGCCGTTTGCAAAGTGTGCAGAAAATGAAGATGAGCTAGTCAGTGCGAAGGAACAAAACATGTAGAGCCGCACACTGATTTTCTTTGTGAGATAAAAATCAAGCGAAGGATAATACCTTCTGTTTAGAGACAGCATGGCGAAGTAGATTCATTCAGTGCTAGATTGTATGGGGGACGAGGAGGTCGATACAGGTACGGATACCGGATGAGGAGTACGAAGAATGCCAGGTGGATGTTAAAGGGAACTGAGGTGTGGGGAAACGGGCATAGGTGTGATTATTGTGATTCTTCGGGCGTGTTGCGTTAATAGGGCGCAGTTGTGCTGGAGTTTGGTCCAAGAGGGACTATGCAAACAGATGAGAGAGAGAGAGAAAGAGAGAGAAAACGAGGGTGGAGGAGAGAGAAGAGGTAAAGAGGTAAAGAAAGCGAAGGGAAGACTGGATAAGGCCCTACAGCGGCGAAGGACGAGCTGTTTGAAAAGGGGTGGTCAGTCGGTCGATCAGGTCTCGTCCGACTACAAGCAAATTAGCCCGCGGACGGACGACAGCGCTGCAAAAGTAGGTCGCCAACCCCTTCAGTTGAAAGGGTCATCGATGACAGCGCTGTTCCTGGAACTCTTCACACGCGCACTCAGTCAGCAAACCAGCCTGTCGGTCGGTCGGTCGTGGTCCTTTATTTTTTATTTTTTTATTATTTTTTTTGGCTTTGTATGGAGGAAGAAGGAACGAGAGGGAGCTGTCGCCAATGTTGTAGTTGGAATGGCTCGACTCTCCCAAGGAGTATTGTTGCTTTGTTTTTGCCCAGCATCGAGGAAGTTCAGTAGGGCATGGCACCTTACATAACCATCGCTGCCTATTGGCCAATTGCTCAATTGGCTCTTGTCCGTCGGTCTCTTTGCACAATACTTTTCGAGCACGTACTCTTCCTCTTTCCCCTCTCCCTTTCCATACCTCTACTCCTTTATTCCTCCCGTACCCAGCACACCACCATCATCAATGGCACCGAGGCCCCGCTGGCTCTACCCCTTCCAGGGAATCACCTACTTTCTCTCCAATCCGGGCCTCTGGCCTCGTGTGATCTTGCCCTTCCTCGTCCTCCTCGTGATCACAGTCGCACTCCTCGTGCTGGCATTCATGTACCTCATGCCGCTCCAGGTCGACTTTTTGATCCGACACTCTTGGCCAGGCTGGATCGCAAGCATTGCCGCAGCATTCTTCACTTTGCTCGAAGCTGCCCTCGGCTCATTGATCGCCTACTTGGCACTGATGCCTTTTTGGGAAGATGGTACGACTGTGAAGCAGTGAACCAAAACAGTCAACCTATGAGCTTACAAACTGACCATCGGCCTCGCTCAATTAATACTCTATACTCATAGCCCTCTTCGATGCCGTGTTGAGGAGCCGCAGGCTGGGTTACATCATTGATGCCGCACACGGAGACTACCGAACTTGCATGAACGGTGTCCTCGCTAGCCTCTATATCATTCTTTTCCAGTCCATCGTGCTGCTTTTCTTCCAGGTACAGGCAAATTTTCCCTTTTACGCTCTTGGCGGTGCTCCTTTGCGAAAATACTAATCACATTTTTCTTTCGCCTTTATTTGCCTGGGGTGTGGACAGGTCGTGTCACTGATCGTGCTGCTCCCGCTGCATGTTGTTCCCGTTGTCGGAACAATCGTCTATTGCTACCTCAATGGCTGGGTCATGGCCTTTTCCAAGCGAATCCACTATGATGTTGAGTTGTGCAAGATGAGGTAAGCCCTTATCCTCTGCCGTAGCTCTGGATGTTTATATAATACGACTCAGTGCTCACTCGACTTTTTGTTGCCGTATAGTGTGAATCAGTCCAGGAAGTATGCCTGGAAACGCCGATCCGAATTCTGTGAGTTTGGCGGGGTGGCTGTCTTCCTCGAAATGACACCCGTGCTGAACCTTTTGTTCTTCTGGACCAATGTCGTCGGTAAGTCCATACATCCCAAATTGAAAGCGGTGGCTAGACAGTTTTTGTAGAAATGTATTTTAATATCATCGCTACCAATATTGTCCTGTCTCTTGTTTAACATGTCAGGTGCAGCACTGTGGGTCGCAGATGAGATTGAAGAAGCCAGGAGACAAGATCGCATCGCAAACAGTCAGGATCAGAGCGGTTCGCACTATGTGACATTCCACCCATACGACTCGGCCCTGCCAGGATTGCCCACAGAGCCGTTGCTTGGAGGTCAGCATTATGATAGCTATAACAGTCAACCTCGTTCTCAAGCACCTCAGTACCTGCCGCCTCCCTATGACACTCAACCACAAAACCAGGCGCTTCCTGCTAATCGATAAGCAAGATATCCTCACATTTGCATTTACTTTCCCTATACCATCGACAGCGATTTAATGACAATAAAGTGCAGTCGTATGCTTAAACATTGTGTTGCCGCTCCAGGGCATTTCATGGCCATGGTGAGAGGGATGAGAGGGATAGGTTCTCTTCTGACTAAGGTGCATGGCCTTTGTTCAGGTTCAAATACGAGGAGGTCGACTGTAGAGCTTGAACGATAACCCAATTGGGGTTATACCCTCACAGGTACTCCTGCACCCAGCGTACATACTGCTGCCCTATAGACCTATCGCATCTCTTCTATGCCTTAGCAGCCATGGACTCCCCTGCATTTTGCATTATGGCACGCTAATTATCCAAGAGGATAAGTTCAACGGCAGGAGGATGCTCCCAATAATAGCCTGGGATGTGCAACCGCGCCCGTGTCTGTGTACCTTAAACTACGAAGGGTTTGTTTGCATGCCCCAAAGTAGCGAGATTGCCTCGAACTCTATCCCAAATAGAAGTATAGCCAACCAAGGCGAAATGAGAAAAATGTTTTATTGGTCTCCTCCGGAAGAGAGTTTAGCGCGACAGGGAAGAAGACCAGTCTCATCTTCCTCATCCCCATCCTTTTTCTCATCATCTTTTCTCTTTTTCTTTCTTTTCCTTCCCCTGTCTTCATCCCCCTCGACCCAACCCAATAGCCCTATTCGAGCAACAACCGCAATGCCATCACACACAACCGAGAAGCCGAGCAAGGGGTTTAAGGCTGCATCCACAAAGAGGCCCCGCAAGGTGGCAGCCGCTCCAGTCTTCGGGGGCGTGGTCAAGGCACTCCATCTCGAGAGTATCTTCAAGGATGACAGAGGTACAGTCCCTGCTGCGTTTCTGTGCCTTTACCCGGTTCCAATTACTTAGGAACGCTGTCCACTACTGCCGTCGTCAAAATATGAGGGTATTAGACGATTACAACGACAACGACAACAATAGCAGCCAACACACCCTCGACTTCATCTGCCTCCGTATGGCTGCCGGGGTTCTCATCTCCAAGTGATGGGCAGCAATGAGTTCCCATCCCACGTCTGATTGGGTCAACGGTGCAACAAAAAAAAAAATAGGTGGAAAAAAGAGAAGCAATGGAGTATAATAGGGCAGTGCAGCAATTGGTTGAGCAGGTATACCCAGGTCAAGGTGCTGGATATCACATTTGTATATGCGTGATAAAGAGAGTGAAGGGTTCTCCCCTGAAAACGCAAATGGCAGATTATCAACTTGAGGCAACAAACACAAGGAAAAGCCCAATTGGTGTTTATTCTTGTGTCACTCTGTGCTAGCGTAAGAGACAGAGATATCGTTTTCATGCCGTTGAGCGTGTGTATTTTCTTTTTTTTCCGCAGCCTGCGGGAGCTATTATTCCGACATATGTTCTTCTTAGAACATGACGGTCCTGTTCTAGGCTTTGTACTGACCCTTTTTTCTGTCCTATCTCTCATCACACAGACCTCGCCTTGAAGATCGTGGGAACCATTCTCTTGGGCTCCGGCTTTGGTCTCTCGTGGTGCAAGAGCATGACCACTCTTTCATACCCTGCCGAAGATGAGCCCACAAGCCCTGGCCAGCGCTGGACGGACGCCCAGTACTACAAGGGACCTAAGGATATGGCGTTCGTCGCATTCTGGATCATCGCCTTCACATACATTCGCTCTGTGTTCATGAAGTCGTACTTCAATCCCCTGGGCAAGCGCTTGGGCATCCGAGGTGCTAAGCTGGAGCAATTTGAGGAGCAAATGTACATTATCGTGTACTACATCGTCTCATGGTCCGCCGGCATGGTAAGGCTGTGTTTCCTTGGGCTGCAGCGTTCGAATCCTTTGGCGTAAAGAGGAGATGTGTAACTGTACAAAAATAGAGGGGTATTCTTCGTCCCTTTCTTCCATACGTATTTCTGACTTTCTAACCAAACGATATCTCCCCATCTCTTTCTTTACAATGTCGCTAGTACATGATGTACAAGTCTCCTCACTGGATGAACACTGACCACTACTGGATCGGATACCCTCACAACAAGCTCTCGGGAGAGTTCAAGGCTTACTATCTAATCCAATTTGGGTACTGGTTGCAGCAGATCTATGTCGTCAATACCGACATGAGGCGCAAGGACTACTGGGCTATGCTGATCCACCACTTTATCACTTGCACCCTTATCGGATGCAGTTATGCCGCCCACTTAACTCGCATCGGTAACGCCATTTTGGTCGTCATGGATGTTTCCGACGTCTTTCTTGCTGTAAGTTCCCAGTCTTTTACGGTTTCTATATTTACATATTTACTTATGTGGAAATGGCAGTGCTAATCAACACAATGAATATGTGACATCCTTTGTAGATCCCCAAGATTCTCAAGTACCAGGGCTACACCACGATCTGCGATTACCTCTTCGGACTCTTCGTGGTCTCCTGGGCCATTACTCGCCATTACCTGTTCCCCATCATCATCATGTCTCTCTACAACGGACCTCAGAAGTACCTGGACATGGAGTGGAATCCAGAAAAGTCCAAGTTCATGAACTTGACTGTGCAGCGTTATTTCTTGGCCCTGCTCTATGGTCTCGAGGCCGTCCTCTGCTTCTGGTTCCTTATGATCTTTAAGGTCATCTATAAGATGTTCAACGGCGCCCCTGCAGACGACAACCGAAGCCACGATGAAGATTCGGGCGAGGAGGAGAAGACCGAGGCCCAGAAGCTCGCTATCCAGAGTAAGGGTGTTGCTGCTGGCAAGGAGGACCCTACAGTCCTGAAGCAGCGTGTTAACGGAAAGAGGGCATAAAAAGTACAGCCCTCTTTTGCTGTTCTTGCCAAAAGCGGTGAAGGAACCCGGCGAAGGCGAAGGTGAATTGTTTGAGGGCTCACAGCTGCAGCACCAGGGAGAACATTCTTCTATTTTTTGTTTTTTACTTGCAATGTACCTTTTTATCGTTTTTATACTTGTTTTTAGTCGTTTCGTGCTTTTCCTCGCTGACCCATACAATCGCTTCTACCGTCGTTTTTTTTTTTTTTTTTGCTTCGTTCCGTTCACACTAATGCTCATATCCATGTCTTCCGTACCCAAGAATAAAAACTTCAAACAAAATACCGCTTTTGTCGTCGCATTAGATTAGATCTTTATTAGAACTATCCGTCTTTCTCTTCGTCGTCGTCATCATCATCATCCGAGACAATCAAAAACTCTTGGATCTGCTCACGAAGACTCTCCCGTGGGTCCACATTGGCAGCCTTGGCACCATGAGATGACGACCGCGCCTCATATTCCTCTAGCGATGAATATCCTGTGCGATCTAGAATAGTTTCCGCCACGTATGGAGGTAGGTCGAACGATGATGTATCCTGACCGTCCTTGCTACCCAACATCTTCAGGTTTAGATCGCGCAAGTTCGTCAAGCAACCGTAGCAGAGCAGAGCTGAGAACGGCAACGTTGCATTCGCATTATGGCTCTGCTGTGATTGTGGCATGCAAGAAGACGTCGAACCGCTACTTCCACAGCATTCTGTTCCTTTGGACGAGCAACATCCATCATTCGTTCCTAATGTCTCTACTGCGCTGTTAGAGGCACTGGAGGGTGCAGTGGTTACTGTAATGCGGTTTTTCCACTCCTGAACACCTTCCTGAACGGGGCTATAGGGGAGAGGAGTCGTATTTGCTATTAGGTTCTGTGCACTGATTCAGAGTCGCATCTTTCCATAGCAAAATGAAGGACCTACCCAAGACACAGAGGACACTTGTTTTCATATGTAACGTCCGGCGGAGTCAACTTGGCCGCTGTCCTGCAAACAGTCGCCGCGGTCGAAGGAAAGTCCTTGTCCAGTCCCGTAATGAACTCCTCCGTAAGTCGGCTGATACTCTTCACCTCGCCCTTTGTCTTTACAGTCCAGTCGAGACTTGCTGCGTGTTTCTCAATCAGCCCAAGCTCGTTCAGCCTACAAAACGTATCCAGCTCGTTCACCAGACAGTCCTTCAATGGCCGGATCACCTTGCACCCCTGGACCCAATTCGACACCAACGACGTCTCGTGTGGTAGCGAATACCCCCGTCCAATGGCAGTGAGTCCGATGATCTGAATGGCGACTCTCGTTGCTGAATCTCCCAATGCAAGGATCGTGCACTTTGCGCGTTTGGCGAGCTGGATCAATAGACTGGATCGGAAATGTTGCAAAATCGTCTCCTTGGCTGTCAAGGTCGTGCAGGCACTCAACAGAGCCTTCAGCTTTTCAGTTTTTTCCGCGCGTGACAATTTCGACCGACCGGATGTCGTAGTTGATGCCTCTGTAACGGTACTGTTGGATGTGATGGTCGGTGAGAGAGGGAGAATCCGTGATAGTAACTCGGGTGCCTGACCAGAAGTTGCCAGCTGATCCTTAGAGCTAGAGGTCATGATCTCAACAACGGCTTCAAAGCACCGAGAGTCTGTCCATTCTGGGTCGTAGATGTCCTCGATCCGTACTCCGTGGAATTTATAATTATATTTTGTTGCGATTGACTGCGCCTGCTCCATGGTTGACTGCGACTCGGAATCCTCGCCTGTTGTTGGTTCGAAGAGAGATGATTCGTCGATATGACAGACATGAATGTCGTTGTAGATCTTTGGCTGCTGTTTGTTGGAGATGACCTCCGGAGGAAGTGAATGGAACACGTCAAAGAAATGGACTAACGATCTTCAGAAAAAGGAGAGAAAAGAAATGAGGCAGTATGAGTCGATGTGCCCTATGACAACCGCAGTTTCCATTGATTCACTCCTTTGATGGCCAACATACCTTGACGAGGATCCTCCTGAAAAAGCGAGCATGACATTCTCGGGTGTAATGACTCTATAAGGACGGGCATTACGAAGTGCTGTCCTGAACTTGGAGTCGAGTGCGATCAGGAAGCAGGGGCTAAAAAAAGGTACCGAATAATACCCCACTTGTTAGTGTCCGGTCATACGAGAGGATCGACTGGAACCTGAAAAGAACAACGATGGATCAACAAAGAACATACTCGCAGTATTCAGCATATCGAACGACGATGGTCGACTTTGCCGTCTTGCACTTGCAGCAGAAGCCAGCGTGGACTGCCCTAGCCTTGGCTGTAAAAAAAAAAGGTCGAATGTTAAAATCAGTCCTGAATGCTTGTCGAAAAAAAAAATGCTCCAGATTCCTTTGACAAAGGTACCTCGCTTCTCGGCTACTGTCATGGTGGGTTCGTCTACTGAGCACGACATGGTGTATGATGTATGCTCGGCGATGTGGAGTTGAGATTGAGTAGCACTGATCAGACACTTATTTGTCCGCCACAAGGTGGCCGAATCATGTGATGTTGGCCACCAATTTTTTTTTCTAGCAGCAGCGCTAAGAGATGGTGGCAAAATCGAGAGCCCGTGGGCACCGTCTTGCGTCTGACCGCACCTGAGAACCGATCATTTTGTTTTGCTCACAGGCTGAGGAAACAAAGGGGTACATGTACAGAAGAAAAAAAAAAAAAAAACGTCGTTGACCCCTTGATTTCTCCAGGGGGTTGGGCACAAGCTGGGTGAACGTGCGCTTATTTTTTGGCACCTCCCTCGGCCTCAACGGGCACTAGCACTTATCACTTATCAGTCTATCCCACAATTACGTGCCTCACCATTGTTTCTAGGTAATCTTGTTTCCCCCTTCTCCTCCTTCTGTCCCAGATCCACTGTTTTTTCCCGCACCCGCAGAAAGACAGACATGATGTGATGGTGTCTCCCGTCTGAACTTTGACGCACGATGCTATCTTGAGTGTTCTTTTATTACAGGCGCACTCCACTTTTCGATGGCCCATTGGAGAGAGAAGGGCAATTAAAATTTACTGCATGCATGCATGCACCCTCTTTTTTTAACAAAAAAAAAAACCAAAAACGTGGCCTACAAAAATATTCTTCCTCGTCTTTTTTTTTTCTGCGATCTGACGAAAAAGGACATAAAGGCGATGCTGCAAGGACGAGTTTTCTCCAATGTCCGAAGGAACGAGATCGAAGAGATGACAAATGCGAAGCACGGTCAGGATAAAAGAAAGATGCCGCGTATAGTTTACTCCGCAGATGATGGATTATTCCGATATCGATTTCAGCACAGCTACGCAGAAGGCCAAGCAGACCCCTTATTCAATTCGAATTTACCTTCTTCCGCAGCTTCATTCCCACCTTCAACTCTCCAATGGGAAGTTTAAGAAGTTTTAATAAGCAGCTTAAGCGGTGGTGGTGGTGATGGTGACCTTACGTGACAGCTTGTACCTGTTCAATTGCTCTGAGAGAAATTGATGTGGACAAAAGGGCGATTGAAAGACAGACAGGATGGACGCGTCGACTTTGTGTTCAGGTGGCGAAAGTCAGTCAAAGTCAGTCGAAGTCAGCCCGGTTAGGAACACCAAGCCAAACACGGCAAGAAAACATGAACGAAAACAACGCTTTTGCGGACCATGGAAGAATCCCCCTCCCGCTCCTAGTCGGGCTTCTCAAAGGGGAAGTGGAAACAAGCGATGGCAATCAGATCGTTCGTCCGTTTGTCCGTTCATTCGTTCATTCACACTCCACTCTTCTTCCTTCTGCTCACACATACACACACACACGCTTTCTCTCCCTCACTTTATTGTCTTTTGTACTTCAGCAGACCTGTATTTTGTATATCACATATTTGTATTGCACACCACTCGCTTTGTTCCACCCTTGCTCCCTCTTTCTCTCTCTCGCATTCGCGCACCTCTCTCTTCTACCACACGACCTTTTCTTCTTTTTTTTTCTCCACTCCACTCCACTCCTCTCCACTCTACTCTACTCCACTTCACCTCACTCTGCCTCACTCTACTCTACTCTATCCAGTCCGCTCTATTCCACTCGCTACTTCAACAAAAGACACCACAGCGCACTTGCTCGCTGAACCACAACCAAAAGTCAAGAAGACAGATGGGAAACGTTTCCTCAAAGCCCTCAACCGATACTCCTCTCTCTGCCTCCATACCGACTTCCCCCTCGTCCCAGGTTACTTTCGACTTTAAAACCACCTCTCCCTCAACCACCCTTGCACCACAAGCAGCACCAACACCAACCAGGTCCTCGTTCTCCGTCGAATCGCCCTCGAAGAAGGAGAGGCGGCATATCCAGCACCAGCGTTCATTTTCGTTTTCGGTGCGGCCCATCGCTTCCAGAAGCCAGCACAGCGACAGTGGCAACAGCACCGGTAAGAGTCAGGATGAGGTAGTCCTTGCCCGCAATAGCACCAACTCTAAAGCCGACAGCGCCAAAGATACCAATACCAGTACCAATACCAGTACCAATACCAATACCAACCCCGCCTCTACCGAGAGTCTCGCAGATTTGAAAACAGCCCGTGCAGAAAACGACGAAGCAATGAATTCGTCAGTTCCAACAGCCTTGCTGCTTGACAAGCCTTTGCCCGCATCCCCCTTGCTCCGCCCTCCTACACCCCCACCCAAGGATAGGTTTCCACAGAAAACTGTGCAGCTGCTGCTGTCCCCGGATAAGGCATTAGCATTTGCAGAAACAATCCATGACAACCGCCAAAAGGATCTAGCCACAAAGATCTCCCGGTCTAGCTCCCTCTCTCAACAAAGTGTTCATTCCCAGTCTTCGCTTTCCGACAAAAGTGTCGTCAGTAGCAGTAGCGGCAGCAGCAGTGGAGGGAGCGCCAATAGCAACGGCAGCAGGAGCGACAACAGTGCACGTACCGCCACGACTCCAACAACGTCTGTTAGCGGGGGAACCATCGAATCCGTTGGACAACTGAGTCTGCAGCGATTCCCGACGGGCGAGAGTGAGTATAAGGTCAAGTCCTCCTCAAAGTTCAGGCAAAGCCATGGCACCCAGGCTAAGGCGCCTCGAGCTACATCCACGGTCTCGTCATCTTCGGCCCGATCTTCTTCCGGTAGTTCAGGATTTAAATTTTCCAAACCCAACTTGTCGTTCAAACCATTGCTTTACAGCAATGGCAACGATAGCAAGAACCAGCAGCACCTGTATCAGCATCACAACAGCAGCAACCCATCTGCTTCGCCGAATGGCTACCCGCATCAGGCCTTGGACGCCTTTGCAAACTCGCCTTTCCCCACGATCTTGATGACAATCCAACTGCCACAATCTCTCCTGGACAAGTACGTGGTTGATCAGGAGAGTTTTCGGCATGGGAAGGGAATCTGGGGCATCGGAAGGTACAGTTGGACGATCACGGTTCTCTCGAGATCGAATGGCAAGAAGGTAAGCTTGAGGGAGCGCATGAGAAAACAAGGGTTTGAACCGCGGGTGATGATGTTAACCAATTCTCTTGACTTTCAAAAGTATGTGATCAAGAGAGTCTCCAAGTCGCTTCTGCCCCCATCTGCGTATTACCACTACCCGACGACAGCACACCGACTGTGCACCTGTCCTGCATGCAAGTCAAGTCGAGAACAACTCTTATTGTCCGGTCAACTGGACCAGAAGGAGCTGGAGAATATGCAGGAGGTCCTCATTATCGAGAACAAGGGAAAGAAGGAGCTGCCGCAACTGCCCCCGTCCTCGCCGCAACTGCAGCCTTCGAAGCTCCAGTCCAACCGTCTCTTGTCCACCTCGTCAATCTCATCCTCAGCCACCAAGGATCCAAAAGACAAAGACAAATGGAGGAGCTTCAATCTCTACAGCGTTCACAACGTGAGTATGCCAAACCAGCAGGGCAAATCTCTGACGTTCAGCGCCAACTCCTCAGCGCAGAGTACCCCGGCCAACTCTCGACCCTCGACCCCGTCACCTTCCCCTCTTCGTCTGTGCTCAAATCCTTCCAATGGCTCTGTGAAAGTCCACAGTAGGAGCCATAGTCATCATGTATCCTCCGCCACACAGTCTTCCCATTATCCATTGCTTCCATCTGCAACGCCGCTTTCTTGGCCATACAAGGATAGTGACCCGATGGTGCCACAAAGTCCTAACAGAATCATCACTACCTCTGATTTGAGTCATGGACCACACTTAACCACCCAACCACCCGCGGATATTTTTTCGGAGCATGCCTCAGCCCGTTCGTCCAAATCGGCCCTCAAGTCCCTCGGCTCTTCTCACGGTCGCAAAAGGAGACCGGCGCTCAAAAGACATGCATCAACGCCCAATTTATCGCGACCATTGACTGGATTGGATCTGCTGGAAGACGATCCATTAAAAGTAGATCAACTGAGACAGCTCACGCGGCTCAATACAATTGATTGGCATCCTCAGGACGGGAAGAACCACCGGTACCAGCACAATGCGAATCCGTTTAATTTGGGAGCAGATCGACGGCTTCAGGATTTCCCGCTGCCTACGTCCGGCACAGCAAAGGAGACCATATCTAACCACGAGGAGGGAAAAAAATTGGGGTCGTCATCAAGGCCTTCAGTAGACTTGGAGAAGAAGGTGGATCCCTTTGACACGAACGGAGGCGAGTTCAGACATCTGGAGCCGGAATCACCAAGATCGACCAAAGCTCCGGCACCCCAGGGATTCACTCCGCCTCAACATGCGCTGCCCATGGAGCTCGTGCTGTTGCAGACTTACAATGACTCGGATCATTTACCAGAGCATCATGAGTGGACACAGGATCAGGACTACTGGTACTATGTAACGAAAGCACATGGAGTCAGGAGACGCAAGTTGAAGAAGGTCAGCACCTGGTGGTTGGATATGGGCAGTCTTGGGAGCGTCATCATGTCGGGTTCGTCGTCGTCTTCGACCGAGCCCATTGCGACGGGACCGATCTACAATATGGGACATGCGACAGGAACCTCATCACCGCATATGTCTTCGCCGCTCTCGTCCGAGTTGCAACTGTCGAATGGTCAGAGCAGTGGTCGCCAGACGCCGAATCAGGAGTCGTTGTCGTCGCAGATCAGTAATGGCGGTGCACACTATTCACCCAGCGTGAACGCGACGATGAAGAGGCAGGGCTCACCAAGGAACAGCCATATGGGCAAATATTTTTATGTCGATTGGGACGAGTACACATCCTTGTGATGAACACGTTTTTCTCTCTCTTTTGGTGTTGTTGTGCAAAATGGCTCTTTTTGCTGCACTACCCAATTATACCCATGCCCCATTTTTCATTTCCCATTCCCCCCTTTCTTTTTTTTTGGCTGTTGTCAATATCCAAAGTGCTCGGAAAAAAAGGTGTACATAAGGCAAAAATTAAAATAAAGTATAGTAAAAATATAACAGGAATTCCTCAACTCCAAAGAAAAAGAACGTTTTCCTTTCGTAAAAGAGGGGGGGAGAAGGGGGGGGGAAGAGCGAACAGGGGCTGAACCTCTTTTTAATTTTACGGACATGATGGCTATTCTTGCCTCTCTCTTTTTTTTTTACTTTTTTTCTATACGATGTTGCACATTATTTATAGCTGCTGCATGGTCTGCAGCGGTAGAGAATAAAAAATAGGGAAAGAAAAAAAAGCTCAGATGTCGAAGGATTTTGAGTTGGAGTTGTAAAAGTTGTATCCGTCGTTATCTGCATAGTCGTCGGTAACCATGTGCATCGACACTGTCGTCCAAATACAAGAAAAAAAAAAAAAGAAAAAAAGACATCATGTTAGAAGGGATAAACCAGCGAGTTTCAATCAAAACTCATACGGGGTGGGAAACATTAGAAAAAAAAAAAAAAAAAAAAAAAAAAAAAGATTCAACTTACACGCGACATTGGTAGCATAGGCCAAGAACATGACCGCAGACAAAAGTGTAGGCCCGACGCGGTCGTAGAATCTCACGTCCGCTCTCAATTGAATCATCCACCGATGCCGCAGATGAAACACCATTGTCGCGTACACGAGCGTCATCATCGTCACCATCACCAAGAACAGGCCCACCTGCAACCCCACCGCCGTCGTTCCTTGACCGAAACTCAAGAGCGTCAGGGCCATGGATCCGAGGTGGAGACCGAATTTTATCCAATGCATGTATGTCCGCTCATTGGAGAAGAAGCACTTGGAGTCTACCCTGAGTCCCTTGGACCGGTTTTGGTGCCGGCGGCGCTGTCCTGGTTCGGGGAGTCCGAAGATGTAGTACATATTGGAGGATAGCACCAGTGGGGCGGAGGAGGCCGTGTTGTCTTTGGTGGAATAACGCGACTTGCGGGAGGAGAGTTCTTTCAGCACTGGGCGATCCGGTGAGTTGTCCGGCGAGGGTGGGAATTGCGCAGCGATAGGCGCACCGTTGTTGCTGTTCCTGCCGCTATTGTTCCGGAGACGCTCTTGGACCCGTCGGATCAAACCCCTAATCCCTCTTGCAGGAATCGCCGGCACTGGTTTAGCGTCACAGAGCGTGGACGCTCCTGAGGCATGGGATTCTGCAGGCGAAGAGACCACATCCGAAGGAGACGTATTCGTATACCCAGACGCAGACGGCGAGGCCGAGTGTCCCAATACGGCCGTCTGATCTGTGTGCGCCGTGGATGTGGAGGTATGGAGGACACAGGTCGAGGCCGAATGGGTAGAAGGAGCCGGAGAGTGGGAAAAGTTTGAAGGACTACTCGGCTGCATGGGGAGCGTATCCGCGCTAGTGGTGCCGAAACGCATGCTGCGGAATTGTTGGACACGGCGGATTTGGCGGTTGAAGAATTGCATGGATCGGGAGCCGTCCATGGTCTGGGTCGCTCGGATGGCGGTGTTGAGGCTTTCGGTGCTGACGAAGAGCGCAGATTGGTTGGATGGTAGGAGTGAAGGTGGGTGGTGGCGATGATCTGGGATATGGGTGATGCTGTGGACGCGCTTGCGGTATGTGTTGTCGCTAGGACGTGCATGCCGGTCCTGGGCCCCGCGCATGCCTGCATCAGTCTCTGAATCCGTGAAATCAAAAGACACACCGGTATCAGATGCGATACTGTTTGCTGAACCAATGTTTGCAGAAGTCCATCGCAGGTGATTCCCGCTTGTCAGGGGCATCGCAGTCGACACAACCGTCGCTGTAGGTCGCATATGTGGTATCGCACCCGTAGATTGAGATCTCTGACGGTAGAGCATCCATGGGACCCCATACTGCTCAGATGAACCCTCTGGCTCGAACATCCTTCCGCCGAACGCATCCCTGTCCCATTTGCTCTTGTTGTTGCTCGCAGAGTTCCCGTCGGTAGGTTCTTGAACGGGCGTCTTTAGAGATTCGATGACGATCCCCTGCAGTTGGTTCGGGGATTGGAGCGCGGCATTGCTCTGTGATCTACAGGGTGGTGCCTGCAAGGTCTCGACGGTCAGCCGATTTGATGCTGATGACGCTGATGACGCTGATGACGTTGATGACTCGCTTGTGGATGTGGACTCTCCACAATCGTTGTTGAATGTGCTGTTCATTATGTGGTATATGGTATAAGATGTTTGTGCGTAGGGAGAGGAGCTATGTAGAGAATAAACAGGAGGAAAGAGCTGAAAGCAGCAGAGCTGGCGATGACGGACGCAGCCGGATACCAGATGGAGTGTATCTATTGATAACAAATTGCCAACCAGGCTGCCATTCTCCTTAGCGGCGGGCATCAAGCAAGTTTCTGTGCTCCATGGAATATGGAATCTGCAATGCCTTCTTTAACCTGCATTTCTCTCTCTCTCTCTTTCTCCCTCGCATTAATCTTTTTTCTCAGTTCTTTGGTTGAACACAGAGAGTAAAAAAAAAAGTTCTGTTCATCTATTTTTTATTTTCTCAAGGTGGGGGAATACAGATTCTATTTACATGGGCGAAGCACGAGGAGCTTTTTCGTCTTGCCGTCGCGATCTTTTTTTTTTTTTTTTTCCTTTCCTAACACCTTAAACAGCAATGAGGATTGCAGCTATCAGGGCGCCGAGTGCAGCCCACTTGCCCTTCACTGTCTCTGCAGAGCTCGTGACTTTCTGAACCTTCTTGGCGACAGGCATAGTTCTTGAGCTCTCGATCGTAATATCGTCTTCCTTATCGGCGACCTCGTCCTTGTCGACATTCTCATCGCCAGCGATGCTATTCTTGAGGTTAGCAGAGGTGATGTTCTGCTTCGAGATAACTCCATAGGGGTCCTCGACGTTGTTCATAATATGGTATGGAACCTTGGTGGGGCTTCCAGAGGCGGCCTTGAAGCCAAGGTCCTTCTGAACACCAACAGCACGCTCCTCGATCCACTTCTTTAGGCCCCAGTTACCCTTAGTGCCGTCAGTGAGACCCATACTCAGATCCTGGACCGTGAACTTTTCACTCTTGCCCTTCGATAACCTAGGCTGAATGCGGTCCCAGGCAACATCTTCCTTGATCATCTTTGCATACGCATCCAGGCGTGGCGTCAGGGCATCGGGGTTGAAGACGTAACTGACAGTGTCCTTGAGGATCTGTTCAAAGCGTGCATTGATCTCGGGTGTCTCCATAATCAACTTCTGAGCCAGGGGGGACTCGAAGCCTTTGTCATTGACCTTGGGGATTTTGCGGTAGGATTCGATCTTGCCATCGAAGGATGTTCCGAAGGTATCATCGAAATCTGTGGGCAGCCAGGTCCATTTGCCGGTAACGGGGTCGTTGTAGATCTGGTAGTTTGAACCCGAAATCCAGTACGAGTCCCAGGAACCGGTGAGGTATTCCATGGCCATGGCCTTAAGGAAGCCATCGAGGTCGAGTCTCGCGTTCCAGTAGGCGATCGGATCCTTAGTCTTCTTGGGATCGAAATTCTTGAGGTCAGCCATGAACTGGATCAGATCCTTCATGGGATCATCCTTAGGGTTCTTGCCCGGCAAAATATTCTTATAGATGTCTTCGATGACATAGCTCTTGGTTGTGGGTCCGAGCCACTGGAGGTTACCCTCATATCCGCAGCACGAGTTCATCTTCCAGAGCGCACCGGGTACGAGCTTCTTGGTTTCGGGGTGGAGGACTTTCTTGATCCAATGCGCCTTCATCTCTTCGACGGCGACAAAGAGGCCCACGGCCTTGCCGTTGAGGAAAAGACGAACGTAAGCAGCCTGCTGAGCGGGGACTCCCAGGGAGTTGAGGATGTCGACGTAGATTTTCTCGCGGATCATGGTGGCATCGGTCTCCTCATTGCGAAACTTGAGGGTGGCAAGGTCGAGCAGGCGGTTCTTCTTTGGGAACTTCATCTGGTAAGCCAGTTTAGCGTACTCGCGTGCAGACTGTCCTGAGAGATTGAACATAACGTCCTTGATCTTGATGTTATCGTTGGCACTTTGCGACAAAACGTTGCATGGATTAATATTCGTTGCGTAGAATTACAACATGGAGAAAAGAAGAATATGTAACGACTAGAACAGTAATAGCCTTACCCAATATACTGGATGTTAGCTTTGATGGGCTTAGGATGGAAGCTCTCGCCTCCCTTATTCAAGTAGTTCAGCTGTGCCTGGTCAGCCTCGACAAAGAAGGTTCCAATATATCCTTCTCTGAAGAAAGGCGAGTTCTGCTGAAGCTTGTTCTCGTAAACCTGGGGCAATGGCGGGAGGCTGCTCAACGTAGTCGTTCGATCAAAGAATTCATTAGGTGTGTGTGCGGCGCCTGCAGGCAGCTTGCGGGCACCCTTTTCTTGATTCGCGACCTTGCCATCCTTGTTCAGGTGAACGTATTGGTACTCGAGAGGACCATTGACTCCGGCAACATTGGCAGACCATAGTGGGTATGTTTCCGTAGAAGTGGTCAGCCTTGTGATATTGCCGTTGATCTGGACTCCAAACATGTCGTCCACACCTTCGCGTAAACCGACGACATTGAATGTGACTGAGCAGCGTTTGCAAAGGACGGGATGTTAAGTTGGTGATGAGTTTAGTACTGGACATGTAAAAGAGATACGGCAGCGTCTTATGATGAGACGCGCGAGCCATGGTGCGTCAGAAGAAAAAAAAAAATGTTGAACGTTACCATCGGCCATAGCCATGGTAGCGCAGGCCGCCAAACCGAGGATGAGACGGACCATCGTGCGGTATACGAGTGAGATTAATTGACTAGGAAGGGTAAAGTTATACTGATGGAGCGGCGAGCAGATCAAGGACGAAGGGTATGAGGAACTAAGGAAATGAAAAGCTTGCCTAAGTATCTCATTATCTTCTTATATACCAAAACGCGAGGTGCAGTAGATTCTCTTTTGACCTTGGGTAATGTACTCTCTTTTCAGGGCGTAGGGCTTGTGTAAAATTCTGGAATGATTCCATTCCTGCCGTCCTGCACTGTCTTTAGTTTGCTCGATATTTTATGGAGCGTGCGCGATGAACAACGCACACGACTTAAATGCATGTCTTAAGTGCATCAAGGTGGAAGGCACGGTTAGGACAGACAAGCGGGCATATTGATGTTCCATTGGATAGGACCTGGACAGGAGCACCAACTGAGATCCTGGCGATAGTATCGGTGGCGTGACCAAGCAGTTTCTTTGTGGAATTATATGCAGCGCCCAGGATATGATACGTATCATCAAGACATTACTAGGATCCTTTGTTTTCCAAATGGAGGCAAAAGAGTCCGGGTTATACGCGAACGTGTGCTGCATGGATATTTGGACGGAATGTGCGTAATGGTGCATACACCTGGTACTGGTCTGGTCCGCTGTGGTTTGGATGGTTTGGATCCTGGGTCTTGTCCGAGCGTTTTTTTTCTTTCTCACTTGTGGAGGAGGGCGACGCGTCAGCTATAAAATCAGGGCTCTCTTTCCACTTGCGCGTAGGTTTCGTGTTGCTTACTTACATGTCTGGTAGTCGTCATCCACCCATCCCGTATCTTGGACTCTTACACGCGTACGAGGGGTGTGCACCAATACCGCCAGTACAAGGATCAAACAAGGCCGTGTTGCATAAGATGCTCATCTCACGTGATATTGATTGATTGGATTGCACAACCAACGATCTTTTTTTTTATGCCCTTCTGGTGGTCTCGCTTTACTTGTGCCCCTCGCTTGTTCCTCGCTTGCTTTCTTTCCTTCCTTCTTTCCTTCCTTCCTTCCTTCCTTCCTTCCTTTTCTTTCTTCCTTACCATATCATATCGCTCTCATATATCATCCGTCCATACACACACACACTCCCCTTCGCTCTCTTCTTCTTCCCCTCCCATCTTCAGCTTCTCTCCACTCCTCTCCCCTCCCCTTCGCATTCCCTCGTACAGCATCCACCTGTCGTCAGCAACTGCAGCCAACTTCCTTTCTCCAGCAGTTACTGTTCCTTCCCCCCACCCTCCTCCACCCTCTCTTTCTCCACGATAAAAAAGCCTTTCCAAATGGGTGACAGTCCGTGCTTTGCCATCCCCCACTCCCACTCCCACTCCCCCTCCGCCTTCCAGCACCCCCATCAGTTCACCGGGAACCTGGCCCAGCCCCGTCTACCCTACCATCACCAGCGCCCCTTTCACAACAACAATCCCAACCATACCATGGACACCCCTCGCTGTAAGTCATTCCTCATTACTCAAAGGAACACCTCATCACGCCATCACACCATCACACCCAGACATCCACAATAATCATCGCCTTTTCATTTGAGTTGTCTGTCTGCCTTTTTATCTTTTCTTTTTTTCTTTTTTTCTTTTTTTGGTTTATGGACCTTTAATGTCCTGCCAAGGGTCTTCTGGACTGACCCAGAATGCATTCTTTGTTTTGCATTGCCGCACATACGCAATTGACGTTCTTTTCTCCCCCTTCCCTCCCCCTCTATCTACTGCTACTGTCGCACACACTTACACAATTTTGCTGCCATGTCCGACACAATAGCGACGCTGAAACGTAAGCCGAGCGAGGATATCGACAGTCCTATGCCCTCGTCCGGGCCACCCTCGCCCTCGGACAACAGCAGTGACAGCAGCAGCCATGAACAGGCCAAGGTCAAGCGAGTCCGGACGACGGCGGAATTGATCTCCAAGCAGAAGGGTGTGTCCAAGCTGATTGGTAAGTCCAAGAATACCATGCTAATTTTCTTATTTTTTATTTTACTGGTCCCTCTCGTTCGTATGGTGTCGATTCGTTCAACAAAAGCGACTGTCACTTGTTTAGCCTTGCGTACGTGTGTATGTGGTATGCTCAGCATATCAGCACACACGCAAGCTGCGCCTACACCTCTTGCGCGCGCACGCATACATCGCACATTGCTCGCACATACACGATACGCAATCGGACCGAGCTCTGACATGATATCCGTCTTATCGGGTTGGTCGCTCTTTTGCTCAAGCATGCACTAACGCCACTTTTTTTGCTTTCGTAGCCACGCTCTCGACCTCACAGCTCATTAACCTCGTCGGGACCCTCGTTGACAGCCACCCTTCACTCGCAGAGGAAATCGCCAATCTCGTGCCCCGTCCCACCGTTGCCTCTGTCCAACCTCTGCTCACCTCATTAGAGACAAAGCTGCAGGCAGCCTTCCCCTACACCAAGTGGGGCCCCGGCCGAGATGACTATTCGTTCAACAGAGTCAAGCCTGCTCTGGAGGAACTTGTCGTACGTATCCAATCATTTCACAGTGGTACACTGAGGGTGCTCTTTCACGAAACTATGTGTACTAATCTGTATTATGTTTCGAATCTTCTAGGAAGCACTCATGGACTATACCAATCACTTCACTTCACCACCAGAGTTCCCGACAACTTCGTTCTCCTTCCTTCACATCGCCACCGAGTTCTGTCATCGACTCCCGAACTGGGACAATGCTGCCAACAATGAGCTAAAGACGAATCTTTACAAATCGTTGGAAGAATTTTGGATCAAGGCCATTCGGGATGCCAACAGCAAGCTGGAGGATGGCAAGATCTATGGCCAGATGACCGTCCAGGAGTGGGCAAAAAAGTAAGCATTCCAATTGGGATTACATCCAAGGCGTCGTTGATCGGCAATTGAGTGATCCTAACCACTGGTACCTCCTCTTTCATTGTCTTAATAGTTTGGAGCAGCACAACATCACATCTCAAGGACGATTTTCAACTGCGATCGAGGAGTTCAAGGCGAAACTTGGCTGGATCATCGGCATTCAACCTTCGGCCAACCATAATAACAAGCAGTAACATCGAGGAGTGTCTCAGTAAACCACGGCAACCGTAGCAGCATTGATCGGTGTGGTCGAGCTGGAAACAATGCGTAGGGCGGGGGCTGGATCCCCACATCTTTTCCTCCGATTTCAACACAAGGAGTTCCTGGATCGACTGTCACCATCATCGCCCAACCATTTGTAAATATCAACAATATCCAAACCATTGCTCCTCCTTCTTCTTCATCACTCTCTTATTGCTGTCATCATTTTTCTTTCTTTCTTCATCTGTAGTTTTCAGTCCTAGATTGACTGCTTGCTTGCTTTGTTTTCTATTTTTCAGCTTCTGTTCTACTAGTATTTTCAATCATACATTGCTTCATTCCCATGTTCTTTTACCATCTGTCCTCTATATGTTGTTAAAAATAAATAATAAAGCATCTATTTCTTCTAATCGATACAATATGAAGAAAGTCGCAATAACGGATACTGAATGTAAAATCGGCGAGCCTTCAGCGGAACAGAAGGAGGAGGAGACGTATGCGGCTCAATAGACGGATATGGTGCCTTCTTCTGTCCATTGATCAGCGCGATCAGACGCACAGGCGAACGAATGCTATGGCTCTTCTGTTTGAAAACGCTCTCTTTTTCATTCGTTGCTGTCGCTGTCGTATCCCGTTCGTAGCCTTGTTTCATATCGCGTTCGCTGAGATTGCGCCTCTGGTGATGAATTTTTGGAGCTGTTGGCTCGTCTCGCTCTCGCTGCCAGTGCTCTCCACAATATCGTTTTCATGATCTTTTTGATCTCGAAGACGACTTCATCCAGACGTTACTGGCTGGCTTGTTTGAGATTGAGCGAGCTCTTCCGGCTATAATTGACTTGAAAAAAAAAAAATTGGATGAGCATACAAAAAAAAATAACTAATTGTGTGAGGTTGTACCTGATCTGGGCATTACCATCTTCCGATTATCAAACAACTCTGCCTATGATACTACGGTCAGCAGACTTCTTTATAGCTGCTTGTTACAGAACCATATTGTTTTTATGTAAACATGTTCTCGAGTATTGAAAAAATGTGGCGATCAGTAATAGCTAGTCCATGCTCAACACTATTGTCGACTCATGCTGTTGCTGCCACGCGGCTCCTTTGCTTTCCGTTTTTTTCCCTGACGTGATCGTATTATCGTTGTAAGCCCTGTTGGATCCGACGATCGCGTTGATGATGAAGAAGCGTTTCCTGATCGTGAATGACAAATCTCCCCTCTGTTACAACTAATACTAAAACTTAACCTGCTGTAGACCAGATCCATGTGTTTTTCAATGGTCGTTGGCGATCTACTTTATTAAAATGATTTCCAGGCCATCCATTTACGGTCAGAGGCTATGATATACGTGTATGATATTGTCATAACCAAGTCCTATTAGGAACTCCATGCTTTCCTTTTGGTCGATCTGTATATCTAACCAAGGCGTAACGGCCACAGTACATTCTTAACAAAGACCTTGTTTGCTTATGCAGTGAATTGCCATATTATCGAAAGGAATACACGTCAATCACTTTGGCCTTTAGATCGGGAATCGCCACATTCTCTCATAAAAAGGGTCGCTTCTTTTAATTGAGTTTGAACGCTATCTACGGTCGCGTATTCAAGTTAGGCCCATGAGTCCTATGCTTCAACTTGTACTATTGGATTCTCTCTGTGGTTTCCTATTCTTAATCAAATATCGATGCCGCCGAAACTTCCGTCCTATCTGTAATCGTTTCCACCTCCATCCTGGACGCGTTTATTACGCGTTCTTCGATACTACGAGCACCTTAAGCCTCTTGTGCCGGATGACAATGGTTTCTCTGGTGCATACAACATGTGGGACACGCTCTATCCAATAATTCGTCTGCGCTGAAGCTGCATCGACTATGGATGCAAACTTGGTGGCAAAATCGCGTCTGTCCGACTTGACACCACCAATAAAGTTGATATTGCTCGCTCAAGTCCAAGTACCGCCAACCACGCCTATATAGACTATATTCCCGAGGCTTCCTCTTCAGGAAAAGCGTTGATTCTACTCGGCAACAGAGTCTTGGGCTTTGGAGCCTGTTCGCAATCGAACATAGTGTTAATGAGTAGCTCTTTAATTATGGCCAAGTCGCGCCGTATATATTAAAAGACATCTGTAAATAGACCTAGTATTAAAAATCATACTGAGAAGCACGCCTTGCTGAATGTATTGAGGAGATAGTCAGTACATTTTAAACCACGGTCTTTATTACGTCCTCGCCAACTAATGCGCCGTTGTCTATACGTGCCATCGATCTGGACTAAGACGTCTCGCATCGCACGTCGTGCCTTCCGAGATATCCATTAGTAACGTGTCCGTAATCTTCAATTGAGGACGCTATTGACGAATCATGCAACTGCTAAAGAGTGTGCTCGGGGCTGCAGTAGAGTTTCCTGGGCTCAAGGGTGCTACAACGGCATCTCTGCCTACGTTTCCCAAGTAGACCTTATCTGCCTTGACAACGTAAACGGCTCATCAACAGAAAAACACGTCGAGCTCCAGGCTTACCAACAGACGGCGCTTCTCGTGTTTGTGGAGAATAAAGAGAGCAGCCTATAGATGATCACTCGACTCACATACTTACACACTCACAGACTCGCTTCAACCACAGTTCTTACCGCCATAGCATCTCCAGACCAAGACTATCTCATGAAGTTCAGCACCGATAACAACCGTGAGATTCTCTTAGATGAATGATACGAAGCTCATTATGATCGCTCAGTTATACTATCGCGTCCAAGTTTACTAATCATTGTTTTTAGTCCAGTCCACGATGTCTTCACCAGTCCATGTAATACGAGTAATACCCTGTCCGTTTGACGTGGAGGCAGACGAGGCAGGGAGCGAGAGTCCCTATATCGAAAAGAAGCTTGAGATCCTGCCTGACCTGGACAGCGACCCTGAGCGCGCCAAGGCCTTCTCTGCCATCCCAGGTTTTGATGACCATCTCTGCCTAGATATCATTCGCCCATACGGTAGGATTTTTGCCGACAAGGGCCTCAAGTACCTGCTCAAGAGGCTGAGTGTTGGCCGTGGCGCAATTGACGCGAACTATCTTGATGAGGATAAGTTACCGTGGTTGCCGGACATCCAGAACAAGGCCTTGAACATCCTCACGCGCTTGTGTGAATTTGTCGACAAGGTGTCTTTCGGTGCTACCAACGCCACGAAGAGCGAAATCCTTGCCCTGTGAATAGCCGTCTTTGGGATCCTTCAATACAGGACTTCTCTATACACCAGCGATAGCGGGCGTCACATAATGTATCTATCACCCATAAGATGTCGGTTCACATAGAAATGACGAGCCTTGTCTGAAGTCACCATCGTTTGTCCGCGAGCAACCGAGGCTGATATTCGGACTATCTATATAATGAATCTGAAAGAGGATCAGCACTATTTAATTCATCAAAAGGAGTGGGGGGTCGAGGCTCCCTCAGTCGTGATCGAGACAGTAGTGGGGTTCACTGGCATGTTCGACCAAATCAGGACATTGGACGATGGGGGACGTTGCTGGCCACGCTAGTGAGTACGCAGCGTACCTTCCCAAAAAACGAGAGTGCCCTCCAAGACTTCTGGACTCCGCCTTCAGCAGCATAGGGAGCGATCTCCTAACGCACAACCAAAGGAGGTGATTGGAAAAGCCGGCGAAGGGCATACCGACTCTCGAGCAAAATGGATGAATAACAAAACATAGTGGCCTCACTCATTTTTCGAATATGTATGGAGCATAAGTATCGCTTATTACAGTATTTTGTTTAAGGCTAAGTCCCTGCTTTACTGAGGAAAAAAAAAAAAAAAAAAAAACGTCGCCCTCGCCTTATGGCGTGTACATCAAGTTCCGAAATTGACTCTGGACAATGTCCACGTTGCTTGGCCACACAAATTTCCCCGCCCACCTATCTTCGACATTATGCGTCCACGAATTCAATACCAGCTTATACGTCGTCTTCTCCGGGTCCGCCGTCTCGATATCTGATCGCTTCAGGACCATCTGGCCATCAATGTACCACGCAACTAAATCCTCCCGCCACTCGATCGCATACCTGTGCCAGCCCTCGGACGCATCAAACCCAAGCGGGACCTTGACAGGGTTCTGCTTCGACCCCTTCCAGATATTCAGGTACCCGACTTTGGCATCCAGTCCCGTGAGCTCCACATCAATCTCCGATATTCCGTTCGCGATCAAGAAGAAGCCCGTGACATGGCCGCGGATATTGCTTGAGATCATGTCGACAGAGTAGATACCATAGGTCGCACGCTCTCTCCAGATGAGCTCACCGCAAGAGAAAGGACTTTCGGGAGAGCCCTTCCCGATGACGATGGCGGTGCCTTGTGCGGAGGGAAGAATGTTCTCCTTCATATAGGTACAGTTCCGGTTCTGGGGGGTTACTCCGTGAGGGACGATATATCTGGGGGTAGGAGAACTTGTGAGCGGGTCAAAGTACTCTGTGCAGGCAGTGGATATGGTGCTGTTATGGTCATTGTGAGCATTGGGCACAGGAATGGCCGATGTGGAGGTGATATTCGAGAGTGAAGGGTTCATTTCTACGAAGATCGAGAAAATGAGCAGATGTAATTCATCGTGATGGTTTAAATTTGGAAATGTGGAGTTGAGTAGATCTTTATTTGAATCAGGACTGAGGTTCTATCCATCTGGATCAAGATCATTAGAATGCAGCATCTCATGAAACGGGCTAGTGCGGTATATGGCTGGAGTTGGAGGATAGCATACAGGCAGCGAACAAAAGCAAAGGTGTCTTTACATATTTATGTATTTAGTATTCCCGTCTAGTGTCTAGTGCTGTGTGCCCTAGTTGGCGGCCAATTTCTGGTTCTGCATTTATGAAGGCGCTTCCTATGGATGGTGAAGATGTTTCCTATCAGGTTCGAGGAATCAAAATTCGGTAGTAGCGTAAAGGAACCCAGAAATCAGTTATTCCACATGATACTATGCATGGTGTAAAAAAAAAGTTTTTGGCTGAGGACGAGATCTGCTCAGGCATCGGCGCCGAGATCAAGTTTTCGAGTCTGTCCTTAACTTCAGTTCGGGCTCTGTTGCTCCATCCACGCTGCTGTGCTGTTCAGATTTCCCCTCCTGTACCTGTATGAAGAAGTGCTTCGTTGAGGCACCATATAAGGAGATAGGTGGGCAGCTTTAGGTGCTAGTATTTGTCAATGTTATGAAGCTGTGCGCTAGAACTTTATTGTTCTTCAGCGCCAACTTAATATGGCAACAACTTGCCTAAAATAGAATAGTGAAGGCAAAGGCAACTGCCACCATGCCTATGCCGGCGATGGCCAATGCACCAGTTGGGCTCTTTGAGATCTCTGCGTTCGATTTCTTCTTGTTGTTGCCTCCGAGATTGGCGCCGTTGCTTTTACTGTCATCTCCGCCACTAACAATGTTTCCTTTGCTGTCATATACCCTTGGAATATACTTCATATTCCTAAAATGGGCCTTGGGAACCTCACCATCCGGTGGGTAGTTGAATTTACCCGCCCAGTCAATATTGACCTCAGGTTGCACCTGGGCCCAAGAATTGATCGCTAGCTTGTAGCTGACCCTGTCTGGTGGGGTCGTCGCGATGTCGGATCGGTTCAGCACCATGTCTCCATCGACCCACCAGACAATGTGGTCCTTATACCAATCGAATGAGTACGAATGCCAGTCTGTCGAGACATCAAACGGCAACTCGACCGAGACCGGGTTCTGCTGATTGTTGTGCCAGACATTCATCCATCCAAGCTTCGTATCCAGTCCTGTGAGTTCGACGTCGATCTCAGTGTCCCCGTTCGCGATCAGGAAAAAGGACGTAACTTGACCCACAGTTTTGGAGGCGATCATTTCGATCGAGTAGGTGCCATAGCTCATGTTGGCCTGTCTGTAGATCAATTCGCCGCAGGAGTAGGGTTTTGTGGGCGAATCCTTGCCGATAGTGATTGTAGTACCTTCGCCAGACTGGTGCACTTGGGTCTTGACGAATGAACAACCTAATACCCAAATTACAAGGAGCAAGGCAAGAGATGGTTAAATAAGACCACATTCGCGGGATGAGTGATGATGCATTTGAACGTGAGTAAACTCGCGTTTACCCCAGCGTTCGGGACCATATCCATTCGCGACGATGAAGTTATTATGGTTGCTGAGGGAATCGTTGAAAGCCTTCACGCTCTGTGCCGCTACTGATGATATTAATGTCGCCAGCTGCATCGTTGAGGCGAAAAGCATGGTATGGGCATATGTTGCTTTCATGGTGGATGCGGATCCTGTTGTGAGAAGAGGGCTGAGATGTGTGAGAAAGAGAAAGGGGGCGAGGGTACGGGTTGGGCCCTAGGATAGTCTACGATATGAAGATCTCCATCCACCCATGTGCCAAACAAAAAAAAAAAAAAAAAAAAATCTAGATAGAATATCATTCAGCGCGTTTCACAAGTCCGCTGAAATTATTTTTGATATGGTGAAGTGTAGCAAATTTTTTGGAAGCAAGTTATTTTATCTGAGACATGATGTGGTCAGAAACGCGTAACGGGCACCCGGCACTGGGTATCAGGTTCTCTTACAAGTCTTTTTAATTTCTATATTATTATTTTGCTGTGATCGCCTTTATTGTGCATTCTGCAGTAGAACTCACTGCATCCCGTCGTCCTGTTCGTAATCACCGCCAGGGGTCTCGGCTGTTGGCAGGGTATCAATATCCATAGGTGTTGAAGATGATTCGCCCTGGTTCTCCAATATCCGGCCCCTCTTTCCTCGATAAGACGCTGCTGGGGGCTGCTTTTTTTTCTTCCTCCGGTCCAGGCCTACTGCATCATATGCAGCCCTCCAAATGGTCATCTTGACCTCTTTCCTTGGTTCCAATACGGGTGCCTCATCCCCCTGATTCTCTGCATTAGCTGGTCCCTTCCCCTTGTCTTGCGCTTCTTTGGCCTTATCCTCTTCTGGGGTGATCGGTACTATGTCAACAGATTCAAACATGATCCGCTTGGTGGCGATCGTCATCAGATCCATCGCCCCTGAATTTTCGTCATCGCTCTCGTCCATTCCTTCCTCATGCTCTTCATGGCCTAGTAATGGGTATCAAGTGCATTTGGCCGGCACGCTGATAAGTTTTCCATGGTGGAATGATAAATGCAATCATAGATCAAAGAGGAACCACTGTCAGACGTTGCAGAATAGCATTACCTTTCATTTTAAAGAGAAGGTCCTCCGTGATGGCGTTCTCGTCGTAGAACCCCTTGAATGCATGGATTCCTGCTTTGAAGTATGGTGTTGGTGTCTCCAGACCCTATCATTAGCCATGGCAAATGAGTCCAGACCCAACGTTAACTGAGGAACGGCGCAGTACAGTGTACTATTGTATCAGACGAGCCACTGAAGAGACGAAAACATACAACGAGACTGTATCCTCCCTTGGTCATGTTCTCCATGTCCTTTGCGTTGTAATTTGTGGAACCAAAATCAAGCACGATATACTCTGTCTCCTCCACCCACTCCCAGTCCTGGCTGGGGTCCTCGTTCTCCACACTGACGACCGCTGACTCGATTGGAGGCCCTTCTGGTGCTTTTTTTGCTTCTGAAACTGGTTTGGAAGTGCCGGCGGACTGTTGCTTGCTACTGCTCTCCACGAGGTCCTGAAATTGTTCCTCGATTTCGTTTGGGGCATTGTCAATGAAACTGGATGTGCTGTCGTCGTCGTCCATGTTAATCCTTGTGATCCTTTTAGTTCGACGGAGTGAATGCTGTTGTTGAGATCACTTCTGCTGCTCGATCTTTGATTCCTGGGAAGGATTAAGGACGCGTTCTCGTTCTGGTTGGTTGGTTGGTTGCACCAGGGGGGAAGTGGGGAAGGCGAAGGTGATCGAGGCATAGCTTAAGGGCGCCCAATCGATCCAAAGAAATGAAGTCCGTGGGAAGTTAGGCAGAGTGCTTTTCCCAAACGGGACTGTACCTAGACTCTTCTTTCTTTCCTCCTTCTGCCCTTCTGCCTTCTTCTCCACAGATTCATTCCTCGGCGAGCAACCCCCAGTTTGCATTCTCTTTTCTCTTCCTCCATTCATTTTTCTTTCTTTTTCTTCCTTACATCTGCACAACAACAACATAGCCGCCATGACCTCATCAACTATTCGGACCGCCTACGTGACCAGAATCGAGCACTTCTCAGCCGCACACCGACTCAACTCCATCCACCTGAGTCCGGAAGAGAACCTAGCACTGTACGGCAAATGCAACCACACCTCAGGGCATGGTCACAACTACAAAGGTGCGATTCAACTCTGCACCAATGTTACTGCTGACTGAGTCTCTCAACGAGTCCTGTCTTGTGAATTGGCCGTTCAGGACCGACGGTTGCCCAGTGTTGCGGATCCAGTTGTCACCATTGCAACATCGCCCCTGACGCTTTGTTCTCTATTTCTCTGTCAAATCTATATTGCGGTCGCCTTTCCACCCAACAGTCGAAGTGACGATAAAGGGACAGGTAATGGATCACTATTCTGTTCTAAAATGTGTGTTGTGCAAACTCGGTCAGGGCTCAAAGATGGACCTGTGGGGCGAACCACAATTGTGGATCGTGGATTAATATGGCTATATGCTTACAAATTCAAATTTTAATTCCCTTGCCCTTGGATAGATTGACCCATTGTCTGGTATGGTCATCAACATTACGGACCTTAAGAAGACACTACAAACCGCTGTCATGGACCCATGCGACCACCGCAACCTCGTGAGTGAGCCGGAATCGAATTACATCATGGCGTCAACCGGAGAATTTTTTTTTTTTTGCGATGCATTGAATTTTGGAGAGCTTAACATCAGAGGGATAGAATCGCATTATTGATGCCTTTATCTACATCCTTTCTATTTGTACTAGGACCTGGACGTCCCATTCTTCAAGCTTAACCCAAGGTACATATCCACCATGTTCCTATCGCAATCGCGGAGTAAAGGCGCACAGCAAATCACGAGAGAATTAATAACACGACTACGTTTTCTTCGCATCAACATAGCACGACCGAGAATTTGGCAGTCTTCCTCTGGCAAAACATCCAGCAGAACCTCCCGGTTTCAAAAACATATGAGTTGTACGAAATCAAACTGCACGAGACCGACAAGAACGTGGTTGTCTATCGAGGAGAGTAACCTTCATTCAAGACAAATTATGTTGAGAATGATGCCCACCCATAGACTCTACTCTTTGTACCATTAATAAAAATCCTAGCGCACCGACAGAGAGCATTGCAATGATGGAAGTACGGAAGTAATGGTGTAGATCAGGATACATATTTATTTTACTATGTTACAGGATGATGGAGCCAGTGAAGTGCAAGAGAGTGAGAGAGTTGATGCGGTGGAAGGCGATGGATATGACGGATACGAGTGCTGTCAGCATGCTGTTCATTTTTTGCCGCCTTTAATTGATTTGCCAGAGGATAGCGACAGGCTGGTTTGTAGCGCATGGAATTGGTGCTTTCCCTGCGAGATGAGCGACTTGATCTTATCCTATAACAATTGCGATGTGTACAGCCATTAGGCATGGGAGCTTTCATAATTGATCATTGAAGAGCGCAGTAAGTAAGTAAGTGCCGGGGCAAAGTACCGGATTGGTTTCATGGCGATACCGCTCAAAATCTGATCGGGCCCATGTCTGCAGGTCCTGGCGGTCTCGCGGATCCTTGATGTCCTTGAGAGTTCGTTGGATGTCGCGGTAGAGGGACAATACCCTTGCACGAGTCAAGAACTATGTGCAATTGAGCCATGGCGAAGCTGTTAGTTTGAGATTCTGGGGGGGGGGTTGCCGCGGGTGGGTGATGAGACCCTGCGATGAGTTGCAAGGTGAAAGGGGAGCACTTGCGTATTCAAGATTCGGCCCATCCTTGACAGCGAGTCTCTTTGATGATCGAGCGAGGGATGCAGGTATGGCCGGAGGGACTTTCATGATTCAGTTGGGGTGTGTGATGGGGATGGCAAGGGGTTGATGGAGGCGAGCTGATTCGTTTTCCCAGGAAGAGGGTTGTTTACCGAAAATCTGAGCTGTAGGGGAAGGGCCCACAGGTCGTGCAGAGCACGCCGCTCAGATTCGCCCTTTCTGTTCTTTCTTCTTTTTTTATATACATCTCGCGGCTATCTTCTCGTCTCTCAAACTCTCGCCCTCGCCTCTCTCTCTCACATCGCACACCCCATCTTCCTATCCTCTGCAGGACAAGTCCAATGATGCCAGGCATCAGCAAGGACGCCATCCGGATCAGGTCCTACTCCAAAGAGGACCAGGACCAGGTCGTCGAGATCCTCACTATCGGATTCCAAGAGAACGCAGAACCCCTCTTCCGACGAAGAGTCAAGCATTACACCACCCCCCTTGTCATCCTCACCAAATCCATCATCTACACCTCTCTTATCGAGCTCGCCTTTGCCGTTTACTCCATTTACATCTCCAAGTCCTCTTCTTCCTCTTCATCGTCATCCACATTCTTTGCAGGGGTTTCATGGGACAACCCTCGCAGCTTTCAAAAACTGCTCCCAAGCCCTGAATCGGCCCTGGCTCTGATCCAGCCATCCTTCTCGATCGTATGGGTCCTTGTCACCCTCATTGTCGCAATCACTACCCTACTGGAGATGTACCGATGGTCCTTGCGGAGCAACGAAAAGTTCATCAAGACCTGCATCCAAGAAGACCTCGACGATATCACCGGTTACTACCAGTCCAGCTCATCGACCAACAACAAACCAAATCGATCGCAATTTTGGGTCGCATGTTTGGATTCGCACCCCCAACTTGTCCTGGGCTGTATCGCACTCGATGACATCTGGGCCCACACAGAGCATCTAAAGTCGAAGCATCTGAAGCGGGGCCGTTCTGAGGACGCGTTTACGATACCGAACAAGACAGACGCGGGACTGCGCAGACTATCGGTCCACCCACATTACCGCAGACTGGGGATCAGTAAGATGTTGATGGATATGGTGGTGACATATGCAAAGGCGAATGAATTCCGACGACTGGTGTTTTCGACGACGCTATTCCAGGATAAGGCCATTGCAGGGTACATCCGATATGGGTTCACGAAGGACAAGACGGCCAAGCTGGCGACGTTTATAGATCTATGGTTCGGGAGCATGGATCTATATGCGACAGAGCAAGAAAAGGAGGAGCAGAGAGCCAAGCAAGCAGCCATGTTACGGGAGATCGGTGTTGCTTGAACCGGGGGGAGGAGGGATTTTGTCATAGGCTACATGCAGTTGCGCTTGAATTCGCGGCTCTACATATCTATTAAAACCATGGAGCGAGTTCAGCCTATAAAACTCATAAGGGGAAAGAGTTCGCCTGGGTCCATTCGGAAGATCATTTTAGCGTGCACCGCGCATTTGGACGCGCTTGCTTATTCAGTTTATTTTACAGTACAAGGGTCGAAAGATTCAATGCGTCCTGTGCAAAATGTGGTTATATGAACGAGCAAGCATGCCGAGTTGACCTGCAAAGAGGATAATAGGATAAAGTCAGAAAGAATCTACTAAGCATCACGGGCGATGGAATATGTGAGATATCGAGGGAGTAAAGATCGTGGACCATGGTCGTACAATGGAGGCAAAAAAAGGGCTGTGCGCCTGAATTCTTTGGTGAAAGGGTGTGTATCTGTGTATGTGTGAAAGTAGTAGTGGGAAGGTGATGTTCTTGGGGCTGCAGTAAACGCGCGTCAGTCTCAGAACGCGACTGTGTAACAATGCGAAAATAAATATCACGGTTGCACAAACGACCTACTGTGAATTGTCGCGTGTCAGAGGACGGAGAGCATAGAGCGCACTTGACTTTTCCACATTTGATGGTCCAGGCAGTTTCACGGGACTAGGGCCTCGATGGGATCTGACGGGGTAACAAAGGCCCGACGCATTGAATGTACTAATCAGGCTTGCTGAGGTTGGATTGTTCACTGTGAGCGGACGGTGCATGGTTACTGCCGCTTCTCGCTCGAGATCAGGCTGCAATAGAAGCAATTCAAAGAGGAGCAACAGTTAAGAGGCGAGAAAAACACACACAAGCACCTGTCATCCACAAGCACGACAGCAGATAATGACCGCCAACCATACCTTTGAAAACTTAAGTTTCTTTTCTCTTGAAGGGTCCCAGTGGACAGGGTTAGACTGCCATCAAGACCGTTGTAGTCGAATGGCAGGTGATGTGAAGCGGAGGTACATTCGCTTCCTGGTGAAGAAGAAAAGAAAAGAAAAGTATGCGTAGAAATCAAGCGACGAGCACTCTCTAGCACCAGGCACAGGCATTAACGCTGAGAAAATAGACCGATGCCATCCATATTCACAAAAGGGAGAATAGCAGCAACTGGACCTCCAAAGCATATCTTTCTGAAATTTCGTTGGACTCTGCGGCGATCCGCTGCAGCTGTATAGCTATTGCAGCTCTTGGCTCGCTGAGTCTGTGTCAGTCTCGCCCGATTAGCGGAGCAGAGACGCTGATGGTCGAAGCAAAGTGCAAAAAATGCGGAGTAAACAAGTGTGAGAAAAAATCAGGGTGCTGTAAATCACAGAGTGAACTCAGGGACAGGCACAGCACTGTCGTTAGACAGCAGCACCATGCAGTCAGGGAACAACAGATCGCAGTTTGCGAAGCAGAACGAACAGTTCCACTCACACAGCAACATAACTGAAAGCCACCGAGGTGTTGATTGTAACATCAATAGATGGATGGATGGAGAGGTAGGGGACTATGTTTGTGCTTTTGATGGTCTTGGAGGAGGGGAAAGTGAAGAATGAAGGAAGGCGAGAGCGCGACTCGACGCGAAGAAATAAATGAAAACGACGCGTCGCCGGGTCGCAACACTCTTATTCGATATGGTCGGCTGCGTTGATTAGCTGATCGACTCTTGTGGGCCTAAATCAGTCGAAGAAGGATAGCATCTGCGAATGTATGTGCGCGCCTCCCCGGATGAGTTGATGCTACTTATTGAGACCTGTTGAAATCATTGTTAATCCCATACTTGGTGTGATTCTCCTTTTTGACCGATCTTCGTGATACTACAGTACCACAAATGAACTGACTTCCACGACAGCGTTAGGCTCAATAAGAAGGCAAGCCTTGTTATCATGCACACCTTCTGTTGAATTGTTAAACAAAGCATCCTTTATTACAAATAAACGCGCATCTCATTTGCGTCCCTTGCTTCCTCCGCTCTTCTTCTTGGACGCCTCTACTCCCGGTGCCGAGACCTTACTCTTTCCGATCATCGCATTGATTGCCTCCTCGTCCTTGACCATCTTGATTAACTCACGCTCGCGTGCTTCGAGTGCCGTCTCTGCCGCGCGCAATTCCTGTCCCGATAGACCATTGACCGTCTTGGTCTCAGACGATTCCGATGCGGAGGACGAACTGTTACTATTGACTGCTGTCAAAAAGTGGTTCATGGCCGTCTTGACTGCCTTGCCCTTCTTCATTGTTCCCGGGATCAACTTGACCTTGTACTTATACTTCTGAAGTGCGCTATAGGGTGCGCAGACAGGTACCGCAAACTGCAGGATATCTGTCGGCAATGGGCGCCCAGTCAGACCATCCAAGACTGTTAGGTTTTCGGACTCTTCGGGCTCCAGCATCTTGATGTTCTCCTCCTGCAACAGACGGCGCACCTCCTCACGCTCGTCCTCATTCGCATTCTCATCCAGCAAAGGAACAGCAGCATCGGCATCGCCCTGGACAGCATCTTCGGTGTCCCCATTCGTTGCAGCATCTGGAATCTTGCCGTTGTGCGGTGCCTTTTTGCCACCTTTATTTCTGTCCTTGGCTGTCTGGCCCTTCTGGTACTCATCCTGCTGGACACGTCTCTTTTCTGTCAATGCTGCCTTCTCCGCCTTCTTCTCCGCCTCCTTCTTGGCCCGCTTGCCCTTCAGTTGCGGACCCTTGTCAGGCTAGCAACAGATAAAAATAAAAACTTCTGTTAGCAGCACGAGAAGACAAGTATCGTTCGTAGATGATGGATGAAGAAATTGACATGTAAGCCACTTACAGCAAGCAATTCAAGACGAAGCTGGCGTTCTTCCTCATCTTGATCAGCATACTTTTCCTTGATCTTCTTGGCCTTGCCTCTCTTGCCGCGCACCGAGGTAGGAGGAGGAGGAGGAGGAGCTGCTGCTACTGCACCTTTCTTCTTGTCCGCCTGTTGCTGCTTCTTGGGCTGAGTCTCCTTCTGGGCAGCCTGTGATGACTCGCCAATGTCCTCAGACTGACCAGGAGTCCTGCCTTTCTTCATATCGCGGCGCATCTTGGCAGTAATGTAACTGGACTTTCCTTGTTGAGGCCTGTCCGATGATGCCAGAGATGATGTATCATCATTTTTTTCGAGTTCCTCATTGCTGTCATCGCCATAGTCCTGGAGTCCATACTTGTCAATCGCAGGTCCGGCCATCGCTTGTTGTTGCTGTTGCTGCTGTTGCTGCTTCTTGTTGGTATTCATCGCATTTGTGTTAAACTGGATCTGAGTATCAGGGAACTCCTCGTCAGACGACTCGGCTGCCTCAGATTCATCCTCAGAGTCGGATTTGCCATTGTCGTCGTCCTGGCTCTGGGTTTGCGACTCGTCCTTGCTATCCTCCAGGCTTGCATCATCATCCCCGTCGCGACTGACTGCGGATCGATCTTCATTGCTCTCCTTCTCACTATCAGAATCATCAGAACCACCAAGACCATGCTCCTCCTGCTCCTCCTGCTCCTCTTTATCCTCCGCGGGCGTCGCGGCAGACGGGACCTCATCGTCATGCGCCTTGGAGGTAGCCGTCTCTAAATTCGCGGTGGCAGCAGGACTCTCCGCATCTTCGATCCTGGGGGCATGACGTTCGTTGAGATGGTTCGCAATTGAAGAGTCGTCTAGCTTGAACAATAGTCCGAATCCATAAACCAGCTGTACCGGTGGCAAAAAATTTTTCTTGCCACGGATCATGAAGCTGCCGGTAGTGAGATACTCTCCCGTAGGTGCCGATTTGCTGACCTGATCTGCGCGAACCCAGTAAGCGGACGTGACAATCTTGGCATCCCACGCTTTGCTTTGGCAGACAGACATGATTCCTGCCTGGTAGATCGAGCTCGGCGGAACTGGATCCTTGTCAGACGGATTTTTGATCAAGACCGTCGCTGCACCATGAATATCCGCATGAACATAGATATCGTTCTTTTTCATGTAGCGCTTGACAATCATCTCGTTCTGCTGTGCGTCTCGTCCAGCGATGACCAGGTAATTTTCTGATGTGATAAACCACATAAACTTCTCGAACCAATACGGCTTGCGTGCTCGCTGAATCGACGTTGTAATCTTGACCTCCTGTAGCTGTTGGCGAATCTTTTTCTCCGCACTTTTGAAAGCCTTGGAGGCATGAGCCAGCGTCTTCTCCTGTTTAATGGCCGACTGTTTCTTGACATCATAGTACTTGCGTGCATTCGCAAAGGCAGTGAGATAAATATCGAGGTCAATGAGCACAGTAGGCTTGGCCTTGGGCTGATGTCGGTCCTCTGCCTCCTGATCTTCTTGATCCTCGTCCTGGTCCTGTTTCTCTTCTTCCTCATCGTAAGGATCGCTCAGAACGACGCAGACATTGTTTGACTCCAGCTTTAGAGAGTCAATCATGAGTGCAATAGGATTACCATGCCTCTTCTCTTCGTCTACCAAGTCTGCGAGATCCTTCCAGTCCATTCCGGTGGCGACAGCATTGCGAATAATCATAATAGCTTGATCGCACATCTCCAGATTGGCCTCGATCAATTCCGCTCTCATCACATTCATCTGCTGGGCCTCCTCTAGACCACGGACACGACCAAAGTGCTCCATCCTGACGCTGTCCAGTTTCTTTTGAGCATGTTCCTCTTGCGCACGCTTCTTGAGCTCCAAGCGCTGACTCTCGATGGCTGAGAAGAACTCATCAACTGCTGCATCAAATGACTCGAACTCCTTGTGCACTTGCAATTCGTGCTGCAAAAACAAGTAGGGGTGGAACTCATCGTACCTATTAGAGTACAGGAACATCTTTAGAAACCATTGTAATTTCGCCCGCAAGCGATTCGTTCCATAACGGTTAGCCATGGTCTTACGTGACAAGTTCTTGCTCATTAGGATCGTCCTCATTCTTCTTCTTGTGCTTGAGCATGATGATATATCCCTTCTTTTCATCGTCTCCTCCCTTTTCGATGATGCTGTCGGCGGCCTGCAATGCCTCGAAAAGTGCTTGGATTTGGGGTGACCCCTCTGATGTATCAAATCCAGTCGCCACAGTTGTATTTGGGGTAAGACCAGCCTTGAGAATTGCATGTTCTGTGAGTGCAGGGCCGTAAACTGGTTGAAACAAAGGGATGAATGTGGCACGTCAGCAACAGGATATCGAACAGACGCCATCGGAGGCACAGTTGAAACCTTAAATTCTTTTGAGACGTACATAGCTTTGTGTTGAGAATCTTTTTCAGGATATCTTTGGGTCCTGCAGACTTCAAGACTTCGACAAGATGTTCCTTCTGAATCGGCTCAAAGCTGCGTGTCAAGGCCCCGATATCATATGTCTCTCCAACCGCCATCCTGACTTTCTCATTAGGTTGGACGACGCGCAGGATCGAAAGAATCTTGTAGTGGCCATCCGTTAGGATTAAATTGCCCTATAGGAGTGTTACAAACAGCAATAGGCTTGAGTCAGCCAACCTGCTTCGCAGCGGAGAAGGATTGAGTGCAAAAAAATATGGGGCTGACTCATCTACTTACCGCAGCATAGAACTCTGCAATAATGTGGTACGTATTGTTCAAGTCGTCTGCGCCAAACTCAAAATCTACAATACGATCTGATCCAAGTTGCTTGACTCCAGTCAGTCGCCTCGTCCTCAAATGCTTGCGGATCTAGAATAGGAATAAAATTGTTCAGTAAGTCATCCTTCAGCTCAGGCTCAGAACAGTCCGTTGCGAAAATGCTCGACGTACTTTAATACAGAATCCTGAGGGTGTAATTGATTTGTCGCGGAGAAAGAGAGTGGTGTGCATGCGGATACCGGACTCGATCAGCACCATCTCCTTCCTGTCAGGCTAAGTAGAAATTGTTTTGAAACCGTTGTCAGCACTTGCTGCAATTCCGCTCTCAACTCCTTCGCAGCCTCAGTGCTCTATGACACACCTTTGAGAATTTGAAGAGATATGTCCTCGAGTTGACATCGTACACGTTCTGCAAGCGAAGTCCAACGATTCTATTGTTTGGGGACGGAATATTAGCAGGCCGTGCACGATCCTTGATTCCATTGCCTCCTTATAAAAGTATTTTTTTACATACGTTTGTTGTAGTGTGGCGACTGTAGCACGCACATCGAGAGACCCAAAGCGCAGCTTTGGCATGGCGTTGTATGTTGATGGTGAGAAGTGAAGAAAAAAGGCGATTTGAAATGACGAATGGACTCAGTGGAGTGAAAGGAGTTTATTACTGAGCTACACACGTGATCTATATATTCACAGGCTGCCCTTCTTGGCCTGGCGTTTGGCAAAGTATTTGATCAGGTCCTTGTAGAGTTGGTACCAGGTTGGGATGATATGTGTGAGGTTACGCTCCTCCGCAATCCTAATTGGGTTGGTGAGAATGACCTCTGTCTCCATGGGCCTTCCCTCCTCGAGATCGACGACCATGCTAGCCTTGTATCCATCTGCAAGCCGAGCGCTAGTGCTCATGCTGGTCTCGATCAGTGTAGATGGCATTGGATATCCGAGAGCTTCCGCCAAAGCTACGATCTCACCCTTGGTCCTCAAGACCATCTCTTTGTATTTTGGATCTGCAAGGACATTGGACACAGTCCAGAGATCCGAGAGGATACAGATCGGGTTCATCGCTCCGTTCCTATCATAATCATGGTTGGTGCGTCAGAATGATCTGTTCATAGCTAAGATAACAGCGAGATCTATCACGTTATCATACTACTTACCAGACGAGCTTCTGCCACCGGTAGTTCTGAATGTCATCTGCGACAATGGTATCAATGCCACCATCCTTGCAGATATCACCAAAAATCTTCAGTGCCGATGCGGTATCGACGCCCTCAATAGGCTCGAACAACCCCACAATCAATCTTTGAACCATACCCGAGTGATAGACGACACCGATCTCGTTTTGTGTGACTCCAATGTAGGCAATAGCAGAAAGAATGGGATTGCGAGGGAATCGCGCCTTGATGGGGTCCTCAATACCGATGCCGTTCTGGATCAAAACAATGGCAGCATTGGGAGAGGCCTCCACAGCTGGCGCGATAATATCAGCGATGCTATAGACATCTGGCAATGCTTTCATGCATACGACAATGTAATCATAAGTCTCGCTTGGTACAGCCTTAACCACTACCATATTAAAAAGTTTTTTTTTTTTTTTTTTGGGTTAGTAAGTGGGCAGTTAGGGCGATTGCAACTGAAGCAAATGTCGCAAGTGTTCGAATCAATGATACCCACCATGCTCAGGCTTGAAGACATGAGGGCCCTCGCCCCAGGCAACCGTCTGAATTTCGATACCCTTGGTCTTGACGGCTTCATAGTTGGATCTACAGACGGCGGTAACGGTACAATGGCCTGATTGCTGCATGCGCCATGTGTAGTATGCACCGATAGCACCAGTGCCCACTGAATTAAAGTGGAGATGATTAGTCTTTTTTACTCTCCGCAGTCAATGCTTTCTCGGTCAACTTAGTAAATGAAGGCACTGGAAGCAGGGTAATTCTGAGAGAAAGGAGAAGGGGGAGTATTTATCTACGGCTAATGCAATGCGAATCGAATCTACGTTGGAGGTACATAAATCTCCGGTGCAATGTCGTACTCGAACATACCGGTGAGGATACGAGAGTGAGGGGAGCTTTGGGTCATTGTGCCGGGCTATGAAGAGGAAAAGGAGTTATGGAAGAAGAGAGAAGTGTGGAGGAAGAAGAAAAGGAATGAGCCGAGATGAGGAATGGAAGAGTTGAAGTGTGAATGAGAGGAGGGCAGTGATGACAAACATGGATTTCTGCCGTGTACCTTAGATCTGGTGGCGGTCCCTGATGTCCCTGGCTGTCCCGTCCGTAGTGTTTGCCAAACAGAGTTCATTTTGGATGACTCGATGGTAGTCAATTGGGTCAAATCGAACCGCTTGACTGGCAAAAGTGTACATGGTGCGTACAACTAACAACGTGGATTGGAGCGGGTAAGGTGCAACAGCTACGCCCTGACCTTTTCGCCGTTTTGGTTCGACCCTCCTTCGTTCGCTCATTTCTTTGCGGGGAACTCAAAGATGATCCTTTTCTGCTCAATCGTCACCTCGGGTATGGTCCTTTATCGCATCTGTTGATCGGTTGTGCTGCGCTGCTGGGCTTGGCCAATTAAACACGCGTGCATAGAAACCGTATGCCAACTGCAGCCTTTGAAAGGTGTACTTCTATTTATCACAGCATGCCTTCCTCTTTGCTGGACTTTGTTGGATGGCAAGTCTCAATCCTTCAGTACAATATAAATTAAGTGAAGCTTAGCAACTACCAACTCAGGGTCCAAGGATCAGACACAGGATATATCCGGGTTAATGACACACCCAAAGGGTAAAAGGGTACTCAGGGCAACGGTCCTGCATGTTCGCAGCAGTAATGAGAGAATGAGGATATCAAATCGGAACGGACCAAGGGATGTGGGACAGCGATTTGTTTCTCAATATTATTCCCACGCCTCTTCCCCACAAAGTGATCCTTAACAAAGTTTGGATGCAGGAAATCCGTCTGAACTTACCCCGCACTGATTCTCACAATTTTTTTCCACGCTCTCCCTCCTCTCCTCTCTTCTACTCCCCTTCGTCTCATCTCATTCCTCCACTCCTCAACTCATCCACCACAACGATGATCGCCTCATTCCTCATCCGCTCTACTCAGTCCAAGGCGCGCGTTGCCACCAAGCTGGCCTCGCCAATTGCTGGTCTCCGCTTCAAGTCCACAGGTACGACGAGCTTTAGATCCGGTTCCTGAATGCATTGGTGTCATATTAATCATTGCTGGTCTCTAAGTCTTGGGAAGCCCTCTAACATCTTCTTCATTTCATCATCTATTTAGATGTAAGCATTATCTAGGACTGACACAACCTACTACCTACGGAAAAACCGTGATACGTATACGAACTCCTTCCATTCTGCAACTAACCGGTATCATTTCGTCCAATGTGTGCAGTCAAAGGTCAAGAGAATCGGCTTTATTGGCCTGGGTAACATGGGTCTGCCTATGGCTACCAATCTCTATAATGGTTTCAAGGACCAGGCCGACTTTATCATCTATGACATCAACCAAAAGACCACCTCAACCTTCTTGAAGGACCACAACACCGATCCCAACAACAAGGACAAGGTCAAGGTCGCCAAGAGCCCACTGGAGGTCGCACAGGAAGCCACTATTATTGTCACCATGCTGCCTGCCTCACAGCACGTCGAGGGTGTCTACTTTGGAAAGGATGGTCTTCTGGAGGGTCTGGGTGAGAAGCACCTCGTTATGGATGCCTCTACTATTGATCAGTCCATGGCTACACGCGTTGCTAAGGTCTTGCACGAGAAGGGTGCCAGGGCCATTGATGCTCCTGTTTCTGGAGGTAAGTTGTACATAAATGATTCTATATTCCATGCGCGAATGGCTGGAATTAATGGTCAGAGCGAACCGTCTTTTAACAACTCACGCTGATCATCCAATCTGCTTTATCCGCCAACGTAGGCACTGGAGGAGCACAGGCTGGAACTCTTACATTCATGGTTGGGTCGCGTACCAATGAGGACTTTGAGACCGCCAAGCCCTACCTTGAGAAGATGGGCAAGAACATCGTCTACTGCGGTACCAACGGCAACGGACAGGTCGCCAAGATCTGCAACAACATGCTTCTCGGCATTTCCATGATTGCTACCTCAGAAACTATGAACCTGGGTGTCCGCATGGGTATGGATCCTAAACTCCTTGCTGGTATCCTCAACACCTCGAGTGGTCGCTGCTGGAGCAGTGAAGTCTACAACCCCTGCCCAGGTGTTCAGGAGAACTCAGCAGCGACGCGTGGATACACTGGTGGATTCGGTATGCCCTTGATGGCCAAGGATCTCCGTTTGGCTGTCAATGCTGCTGTCGAGACAAAGTCTACGGTCCTGCTCGGTGCCCTTGCGCAGCAGCTCTACAACCAGATGGCAGCCAACAAGGAATATGAGCATCTCGACTTCAGCGCTGCCTACAAGTGGTTGTCCGAGAACGCCAAATAGATGCCATGTAGCAAAACCATTGAACCTTAACATAGACCAAGTCACAATCAAAATAAAAAACATGAAGGCATTTTTTTTTTTTTTTTTTTTTTGTGTAAGCGTGTGCCTTTGACGAAAAATTCACTTTTCATTCCTCTCATTCACCTTCATTCGGCTGTCGCAACGGGAAGTGTACGACAAAGCAAGGACAAGTCAGTGGCCCCACCTTCACATACTCTTGGAAACCATTTTTACCCTATTCTCGACTATAGACCGCCACCACACCTCACACTTGCCTCAATTCCCTACTCTCCTCTACATATCACATATACGACATGGGAAAGAACAGGCCACGTTACAACGAGCGAGCCAGATCCTCAAGCAACAGGGCGTCTAGGCCACATCCGAATGCCAGAGATGGTGGACGGAAAGCAACAAAGCCGACTGTCCTGCAGCCGTAAGAACACATCACCATATATCATGGAGTTCTGGTCGAGGATCACATCAGTACCTAAATGACGAAACCTACCTTAAACAACTCATTGAACATAGAGAGAATCCAAATGCTGAAATCATCCTGCCTGGAAGTATAGATACGGCCGCTGTCGAATACAACGACGAGGTTAGTATCTCTGACACTGTGGGTTCTTGTCGTACATCAGGCATTATTGATTAGAATCTAATCGCTATTGCTTCTCCTGTGTTCTCCATATAGGCTGTGCAACCAAAGATGAGCAGCAAGAAGAAAAAGAGACTGGACAAGTACATTGTAAGGCGGCAGCAGTACTATCGAAGCGCATGAAAATTTACCTTTGGATATGCATCTTTCTGGATTCAGATATATCTAACACATTCAACTTGGGACGCAACATCACGGATCAATAGGAAAAAAAATTGAAGAAGGAGGCTCGCGGCGATCTGTTCAAGAAACTGGAGGAGCAGGCATGGTCATCCGATCTGCTAAAATCAAGTCGAACCCTTGGTCAGAACAAGGAAACCACGAAGCAAAAACTCAGGAGGGCGCTGAACGAGGAACGGCAAGGACTGGAACAGTCCGACAAGAGTGTCCGCCTCTTTATGGACAGAAAGAACGAGCAGGAAGATGATGATGAGGACAGCTCTGATGCAGACCACAGCGATGTCGACATGGAGTCTAAGAAGCCTACTACGTCTGTCGCGGTTACGAAACTAGCACCCACTCAGGGGCCCGTCGTCGCTGGAAGCGCCTTGAAAGTCGGTGCTTCAGTTCTTGTCAAGAAGTCTGCCACAGGAAAGAAACCAGTAAGTGTGACATGCAACACAGACTCTGGGTATTTGTGACAATCTTTAAAACCATATACTGATATCGGATCAACATTGATATTCGTTTTAGTCTCGATTGGCTATGATTCGTGCACAAAAAGAAGCAGCCAAGCAGAAGGAACGCGAGAGCTCATTCGACAGCTCGGACTCTGAGTACGACAGCTCGTCGGACGAAGAGAGTGGAGAGAAGAATGGCAATAAACACAGTGGCAGTGAAGACGAGGAGAGCAAAGCGGAGGAACCAGCCAAGAAGAAGAGACGTGGCTGGATGACCGATCTGGGCGGAGCGGCATTGAATGCGGACGGTGAAGAAGAGAGAATCATCTCTAACCTTGACAGTCTGCCTGAGAGGACTGGTGAATACGTTTCGAGTCGCGTAGAGCCGCCGAGGGATCTACTTGGCAACAGAATCGAGAAGGTTGACCAGCTTGATGCAAGCGATATCAGCGAGGTATTCCATGTTCATGTCGATAGAGATCCAGAGATCCAGGAGATGCGACTTAAGCTGCCCGTTTGCACAGAGGAACAGTACATCATGGAAAAGATCATCTACAACGACGTTGTCATCATCAAGGGCGAGACCGGTTCTGGAAAGACAACCCAAGTGCCGCAGTTCTTGTATGAGGCAGGATACGGAAATCCCAACAGTCCCAACCCAGGCATGATTGGGATCACCCAGCCACGTCGTGTCGCAGCTGTATCGATGGCCGATCGTGTTGCCAAGGAACTCAATTTGCCTGCCTCAAAGATTTCACATCAGATCCGTTACGATGCCACAACATCGCCCGAAACCGTGATGAAGTTCATGACCGATGGTGTGTTACTGCGAGAGTTGAACTCGGACTTTTTGCTTCGCAAGTATTCGGCCATCATCATCGATGAGGCTCACGAGCGCAGTTTGAACACGGATATCTTGATCGGTGCCTTGAGTCGTATCGTTCGTTTGCGTCGCGAGGAGAGCAGGAAAGATCGTGAAGCCACCAAACCGCTCAAGTTGATTATTATGTCAGCTACACTGGTCATCGAGGAATTTACGAAGAACGAGCGGCTGTTTGGTCATGGAAAGCGACCTAAGAAGACCTCTGCCGAAGATGAGAATAAGAAGGGCGCAGATGGTAACGATAGTGAGGAAGATACGGCACCAAAGGATCTCGTACCTGTCGTGGGTGTGGATGTCAAGAACGTCTATGGAGTCACCATGCATTTCAACAAGCGGACACCCGAGGTCGACTATGTCACGGAGGCATACAAGAAGGTGACCAAGATCCACACGCGTCTACCAGCTGGCGGTATCCTGATCTTCTTATCTGGACAGGCAGAGATCACGACACTCGTCAAGAAGCTGCGAAAGAAGTTTCCCTTCCCCGACGACTCCAAAAAGCAGCAGAACAAGTTTGAGACCAAGCTGGACACAATGAGGAAGGGCAAGAGTGGCAAAGTTAACGCTGTCGACTCCCAGAAAACAACAGATGGAGAGGACGACATCGATAACAATCAGGAGCTGGATCCTCGCAACGAGGACGTAGAGCTGGAGGACATGGCGATCGGCGAATCTGAAGCTGTTCCTGAAGTCGAGGGGATGGAGGAGGACGACGAAGCCTTTGATTTGGATGCCTCGGATTCAGAAGAAGAGCTTGGCGAGGACGACGAGGTGCTGGAGGAAACCCCTGATGCAGGTACAGCGCCGCTCCATGTCTTGCCTCTGTATTCGCTGCTGAAGACCGAGGAGCAGATGAAAGTTTTCCAGCCTCCCCCACCCGGCTCGAGGTTGTGTGTTGTTGCTACCAATGTTGCGGAAACGTCGATTACTATTCCAGATATCAAGTACGTTGTCGACAGTGGAAAATCGAAAGAACGCCATTACGACAAGGAGACTGGTATCCAAACGTTCCAGGTCGGATGGACATCCAAGGCGAGTGCCACCCAGCGTGCAGGACGTGCAGGACGTACGGGCCATGGTCACTGCTACAGGCTTTATAGTTCTGCGGTCTACGAGAACGAGTTCCCGACGGCATCTGAGGCCGAGATTCAGAGGATGCCCATTGATGGTGTGGTGTTGCAGATGAAGAGTATGTACATCGACAACGTTGTTAACTTTCCGTTCCCGACACCACCCAACCGCGAGGATCTAAGACAATCAGAGCAGCGACTGGTATACCTGAACGCGCTGGAGAACACAAACAAAAAGAGCATCACTGAGCTGGGCAAGACCATGTCGATCTTCCCTCTCCTGCCTCGTCTTGCCAAGATGTATGTGAACCATAATCGGGTGTGATATTCAATGGCTCTGCTTTTTGTGCTGACGATAAGAAGATAATAACCTCAGATCTTTATTTCTTTCATAGGCTAACCCTTGCCCATCAGGAGAACTGCTTCCCATATGTCATTGCCATCGTCGCCGCCCTATCCGTGGGCGAGGTGTTTGTCAAAGAATTTCAGCTGGATATCTCGAGACCAGGTGACTCTGATGATGAGAGCGATAATGATCGTAAGGAACCCTCCACCAGGGGTCTACATCTGGACGACCTGGACGAGATGGAACTGCAGCACATCAAGAACGAGAAGGTCCTCAAGAAGGAGCAGAGCCGCAGGACTCGCCAAAAGTTCTACAAGTCTCAGGCGGTCCACGAAGCACTCGATCCTCTGAACGACATGGCCAAGGTCCTGAACGTAGTCGGTGCCTATGCCCGTGAGACCAATAAGGAGCAGTTCTGCACCGAGAATTTCGTCCGCTACAAGGCAATGCAGGAAATCCATCAGCTTCGTGGTCAGCTCACACGTATGGTCCAGGACAACTTTGCCAACAGCCCTACGGTCTCATCTCTGGTGTTTGATCCATACATGGAGAAGCCAACTCCACGACAGCTCACAGCCATCCGCCAGATCGTCGCATGTGCTTTCTTGGACCAGGTCGCGATCCGCAAGGACCTTTTGGGCGCCGTAGAAGAGAATTACTCCAAGAAGGCCAAGGCCGTACCTTATGTGACCATGTGGTCCAAGGAGAGTGTTTACATTCACCCGAGCTCAGGCCTGTTTGGTACCAGCATGGAGAAGGCGCCTCCTGTGGTCGTATACCAGGATCTGCAAAGGACTGTCAAGGCGGTAGAGATTGAGGGCAAGCTCTCCAAGATCTATTTGAAGGGTGTTACGGCCGTTGAGCCCAAGTGGATGGCCACCCTCGCGAACGGCACAGGTCTCATCCGGGCGTCCAAAGAGCGCATCATTAAAATGGACGACAAGACTCAAAAGGCGATCACGGATATCACCTATGGGCCGCATTACTGGCCATTGCCGCCGATTGAGATCTGGCAGAGACGTGAGGGTGCGCGTCTAGTGCCGATGACCAAGGCCGAGATCACTGCCAAGAAACTGCAGATTAGTCGCAAGGCGAACCGGTAGTAGGCACATTGATAGAAAGAATCTTTAATAACTAAAGCATGTAGATTAGTTTTGCATTTTATTTATTTTTCACATACATTGCGACTCCAGGTGTGATTGGCAAAGATATCGGGCACTAGTAATGGCGCAATGGTCGTTTTTAATATTACAAAAAGAGAGAGAAGGTAATATGCGCTTTTGTTTTCACGACTGGGTTCATGGCGACTCAAACAGGACCTGGCCGATCAGGTACTCGCCATCGTGAGATACCGATGCATGGGTCCTTCCTATTCCAAAGCGGTCCTTTTCAGGTATACTTAAACATGGCTTGCCGTTCTCCTTTACAACAGCAACATCTTGCCAGGTCAGCTTATGGTGCGGATACATGGCCTTGTATGATGCCTCCTTCAATGCCCACCTATTCGAATTTTTTAAATATATGTATATGTATATTGGCAGAAACAACGCGTTGGAATAACATGTAGAATTGAGTGAGGTTCTGGCAACATACAATCTCAATCTTGATAACAAAATTGTGAAAGGACAGCTACCTGGCTCCGAGATATCGAATGGGTTCATCGCCCTCGATGTTCCCACCTGCCTGTTGCTGGATCATCCGGAACTCTTCCTGCTCAGTCTTTGTGAGAATACGGGTGAGAAACCTCTTTGGATGGCGCTGAAGGACCTGCTTGAGCCGTGGCAGGTGCAGGATATCGACGCCGATCCCGAGGATAGTCATCCTTCTTGGAGGATGCCAGTAAAAAAAAAAAAAAAAAAAAAAGGTAACAAGGAGGGGAGGGCTCCGGGACTGAACTCGCTGGATCTGGCAAAGTTGTGAGTATATCACGTGTACCGCGAGAAAATGCGAGACTGTGCTGGATGGGTGAAACGACCTAAGTTTTTTTTTTTTTTTTTACATGTATAAAAGTGTGCTCATGCGTCCTTTTGATCATTAAACAATACCTCCGACCATGGAATACAAACAGTTTCTGCAAATCCACCAGTATCAGCTCGCGAGCATTCCCGAGAACCTTTGGGAGGTAAAAACCGGGAAAAAGTCGACATTACATACATGGATTCTCCTTTCACCCCACCTCATTGAACGCATTAGAAAAAAAAAATTAGGTTGGTATTTTTTTTTTCTCACAATGCTTTCTTTGCTTGTCTACTTGTAGCCGCTATTCCAGAAGCTCGGCCAGGATCTTTTCGATGCAGGCGAATACCTCGAGCTTCATTATGGTGATCCCCTCGACAAATACTCGCTTCATGTCAAGAAGGAAGGTGGACTCAAGAAGCATGGGTAAGCATCCGCTTAATGATGTTTCTTTTTTTTTTTTTTTTGGTCTCACCCAAACCTGCGGAAAAGGTTTTCTACAACTTACATCCTCCTTCATACTTTCGTGTATCGAATAGCGATATCTTCTTGGTTGATCACGCCTGGACCACCAAGCCCGAGACTTCGCGTGCACAGCTCCTCGACAACCCCCAGCTGGTCGAGCGTCTCACCTCAATGATGGATATCTCTGTCGAGGACGAAGAGGAGCCCGAGGAAGAAACCGCCGGCGGTGACCAAGGTGGTGAGACCTATAACAAGCACCCCGATCTGGAAGTCGATCAAGCCATGGTCGAACTCGTCGCATCTCAAGGAAACGTCACCGAGGCTCGTGCCAAGACCGCTCTCCAGAACGAGAAGGGCGATGTGATTGCAGCTTTGATGTCGCTCACCCTTCACCCCGATCATGATGCCAAGGGCCTCAAGAACCTCGAGGAGGCCATTGGTGGTCAGGTCAAGCAAGACAAGGAGGCCAAGTCTGCGGAGAGGAAGAAGCAGGAGACCGTCAACAAGATCATGTCGGAGATGTGGAAGTTTGTCCAGACTTATGAATACGCCGTCGTCGATCCCTCCGGACAGACCAAGAAGGAGAGTGCATGGTATATCATGGATGAGGTCGGATCCTCGATGGCGCACTCGGACACACCCAACTGCGTCTGCTCCCCATTCATCTATGTCGGACGTGGCACGGTCTCGTATAGCATCATCTACCCGATCGAGGACATCCCTAAGGGCGGAGCCTTGACTCGCGATTTCGTTCCCGCAGATATCAAGGACCCTCTGACTCGCAAAGCCTACCTCCAAATCTTCAACGGCGAAGAGGACGCTGCGGAGCTCATTGCTGTCTACGAGTCTGACAAACAGGAGGACAACCAGGTTATACCATTCGATCAGCCCTTCACCACCACGCTCACTCGTGCCCAGTCCCAAAAAACCGATCGCAAGCTGCGTCTCTACACCACAACGGAATGGGTCGCGACCAACTGCAAGCTCCCCCAGGTAGAGCTGGTCGACACGGAGGAACAGGCAGATCTTCTCTGGTTCAGTCAGGATTTCAAGGAATTCGATAAGCTGACGAAGGGCCAGAAGATCAACCAGCTCGAAAACGAATCCTGCATGACCTTCAAGCACAATCTCGCCGCGCTCGTCAAGGCCGCGTATGGCACCGTCCCATGGAGCTCCACGACCTACAACCTGACCACGGAGCTGGCTCCGTTTGTGGGCCACTACCTCTGGAACCAGGAGCATCACCACCGCAACCTCTGGATCTGCAAGCCCTGGAACATGGCTCGTGGATTACAAATCACGGTCCAGGAAGAGCTGGCACCGTTGGTCCGTCTGCGGGACACTGGCCCAAAGATTGTGCAGGAGTACATTCAGACGCCGGTCCTGTACGAGGGACGCAAGTTCGATCTGCGATACATTGTTCTCTTGAAGGCGACACACAAGGTCGAGGGCGATCCGAGCCAGGGATATGAATTCCAGCTGATGGTGTACAAGATGTTCTGGATCCGGTTGGCGAACCAGCCCTTTGAGCTCGACGACTTTGACAATTATGAGAAGCACTTCACGGTGATGAACTATGGCAATTACAACCTGACCCAGCTGCTGTACACGAAATTCATCGAGAACTTTGAGAAGGAGCACGCGAGCAAGAAGTGGGTCGATATTCAGGCGGACATCAACGAGGCGATCAAGGCCATCTTTGCGGCCGCCGTTGTCAAGTCCCAGCCCTTGGGACTCGGTGCACAGGACAAGACCCATCCATACGAGGCCTTCTCGATCTATGGAATCGATGTGATGTTGAAGGATGATTGTCAGCCTGTGGTGGTCGAGGTCAACTTTTCGCCGGACTGCACGAGAGCATGTAAATACGACCCCGAGTTCTTGAACAACATCTTGACAGTGGTCGAGCCTCGCGCCGGAGATGTGGATAAGGCTTTGGGAGCGTTCAACGTCTTGTAAAAAAGAAAAAAGAAAGAAAGTGCAATGCATTTGAACATTGTAGTTGAAAGTTGAAACGCTTTATTATGTTTATATTATGTATGGGTTGCTTGCAAAGGAAAAAAATAAAAAAAATAATAGGCTTTCTTTACATCTCCAAAAGCGTACCAAAGACCTAAGTAACAAAGTAAAAAAAAAAAAAAGCACCCCGAGCGATTCAGTTCTCCAGCACCATTTACACACATTTGCCAGAACAGCACATGGCAAACATCGAGCGCTACAATAACAATAACACTTACGCGATCCCAAAGCTTGGAAGTGATTCCGTATCCATTATCGTAGTTCTTGTAATGATGTGCGAGATGATAGGTCTTCATCTCCTTGAAATGGAATTCGAGGACGCGTGCATGGTGTAGGTAATAATGAACCATATCGTAGCAGATGTATCCAAAATAAACGCCCGCCATGAGCGCGTCCGCCATGTGGCTCTCGAGCAGACTGTGCGCCAACAGGTACAATGGCGTACCCAAGAGGATCGTCAGCACTGGCGGCATCACCAGGCGTAGTCTAAATTCAAGCATAGGCAAGATGGGATGATTAAGTTAGAATGGTATTGTGGGAGGAATATTGTATTCATGAGGGGTGCATAACTCTCACGACTTTCTCTTTGTCTTCGGCTGGACAAATATAGGGAAAGGGAAAGGGAAAGGGAAAGGGAGAGGGGAAAGGGGCGCAAAAAATAATAATAAATAAAATAAAATCATCCCACATAGCACAAACGAATAGCCAGGTACGACGTGAAAAGTGTTCCCAAAATTGCATTGTTTCATACCTGTCCATGGGTAAGTAATGATGAATCCCGTGCAACAAGAAATGTGCGATGTTCGAATAAGTCGAATCCGGCAACAAGTCGTCCACATGGAACAGGAACCTGTGGATCGAGTACTCTGTAAGCGTCCAGATCAAGATCCCTCCCGCAAAGATCGTCCCCGCCCTCTCAACATCCAGTCCTCCGGGACCCCGGATCGCCCAGGAGACCATCAACCCAACGACGGGTAACCAGAGGATGGGGACGAGCCACCAGGGCGTACGGCTGAAGATCTCGAGGAAATCGGACTCAAAGACTCGGGCAGAATAAGGCAGATGCCGGGGGATGTGAACTTGCTTCATATAAAAGTCTTTGGGGTAATTGGCTTTCCAGAGTTGGTAGAGTAAAGGTTTTGAGAGATCGAGGAATTTCTCCTTCTTGACGTCCGCCGCAATGTCCGTCGCTACCAGACTGGGATCCTTCTCACCAGATACTGTCGTAGATGAATTTGTGGTCGTAGTGGTAGTGGTGGTGGTTCTATGGATGGTCGTGCCATTGGCCGTCGTGGCGGCCGTCTTGCTTGCCGTTGTCGTCGAAGAAGAGTTCTCGAGGTGTCCAATCAGCAGCTCGTCTAACATCTCATACGCACCCTCAGAATGCAAGTGCTCGATTTCATCCTTCATCAGCTCCGTTATATCCTTTCCGGCATGATCGAGGATTAATTCCTCGCCACCCGGGTGGTCAGCGACGAAGCCCGAGACGTCGTACACCTTGTTGTTGTGGATGACCCAGCAGTCGTCCGCCTCCGTGTGTTTGGCCACCTCCTTCAAAGAATACACCTTTACCATCGTGCTTTTTTTTCTTTCTTATTATTACTGTAGCCCCTGGAAGGGTCTCGGTAGTGGGCCAGGTAAAGTGGAGTTGAGAGAGAGAAGCGGCAGATGAGGACGAGGACGAGGATGAGAATGAGGATGAGGATGAAAAAAAGAAAGTAGTCGGTGGAGAAGTAAGGATGAAAAACAGGGGAGAAAAACCTTAAAACTCATAAGCTTGAGGCACCAATCAAATCTTATCTGATTCATGTACATGTACGTAGAACTGCACGAGGCATTGAGCATCAATGCTTTCTCTTACTGCCCTCCTCCAAGTCCAGTCAGCGTTACCCGCGACAAAATAGATAGATATGTGGTGATAAAGAGTAGTTTATTATACAGCCATCCACTGAACAGGTCCATTATCTGTCAAGAAGAAGAAGAAGGCGAGAGACTCAAAAGAAATCGCGTTAAGAAAACGAGCCGAACAGGACCATGAAGATCGAAAACGCTGGTCTTTGAGGAAAAAAAATCAAATCAATTCTAGCAACATCCTGTCTCTCCTCCTGCTCTCCTTCTGCGCCCAATTTCTCGTGCGTATCCCAACCTCCCTTCCTCCTTTACGACAATGTCTCCTCTTCGTTAGACGGAAATTGTTTTAAAAAAGATAATGTGGGTGCTGCTGTTGCGTGTTTGTTGCTGTTAAGTACGTGCTGTGTATTTGGTGTTTGAAGTTTGATGTTTGTTGTATGCGTGTCCTGGGATCGCCCGACAGCCTCCCTTTTCTATTTTTCCATCGTCCCCTCTGTCATCCATGCTGGCACCGACGTTGATAGAAATCTTTCAGAAATCCTTAACGAGCCTCGAATTGGACCACTAAATTAATGACAGATTAGTACGAAAGAAAAAAGAAAAGACAGACAGCGTTAGTCATTAATTCATGCCGTGAAAAAAAAAAAAAGCGTATATCAAAGGACCGTGTCATAACCCCCTTCCAACAGTAGAAATCGAATCTGCAGGAAATGTCCAAAGAGTGAACCGCAGCAGTTAAAAAAAACCCCCCCATCTTGGACACTTCAATTCCCTTTGGATATCCTTGAATTCCATGAACTGGTCCGCACAAGAACAAAAAAATAAGAGAAAACAAGAAGCCAGTTGAACTTTCTCAGACAAGAAAAACATACTTCGCTTGGTGCGCTTCTTGTACATAATACGGTAACCGCACTCTTTGCAACGGATGGGCTCCTTCGGCTTAATTTCGTTTTCGGATCCACACTCTGCGCAGATATATGTCATCGCAGCAGCTGGGGGCTTCGGGGCCAAGGATTGCGCAGAGTTGTAATTCATGGCTGTGTTCGTTCTGAGGGAGTCGATGCACAAAAGGATGGGAGGACTGAAAGAACAGAAGCGATGCTCTGTTTATGTTCGTTTTTATGTCAGCCACTTTTTTTTTTCTTTTTCTATTTATTGAAGTCACGTGATATTTAGCGAAGCAGAAAAGGAAGGATAAAGGACGAAGGCGCTGCCTCAGAATTCGTTCAGGATGCTTCCGTGCGCCTGTGTAGATATCATTTCATTGACGGTTCTTTGAAGAATATTCCAGTCTTCAGGATGTGGTGTTGCCATCTAATAGTAAGAAAAACAGAAGCTATTCGTTAGCATCCAGGGCATTGTATATTCTCAAAACAAAACAAAAAAAAAACAGGGTACACTTACATCGCCGATATCATAGACATAGACATGGCCGTCGCTCGATCCAATCGCTGCATGTCGGCCATCCTTGCTCCAGCTCAACTTGTTCAGCGCCTTTCCTGCACCGACAATTGTGCTCATCACCGGCACTTCCGTATCCATGTTGAGATTCCAGACCTCGAACTTGCCGCTTCCTTCGACAGTACCAAAGACGGCGGGGTGTGTGGGGGACCACTTCACATCATACACATAGTCGTCCGCAGTCTCGAACGAATAAAGAGGATGGACGACAGCATTGTCGGGGGTCGTGGGTTTGGCATGAGTTCTCTTTCGCCATAACTTGACCGTCCAGTCAACAGAGCAAGTCAAGTAAAGATCCGAAAAGTCCATAGGACCAAAAAGAGGGTGGAAATCAAGTCCAGTAATCGGTCCAAAGTGTCCCTTGTAAGAGTATGCAGTGTTGATTCCAGCTTGGCTAATGAAACGGATCGGATCGCAGACAAATAAAAGTGTCAGCATCAACATAGACCGTTCTTTAGATCGAATTCATACTCCATGCGCAAGACATTGAAGTATTTTAAACTGACCTTCCCGCGCGTGCATATCGATTGGCCTGATACACAGTTCCCTCCTCAGTTCCAACCCAGAAAGCGTTGGTCTCACCATCAGGGAATCCAAGCGCAGTGACCGCAACCTCATCTGTAATCGGGTGGGCAGGATAGTCGAGAGGCAGCGTCTCCTGCGGTTGCGCCAGCATGTCCAATTGCCATGAGCACATTGTTCCGTCCGTACTAACACTGATCAAGTTGTGGGCGTTTTGTGTGCCGACCATATCGATGGCGTAGACTGGGTGAGTGTGACCACCGGCTGAAAGGTGCGTCTTGAGAACAGGAAGCGACTTTGCACTAGTGTCCCAGAGCAAGATCTGTCCCGAATAAGTGCCTCCGATGATGAAGTTGGGGTGAAAGTCGGAGAACCGCACAGTGAGAACATCGGACTGGGAGTGAAAAACGAACTCGGGTCGGTCCATCAGGTGAATATTCCATACGCACACAATGCCATCTGGCTCGTTGACCGCCAAAGGGTTCTTGTTGTAAGAGGAAACAATCAACTCTGGATGCTATTGTATCAGGAGTAACCATACGTAGTTGAGAGTTAGCACGGCCTAAAGGATGTACCAAATCTCTACTTCAGAATGCAGAAAGCGGTGTTGAGTGACGAACCTTGGAGGACCAGCCAACATCGGTGACGGATCTGTTCTTGGTCCATCTGTCGTCATGAAACGAGCAAACAAGTCGCATCCTGTTTCCATTGAGATCTTCACTATACTCCCAAGAAAAAAAAGAGAGGTGTTATTATCCCTATCTATCCATGCCGATCTAGTCATCATTGCAAAGCGTTGAGAGTTCCTTACGCTTCGGCATCCAAGCCAAGGGTATAATCTTTCATGAAGTCGTATCTCTCGCTCATGGCTCGCTCCAGAATCTTGGAAGAGTGGTCAATGAACTCCGCAAACTCGGCCGACTGTACGATCGCCTTTCTTTCCTCATCAGTCAGCTCTATTTTCGATATCCATGTTAGCACAACTTCTTTTTCTCCAGTTCGATACATTAAAAGTATCCAGTATATTGCAGCCGTTACCTGGAACTTCCTGGCGGCTAGCCTCTTCGGCAGCCTGACGCTCTGCCTCCAAAATCTCCAGGCGAAGCTGCTCCTCCCGCGCAAATTCCTCTTTGAGCTGCTCTCTTATTTCCTCCTCGCTAGGACCCTGTGGCTCGAAAGATCCCTCAACTGTCTGAACTTCCTTGTTGTAGACCACACGTTCCTAATTAATAACAATAACATCATTCGTTAGCCAAGATATACTGCGGCAGTCCATGACCTGAATAATGAAAGTATAGGCTCACCTTAGGAGGGATATCGAAGATGACCGCCTCGACGGAAGTGAACTCCGGAATGAGTCGTGCCATAGGGAGTGCGCTATGCTGCAATGGTTGAGATCCACTATTAAACCGAACAAGGAAAAAAAATACGTTGGTCAGGTCATATCCCAAGGAAGTATTAACACCAACTGCCAGGCCATCGCTATCGTCCACCTCTTTCATCTAACCCATGAGGCGGCCAGCTCACTGAAAAGGAGGCCAATACCATGAGTTCGAAAGAGCAGTTCATTCGTTCAATATCTCACCTTGAGCTGTAAGGAGAAGGGGACATAATAGCCGAACTCGTGCCGATGCCCTTATCGGATCCAGCGTCTGAACTTCCATCGATGGTTGTAGTCGGTGTCGAGGGTCGTTCGCCGACTAGCGCGTTCACCAGGTCGTCGATTTCACGGCGGCCCGTCGAAGTACCATTGCCACCAGGCTAGTGCGGGGTGCGTGATAGAGTATCAACAAAAAAAAAAAAAAAAAAAAAAAATATAGAGAGAAAAAGAGAGAAAGAGAGAAAAGGCACATGTCAATCCTGCGTGTGTGTTTCCTATGGTTGTGGGGCGTATGATAACGAAGTGGCCTTGAAAGAGACCACCTCAGATCCTATGCATAGAGCAACAAAGGCACAAAATGCACGTACCAGCTCCTGCTGCTGGTTTGTCAGCAATGCGAGCCTACGGTCCTCGCGCGCCCTCCTGAGCTCCGCCAGCTTCTGTCGCTTCTTCTCCAGCTCCTCGCGACGCTTTTCCATCTTGCGGCAGAGATGGTTGGTGTAAAAGAGAAAGTGTGTATGTACGGTGTGTATTCCAGATGAAACAATAGACTGTAAATCAGATGACCAGTCGATGCAAACGAATGTGAGCGTTGTTTGTGGGGTTCACTGGAATGGAGTTATTGCCGAGATGGTTTTGCAGGCTAGAAGCAGTTTGTTGAACAGTTGCGGATGGATAGGAAAGAGGACAAGGACACAAAAAGAGTGCAAATGAGAATAAAAAAACAAGGAAAGAAAGGGGCCAGGGGCCAAAGCACACACTAGTCACGCTGCACATGAAAATCCCCGCAACAATTAAAAAATCTCATGTTTATTTGCATGCCTACGGAGCGTTTGTATGAGCGCTGCTGCTGCTCTTGACTGCAGGCGACGACCTTCTTGAGATAGGCAATGACGGTGCTGATGGCGTGTAAGAAGTCATGTTTGAGGCCGCAGAACTGGAGGCGTAGGCGAGAATCCACTGTGGTGAACACGGATAGCAAAGATGATTAGATGAGTGTGAAATTCTATATGTCCGGGCAAGGCAATACTCTCCAAAGACACCCATGCGAGCTAGACTATACCTTGGTGTTGGTCAGAGTATATTTCAGCGCGCGGGTCCATGTCTCGCCCTGGCTGAACTGCAGCTTGATAGACGCGTCTCCAATGCGGTCCTTGTTGATTCTGTCAAACGTAAAATAAAGTGTCAGCATGTTACAGTGTCACCTCATCAGAGATTCAACCTACAGTACATACTTGTACGGGAGTTCTAGCTTTGGCCCTTGTTGCTCTGCATAGTCGCCGAGTTGTTGAAGGCAATTCAAGAACGCCACCATGGCGTTGTCGAACCTCCTGTTCAAGAACACACGTCCGATAGCAAATTCGCCCGATCCGTATAGCTCATAACTCGCCCGATCGCCCTCGATCTTGTCAATGCGTGAAAAGGATCCGAGAGGAACAAGTCGATAGGTCTTGAAAGTGAAGTTCAGCTTGTTGGCGATGGTATGGAGCAATAACAAGGTCTGTCCCCATGCCGCATTGATCTCGGGCCAGTCTACGGGTTGTGTAGGAAGTCTTCCCAGTCTGAATCCATTGATTGTTGCAAAATGTCCATCGTGTCCAATACAGAAGGTATCGTTGTAAACGTTAGTCTTGTGCAGCTTTTCCAGCTGCCTTGTATCATAGTCGTATTTGAGATTGACGCTGTCCCTTTCGTTGTGGAAACCCTGAAGCGCCAATTGGAACTCATTGCATTCCTGCCAATACCTATCAAAGTCCAAGTCAGAAGGGTTGATACTCATTATCAGTATGAACGTCCATTAGATCGGCAGTGCCCATCAATCTCAGTCCACATCCTTACCTTTCCTCCTCCTTGTCCAATTCCAAAGACTCTTTCTCAAGCATAACAATCTCTTCCCGAACGGCCGTCTGCTGCTCCTCGATATTGCGAAGTGCTTGAATGGATGCGCTCTCGTCCAGCTGTATCTGTTTGATCTCATTTTCGAGTGCCTCCATCTCTGCATCGCTCGCCACGTTCGAATTGACAGTTCGCAGAAAATCAATATAGCAATCACGCTCCCTTGAAACGTCTCGCAGTTGCTTCGCTAAAGAGTCCAGCAACATCTCAGCACACTCATGACAAAGTGGGTGATCAATATCAGACTTGGCCGACATAAGATCGAACAGCTTTCCTGTCGTCCGCAGGCGGTTTGCTTTTGTTGTCCTATCCGTGTGCATGCTATCCATGACATCACCAGCCCCATTTGCGGAAGACTTTAGCCGGCTGCTGCTTCCTCCTGCTCCTATCTGGTTTCCATTCACGGATAATACATTGCTGCTGGTGCCGTTCCCACTGTTAAGCGGTTTGACGCCCTGATAGCTTCCTGATGGCGGTATGGATCCCCTGGAGTAAAATGCTTGGTTATTTGGGCTATTGAGTTGTTGGTGAGTTGCGTCCGAAGGGTGTCCTTTGGGGAGCATAATAAACGACTCTGCTGCGTCTATTCCGGGATGGAGTAGATTCGAGTTATAACCACCTGGGTCCTGACCGCCTATCCGCGTATTTGAAGAGTGATTGTGCGGTGGAATAGTGCGAGTAAAGACGGGTTCTGGACGACTCGTGTCGCCAGAAGAACTCCCTGGTCTTCGGTGACCCTGGGATGAACCTGATTGCTGAGATTGTCGGTCGCTTCCTGCTCCAGAGGTATTTCCATTCTGGTCCGAAAGGGGTCCTATCGATAGAAGAAAAGCAAGATAATGGATATCAGCTAAGCTTGTCTGATATCTGTGCTTAACAGGATGGATACTAGGCGGCCGGCTGCAGGTACACGACTTCTTGTTACCGAGTAGAAGGTCAAATGCAGCGGAATTGATGTCCTGAAGCGACTCGTCAATGCCAAGTTGTTGGTTGCACTTTTGGCACACAAAAAGCCGTGTGGAGGGACTTGACATGTTGAGAATGCGTGGACCTCGTGTTGATGCACAGGGGAGTGGGTCGGCGCGATGAACGGGCGATTAGTGAGGGTGTGGAGAAAGAAACAAGTCCAGAAGGCCACAAACTGGCCCTTATTTCAGTCTCGGTGACTGTTTCGCACTGAGCCGAGCTGAAAGTGAGCGGACAAGATGGTCAAGACGGAGCAATTGTCACAGATTTTATTATCGTCGAGATCACAAGGAATGAAGGCATGAGGTTTGATGAAAAGAACATAATGTACAGGTATAGGTTGATGAACGGAAGAGAGCGATTGACAGCAATTGGAACAAAAGCGCCGGAAATCTTTGAGGACAGGTCGTTGTCTCTTTTCAGCTCGTAGCACGCGGAGGGAAAGACGGATGATGTTACATGGCAAGGACGAATATGAGGCCTTAAAACTTGAACTCCTCGAACGCAGATCCTGCGAGGGCTGCTTGAATATCGGCTGCCTGCTGAGAGGTAACTTGTCCAGGTGCTGCAGAAGATGTGGCATTGGGTACTCCTCCTGGTGCTCCGGGGAGGGCAGCAGAGACACCTCCAGCTGCGCCGTTACTATTGGCCTGGTTGTTATTATTACCGTTGCCGCCCTTGTTGATGATTTCGACGTAGTTGCTTGGGAACAGACCCATTTCACCGGTTCGAAGACGGCCGCGCCACCAAAGCGATTCCTGGCCCATGGGATCGTGTCGGCTCAAGATGGCGATAATGTCACCTCGTCGGAATGCCAGCTCCTGTTGAGTATTCGAGGGCGTGAAATCGTACAGTGCGCGGGCGAAGTCCAGGTTCTGTGGGTTCACGGATGCAGGCGTTGTGAGAGCCTGACCCTCCTGGCCAGGCAAAAGCTCCTGCTGGGCTGGGAGGTTTCTGTTAGAAAGCGCGCGGATTAGACGGCCCATCAAATAGGGCAGCCCAAAGATGGCAAGCAAGAAGATGATAATGGGTCTCTTGGAGTATCTGGGCTGAGCCTGGAACTCTTGGAAGTTGCCGGCGGTCAATTCCTGAGCGTTGACGGGCTGCTTCATTCCCACGAGGCGGTAGGCAAGACTCTTGGCCCATCTGAGGAGCGCAAAGACACTCAAGACTTGACCCAGATAGCCGCGAAGATGTCCAAACTGCTCTGCCACACCAACCATGGCCATGAACGAAGAGTGCGTCGCCATAAACGTCGACTCGAGCATCTGAGAAAAGCCTCCAAAAGCGCCAACAACCGACTCGATCAGCTGGAAGGTAGGGGCGGTACCTTGTTCCATACGCTGCATAAGGGTCATATCCTCTGGACCCATGGGTCCGTTCATGCCGTTCATGCCATTCATGCCGTTCATGCCGTTCATGCCCATCCTGTTCATGCCATATCCAGAGCCATATCCAGAACCATATCCACCATAGGACGAACCGTATCCACCGTAGCTTGAGCCGTACATGCTGCCCATGCCGCCCATGCGCGAGTATGGCGAGGAGTAAGAGGAGCCATAGGAAGATCCGTAACCCATGCCCATCCTGTTGTAGGGAGACGAATAGCTGGAGCCATAGCCAGTCATGCCGTAGCCAGACGAGTAGCCGGTGCCGGTAGCTCCGTATCCAGTGCCGGCAGCTCCGTATCCCGTGCCGGCAGCTCCGTATCCAGTGGCAGCGCCTCCGTAGCCAGTGCCGTAGTTGTTCATGCCTTAATAGATTGGAAGAAAGGGGAAGGAGAGGAAGAGTGAAGGAATATAAAGCAGGGAGAGTTGTGTGTGGATGGATGGATGGAAGGAGAGAGGGATGGATGGATGGGATGAGGGAATAAAGAGATGGAGTGGGTTAGTTGGCATGAAGTGACCCAGCAGACAAAAGTGACAGTCAGTCGGTCGGTCGGCCTCGGTCCCGCGTGCGAGTGGTGTGGGAGAGGGGGAGCAAAAGTGGGCGACATCGGCTCCGGCTCGAGAAAAAACATTCGCCGCATTCTGCCCACATAGCCTGTCCCAACAACCCATTCTCCATAGGAGATCCAGTAGGGGGGGGAAACAAAACAACATATCATGATTACGCCCGCATGTAAACACACACACACACGCACACAAACACTTTAGTGCGGAAGAGGGAAGTTCGAGACAAGCCCGCTTGCAATGATCCATCCCTGGGGATCAACCACACACAGCCCAGAGAACCACTCAAGCAAATGGTGTCCAGTCCAAGGGTGGGCAAGTCCAGTTCATCCTGATGCTGCTTTGGAGTGTGATCGCATGGAAGGAAATGAAACAGTGCTCCTTACCTGGTCGATATCCAGTATTAGAGGCGGCGCCCATGGCTGGGGAGCGGGAAGGGAGTGCTGGTGGACCAGGGTCGGTCGTGTTGGAGGAAGCTGCAGGGACTGAGGACGATGCAGGGAGGGCGGGTAGAGGAGCCGAGGCGGCAGAGGGGTTTGCCTGTCTGGCTCTTTCCCAAGGCTTCTCTGGCATGTTTCTGTCACAGGAAATGGAAAGTGGAGGGGAAGAAGAGTGGGGAGGGAGCAGAAGCGAAGGGAGAATGGAGGTCGAGGCAGGGGGATGAGAATGAAGGCAGAGGGATGGGGATGGGCAAGATGGATGTGTGCAGGGGGTTGGAGGGGAGAAGCAAGAAGAATATGATAAATGTACGATGCCTCTGGTGCCAGTGGAAGTAATGGGTCGAGTGGAGGACGAGATGTGGCTCAAAAAGACCTTTCCATCCCATCGGAGTGCTCGTCTTTGCCCGGCCGACCGATTGAATATTTCACATGTGCAGCCAAATAAGGTTCCCATATGACACACCCGATGTGGAGAGAGCACATCCTTTGCCCGCCTACAGCACCTACAAATACCAGACCCTGCTGGCTGCCATTGGCTGCACAAGCACGCGTAGGGCAGTCCGGCGCCGCTTTCTTTTATATCCCATCACTTCAGCCAGGGCAGCGGTATGTTTACGAATGACATACCAAGGCAGGGCCCATGCATCTGCGTGGCTGCATTTGCACCTCAATCTGCATGCACCAGTCGCGCTCGATAGTAGGTCTGAGAGATTTTGCATCGCAACAGCATCTTGTCGATGCCACATCCTCAGCATAGAGGTAACTTTGATGGCTTTGAACGCGAAGAATATGTAGGCAATAGGTCTCTCCTGCTATCCCTTCTCATATCTAGTCTACTCTTTAATCCACTTGTCCCTTGTCCCCTGTAATTTACAATAACTGCCAAAGGATCACTCACCCATACTCGCACATGCAAATCCTTGTAGAGAAAAGAGACAGGGGTCATGGAGAAACAAGGAAACAAATGGATGGAAAGCGTGTCTATGAGAGTAGGGAGGGCGGGTACGTGCGGCAGAGAAAAGTGGCAATACAATATAGCAGCATCCTTTCTTCTTTACTCACCTAACAAATAACCTCGGGCACATACATATACCGTCATGAATTGTGCATGTTATGCCTCAGTACTGGACCGGGGTGTGCGTTGGTAACAAAGTTATCCACAAAGATGCTTGTTGGTTCCAAAGTTTGTCTGGTCAGTGCTGTATATGATGCGAAGCTTGCCAGCCGCGTAATGCACTTTGAGTGCACGACAAACAACCAGTCCAGTTGATTTTAAGCAATGACGAAAAATCAAACAAGGGCAAGGAGGACATGGCTCGTATGATAATCGCAAAATCGTTGCTTTGGCGAGGTTGAAAGCGGAGAGATGGGAGCATCGAAAGCACTCGATAAAGAGTGAGCGAAGGAGCATAAAAATACCACTGACGTTGGTGTGGTGACTTGTATGCAGGACAGGCGTGCAAATATCACCCATGCTCTTCTGCATCCATATAGTTTTTTTTCTTTTGCCTTGAAGAATGTGGAAATGGTCGCGTCTGTCTGCAGAGGGAAAAGCGCTTTGAAAGAAAGTCTTGTCATTACACATCATGACAATTGTTTTCTGGGGCAGCATTGTTCTCGCCTTTTTTTTCACATTCATTGGAAATTCGTAGCAATTGCGGTAGAGACTTTACACGTTGTGCAGCGCCTAAAAGGATTCAGGAGGGGGAAGAAGCAGATATGTCGCGCGGCGCCTAAAGATGGGACTCATGACGAGCCCTTGGCTGTCCAAGAGAAAGTGAAAAAAACGGGGATAACTCAAAATGCAATAAGGATCTGGAAGTGAATGAAAAGGCAGTTCAACCTCCATGCTTTCTCCCTTTTGGCTGAATATACCCTTGTTCGCTCACTTTGTCGTCTCCTTCCCTCTGTTCTTTCCTGCCTGCACCTCAACACTCGCTGCCGCGCGCTCTATTGTCTTTCCCATCTGCCTTTGTTGCATTATAGCCCTCTCTCCCTTTTTGCCCTAGTTATTACACGAAAGAGAGAAACGGTGAGCATGCTGTTGATTGTCCTGTCCATATCCTCGCTCCCCTTGGACTTCCTATTATCCTGCCTCCTCTTCTTTTTTTTTTTTTTTTTTTTTTTTTTTTTTTTTTTTTCGCCCTCTTGCCCTCTTCCTTCGCTCCTCACTGTCTCGCTCCCCCACGCGAAAGCTGTAAGGCCCGCATTTGCTCCGCTCTTCTTTCTTTTACTTCGCTCGTCTTTGTCAATCCATCCATACGTTCTTCCATCACTATTTTTCGTTTATCAACCACCCCAGTTCCATCCCCTCGCGTAAAGCTCACGCGGTTTAGTCAGTTTGAGGATCCTTAGTTTTCGTTTCCGACTTTATCTGCTACATCTCTCGAAAAATCACAACTACTTTGGCCAATACTTTCTCCACATTTACGCATATCACAGCAAACTCTCTGCCAGCTACATACCACTCCACCTCTGGGTTAGCTGGATAACCGGAGTGTTTGTTCACGTTCTCCACGCCTTCTTTCATTACTCCGTTTCTTATCGACCGACACTTCACGTCTGGTTGTCCTGGTGGTCCTAAGCATACCTGCCTTGTTCACTCACATTAACACCCTCTCCTGGTCCCTGTCACACAAACACGCCTCCGTTTCCCTCGACTGCCTCTTAGGGCCGTTGATCCTGTTAGAGTCTACCGCAAAGTAAGTTCACGAGAGAGAAGAAAGCACCGAAACATGCGCGCGCGGATCTCAGTCTAGGACAAAGAAGGGTTTTGCGCACGAGCACATGAAGTTGGTGTCCTTGTGTCACCACCGGACAAGGCCTGACAACAAAAAATACCCGGCAGTGCCTCTGTGGCATTGTTACCCAATTGAATTTCGAGACATGCTTGTTTAGCTGTTTAGTCTGTGCAGTCCCGGGGTGCTCTCTTTTGTTCGTATTACATACACATACACATACACACACACAGACAACAGCAAACAGACATCATCCAGCATTTCAGAGACAAAGGAACCGTGCCTGGGGTGTCTCTCCGACAAAGGGTGTGTCTTGAATGAACTCTGGCCAAGCGCATTCGCATCTGGACAAACAGAACGTTCAGGCACCCTCCGTCCTCCCTTGCGAAAAAGCACACGGGGACGAATGAGACACGCCTAAACACACGTACGCAAATGCATTCACCACTCACTTCACACCCACATCCACAACTACAAAGACACCCCCGCAAACAAACCCTGGAAAACGCGCATGCGCTTTCTTGTTCCACCCTCGCACACGTTTTGTCCTGGGTCGAGCTCGTACTTATTTTCCCGCCCTTAACCCGACTTGACTCTACTCCACTCTATGGCCGTCCACTTCCACACACGCACCCCCTTCACTTACTCTTTCAGCTTGACACTGCTCAATTGCGCGATGGGCGGATGGGCGGATGCCTTGTGAAATGGTCATTTTGACATGTACTCGCACACACGTCCCACACACTCATTAAACAAAATATATGCCGGTGCCTATCCAAATTCGCGGGGCTGATCCAATTTCGCATTATACATCTTCAGATACGCTTTCTGCCGTTGCTCTGGGTACCGTTTTTGCTTATTCACATCCATGCTCATTTCATATTCCATTCGCCCATATTTCCTATGTTTTCAGTTAAGATTATTGTTTGGCTGAATAAATTGAAAATGAATTGAGTGGGTGTATAAACAATTGAAGCTGGGCTTCAAACGCACGGTAATCAAGAGGAGAGACATCTTCCGGACGTAAACAGCCCGGATCGACACCTGGGCTGCACGGGCACTCAGGGACTGAGCACCCTCTTTCTTTTTTTTTTTTTTTCTGCACTTGGCTACCTCTCTCTCTTCACTTCTTCACTCTTTCTTTCTCTTTCTTTCTTCTCTCTTTTCTTCCCTCACACGCGCTCCCGGCAAAAGCGTCCGTCCACCATCCTGTTCATGCATTCTTCCATCTCCCCCTCCCGTACCCCATCCTCCAACTCCTCCGCCGCCTTTATTCCAACCGCAACAAAGTAAATAACGTAAAAAACAGGGTCCCTTTTCCCCGGCACATTAGCACAGTGCACACTCTTGGGACAGGCACACAGAACACAGAAGCAATTCATGCGGGTTTCTTCATTTCCCCTTCCATTGCTGGTCTACCTGCTCTTTTCCTTGTCTTTACCCTCACCGCACTTAAGCCCATGAATGCAGCTTCTTCTTGCCTTGGGGTGTGCTTTTAATCGTCTTTAATAATTTGTTCTATTGGCCCTGTGCAACCCGCAATATACTCACTCACCTGCCTTGTACCTCTTGTCCTCCCTTGCCTTGGATACACCACCACAGCTAGAGTTACACCACATCCTACTTTGCCTCCCACCTTCACATTCACCTTAATAGCGACAACACTCCACTTACTCCCTAATTCTATTCCTAAACCATGGCTGCAATCGACATCGCAGGCGACCGCTATCACCATAATGTCCTTGCTCTGGATCACACTGACCGCGGCGCCAACAGCAACCACGCCTCGGCGTCAAAGCTGCTTCTGAACCAGGGTCGGAATGGGTTCGAATCCCGTCCGTCGCAGTCGGGCCGACGACGTGTTCATGATGAGGAGTCGAGGTCGAAGACTAGGTTCGGCAGCACAGATCGGAATCGTCCCAAGGACATCATGATAATGGCTGTTGATGGAGATATGGACGATGTCTACGAGTACTACGCTTCTGTGCCTGGTGTTAACGACGCCACAATAGAAACATATGGGTATCATAGCACGAATGCACCTGCTATGGTCCCATCCACCCCCGCCACCCCATCTGGATTCGACTTCCCTCTGCCCCCAGCCTTCTCTATTGAACAACACCACGATCTCCTGTCCCTTAACAACAGCATTTACAGCTGCACCAAAATACCCTCCTCTCCTCTTTTGTCTTCTTCCCGCCATCAATCCTCTCCCAAACACCTCGACCAATTCTCACATCAACAATACACCATGGCGCTACGCCGATCCCCCACCACCCTTGTTACACTCGCCCCCACCACCGAATACACCCTCCCCTCACCTCTACTCGCCGGTGATCGTGCCCATATGGGTCGCAACAGAAACATACTTCCAACCTGTGCCAGCGATGTCTCCGAGGTACCATTCGACACCTTTGCTGAAGGGGAGATCCTGGACACTGACATGTCTGACACTGACGCCTGGGATCAACGTTCATCCTCCCAGCGCCACTACTCTGCCACGAACCTCCGCTTCGCAGGCGCCCGCTGTTCCTCCTCGACCCTTTACGACGAGACTCGTCCACCCTCTAGTCAGGGATCATGGTCGCAACACACCAAAGACACCTTCTGCAACAGCCGAGAGGCCAGCCCAGTCCTCTTCCACTCCAAAGCACCCTTTCAGCTGCCCCAGAAGGAGCAGACCACTATGTGTACAGGCCATCAATCCAGCCAGCAGGCACAGCACATCACAGGCGACAGCGACAGCGCCACCTCTTTTGCAGATCGCCCCTCTTCCTGCTGGAAGACAGCAGCAGGACCAGCTGCGGGAACAGCGCGCTTAAAAATAGAACCCTCCACTCCCGTCCCTCCTCCTTCATCCTCCGCGGTCCTTCATGGCAAGGATAGCGGCGTCCTAAGCGCCAAGGGTTCATCCTCACCGCTCCGCTCTACACCCACGACTCCTTTGACTCCGATCCCTACAGAGTTGGACAAGCCCACGAGGAATTTGATGATTTTTAACCAGATCCCTCGTCAGTGGCCCTCCTCCCAAGAAACGTTACACCAGAACTACAATACGTCTATCAGCAAAAAGACACCAGTAAGTCATCATATTGGCCGTTAGTGCTCCATATGCTTTCCGCGTTCTCGAGCAAGATGGGTTATGCAGAATATTGCTTGCGGCAGGGTAGTGAGGAATGGGGTGGGAAAGGTGGTAAGAAATACGAGGGGTGAATGAAGAAAGCAGGGGAGGGAGGATGAAAAAGAGCGGGAAACCTGTTGTTGTTTGCTGCGAAGGCGTTCGTCAACAACAAAGGCTCTTAAAAAACGAACCAGGGCGGTGGATGGTGTTGCTGGATGCGGGTGGGGAGGATATAGCCTTTCTACTCCCTGCCCACAAGAGCGAGATGGGTGATTTTGGTTCTGCTTCGCATGCCGAGAGCTGGATGCAGATGCTTGACGTGCCTGGCTAGTCCCTGGCCTGCCTCTACTCCCACACCCCCTCTTTCAATCCGACCCCCTCCTTTCACTCGTCTTCTCCCCTCCCTCTTGCTATGCCCATCCGCCTTTTCCCCTTTGTTTCCTTGGAGCAGGAAAAGAGGGTGCTGCAGATGCATGCATGCATACTGCATATTGAAACGTGACACCGAACCTAATCCGACCTTCCCTACTGTTACCAGATCGTCAAAGGGTTCGACACCGCGACTGCAGAGCGCATCGACCGCGTCATCAACAAGGACCGGCCGCTCAGCAGGGCTGCCAAAGAAAAGGTACAGCATTTGCTGCTATATTCTTTTCATTTTTTTTTTCGCGGACGACATGATCATTGAACTCGTCATGATAACACTTTTATTTTCTCATCTTCTGATGTGGGTCTTCAGCTTGCAGCGGAACAAAAAGAAGCCGAACTGGAGGCAAGAGGGTTCTTTGACCCTGCTTGTCGCTGGAAGGGTCGGGATGTATACCCTCGTCCTGCAAATTGGGTCTACTGCCGCCGAGTAAGTTTCCCGAAACAAGTGTCCTATGCCCTGTGTCCTGTGTAAGGAGCCATTTACGAAGTAGACCTCATCTAATATGAATTTGATTTATTTATTTATTTAATTATCTAGACGAAAAATAACTGGCTGGAAAAGTCCAAGATCCTTGCGGACCGATACAAGCTGTTCAAGGGCCAGGTACTCGGCAAGGGTCATCACGCAGATGTCTACAAGGGCATTGATTTGACAACGGGCCAGGATTTGGCCATTAAGCTCATCTACAAGACCATAACCCGTCGTCTGGGATTCGTGAACGAAGACCCCATGCAGGAGGTCAAGAACAGGCGATTGCTCAACGAGGCCTGGTTCATCGACTACTTGAAGGATACTGTAAGTAGTCCCCCCTGTGTTTCTTTACTATAATGGCGAATCCTCGACACCTGAACTGTAAACTAAATAGCAAGCTTGCTCCTTGTCCTTGATCTAATAGCCCGGCATCTCCAAGGTGCTTCGCGTGGTCGAGACTACAACAAAGTTTTACTTTGTGATGGAACTCGCACATTCGGACCTGAACTCGTACTCGAACGGCATCAACATGCGCGAGGAGGAGATCCGTCATATTCTCAAACCAATCTTTGAGTGCCTCAAGTACGCACACAGCCGCGACATCACCCATCGCGATATCAAGGTATAGCCTTTTCTATCCTCATTTCCTATAGTGTTCTAGTACCACCCTCGTACATTTTTTTTATTTATTTTACTAACCATCATTCTTCTATGTCCTCGTTCTAGCCCGAAAACATTCTTCTCAGGACACGAAAAGACTGGCTGCAAGGCAGTACCATCCACAGCAGCGGTTTTGAAAGCCTTAGCCCTACCTTCCTCACCTCACAGGCCACTCATTCGCAGCCCATGCATATGACCGATGACAATTCCAGCATGTTCAGCAATACCTTCGTGAATGAACCCTCGTACATAGAAATGGATGCGGTAACGACCGATGGTCGTTCGTCCATGGACTCTGCAACACTGTACCACTATGACCACAGATTCGATGCCACGCTGGCGGACTGGGGTCTGGCGGCCGAGCATGACTGCATTAGTGGCCGCAAGCCTGTGGGCACGCCCTTGTATGCGGCGCCGGAGGTTGTGAGGAAGATGAAGAGGATCAGGAGGAAGGAGTGGATTAATTATCGGGCGTGCGACATCTGGAGCCTTGGAGTTACCATGTTTGTTGTGTAAGTCTTCAGAAGTAGAAACGAATGTAATCATTGTCCCGACGATGAACATGCAGCTGATATTTATTGCCTTTTTTTTTTTTTTTTTTGTTATTCGATACAAATAGTGCCAGTGGTATTTACCCATATCACACACAGGACGCCCTCGAGGCCCAGTCGCCACCCAACTGGGCCGCACTCGAGTCCTCGGGCATGTCAAAAGAGTACATTGCCCTCACGCAGAGGCTCATGAACCTCACGGCCGAGCTCCGTCCCTCGGCTGAAGAGGCCTGCAACGATCCGTGGTTGCAGGGTTAAAAAAAAAAAAAAAAAATCCCAGCTACAACCCCAGGACCAAACGCTTCTTCCTCCCCTCGCCAAGAAGCTCAAGCTTCGTTTTCACCATCTACCTTGTCTATCTTATGCGCTACCTCTGTTTTTCTTTTAGCATTGTACCTTCGTCGTTTATGTATCCTTTTAGTTCTTTTTTCTTCTTCTTTTACTTTTTATGCCATTTTCTGCGATATTGTCATTATTCCTGATTCTTAGCAATTTCCGCAACCGTATACCAGCCATGGGTTTGGGTCCCCATGGCACAAATAATGTCCCTTCACTATTACCGCTATCAACGCCCACGACTTTCAAGTTCTTAATACCAGAAAAAAAACATCATTTATCACTACCTTAATAATAATGACAAAAAGTGCTTCGGGATGGCCTTTGTCGATTGTACAACAAAAAAAAAAAATACTATGGATCTGTGTTTATGTAGGAGAAAAATGTGTATGCGTTTCATGAGAGGTATGGACTACTTGGTCTATGTTCGAAAGGATCTTGGACTATGGCATAATACTCGACGCTGGGGAACCGGGGGGGCTGTAGTTCGTGGTCACTGCGCTAGCTACTACCGTTGCCGTTGCCGTTGCCGTTGCCGTTGTTACTACCGTTGTACACCATTGCCCTCCCCGGGTTCAAAAACTGTTGACTCCTCGATCGATCCACCCCACCGGACAACCCTACTCCTGATCCCGACCCTGGCTTGGCGGTTCCATCGGTGATTTTGTGACTTGAAGGTCTCGATGGTTGTATAGGCGAATACGAATACCTGTCTCCCGTTCTCGCGGGCCCGTTCTGGCCGAGACTAAACTCCGAGGTCGACCGTCTCAGGGGGGACCCTTCCGCGCTGGCGATACTCCCTCCCGCACCACGGTGTATGCTACTGGCTCGAGATCCACTCGCTACGCTCATGGACTTGCAGCTGGCCCCGTCTGAGATGACCATGCGAAGCTGTGAGCTTGTCGGGGAGGCGTATTGGAATTTGGGGAGTGGTGTAGGTGCAGCCGCGAGTCCTGCAGCGAGCAAGTCAGTAGATGAGGGGGCGGTCGGACTACCCCTGAGGTCATGGAAGACATCGGGGGCGATCCCCTGTCGATATTTAGATCGTGAGCGGTCATCAACGATCGAGCCCCTCAGTCGGTACTGAATCGACTTGTCAGCGCCGCTGCTACCGTGGAGTCCTGCAAGGCTGAATAGACTGGATGAGAGACTTGAGTTCTTGTGGAGTTGAGAGCTAGGGTTGTGGAAGCCGGTGGTGGTGGTGGTGGTGGCGAGGGGGTGTTGTTGCCGCAGTTGCTGGGTTGGGAAGGTTGTGGGTGGGGTTTGGGTGGCGACAGCGGAGGTGGTTTTTGTTTGCGAGACCGAGCTGTTCGAGGACTTCTTGACGCCGCGACTGAGCATGTCTGAGAGGAAGGAGTTGGACATGGCTCGGGTACGCTTCTGGGAGCTGACGTGTTCGGCAGCATCGAGCATCTGGGTCAGGTAGCGCAATTGGACGTAGTTGATCGTCTGAGAGATCGCGATCGCCGCATTCTAGTAGAGGAATTGAAAAAAAAAAGGATACTGTTCAACATGCTACCTTCATTTAAACCGAATGTCTACTCCATGCTCTCTTTTTTTTTTTTTTTTTTTTTTCGTTCAGTTCAGCTTACATTGATCTCGGTGGAGAGGTGAGTAATCTTTTGGCCCGTCACCAAAGATTGTTCCTTCAACCGTTCGTTCTCCTCCAAGTACGTCCGGTCCATGTTTTCGCCCACCAACAACTCCTCTGAATGGAAGTGTGCCGCAGGTGTAGGATCGGGTTCTATGCCTGCACCTTGAAGCTGTTTCCTGAACGCCTCGTTTGCCACCTGCAGTTGTTTCACTGTGTCGAGCAACGAATTCATTTTCCCAACATTGGCCTCTGTTCGACTGTTCTCCAGATCCTTGAGCGTCTTTTCCAAAGCGCCGTATTTCTCTGGGGGGTTTTTTTTTTTAAAAAAAAAAAGAATCCGTAATACCAAAAGCAAATACAACGAGCGAGCGTTAGGGAACCCATTTTTTTTTTTTACCATCACTTACTCATTCTTCGCTTTCTCATCCTGAGACTGACCTTCCCAACGCTCGCGTTCGTAGTGTAGTTGATTCTGTGCGGACGAATACTTCTTTTCCCATTGCTTGGCTTCCCGGGATGCGGCCTCGTACCGCTGACGGTAGTCGAGTTCAACGTTACCGAGACCTCCTTCCAGTGTCGAGGCCGCAATGCTAGGGTTCAAACTTCCTGGTGGCATAAACGTCGTCGTCGTCAAACTGAGTGTACTCGCCCTATACAAAAAAAAAAAAAAAAAAATCAGTTCGTATCGACATCGTAGAAAAAGGGGATATTAGGGATCAGGGGCGGCCGGCAGTACCACATTCATACGATGGGGATATGAATGCGTTCAAACAATGAGACATACCGCTTGCGTAATTTGTCCTGGGTTTTCGGAGGCGTTGCGTTGGCGACAACAATCTGGGCCAGCTCTGACGTCTCGGCAGCAGAGGGGGTCTTGAACTGAGCACTGTTGATGCGCCTTCTTGGTCTAAGCTCATGTGCAATGATAAAAAAAAAAAAAGCTAAGAAAATAGAACAAGACGCGTTTTTTTTTTCTCCCTTGTGTCTAGCTAGGTCGGAAATATGATTGGCCAGACATACTCGCGCAGCTTCTGTGGGGGTGCAGTTGAAGACGACAAAGAGCCCGAGCCGCCATTTCTAGTCGCAACAAAAAAAAAACGCGAAATTGAGTGAGCTCACAACAAATCTCACTTCTCGTTGATGCACCGTTACCTGAAGAAACCCCCAGCACCTTGATTTTTACCTGGATCCTGATTGCGAACTAGCTGGCGACTGGCGGGATTGGAGCCTCAATGATGGAGCTGAAGAACCTCCTTGATATCCAAAATTGCTGCTACTCATGCCGCTGTTGTAGCTGTTGGGTTGCTGCCCCGGAACAGTACCGGCCCCAAGTCGCACTCCTGGGCGTGTGTGCCGGGACGTTTTCAATGGACTCGATTTCGTTTTGGCCGCCGCCAACGCCTCGAGTTTCGAAAACAGTTCATCCTGTGATTGTTGAAACGTCTTTGGCGCCTCTGGTGTCTGTGTCACATCCGTACTCATTCCCATGCCCGCTCCCATCCCCATGCCCATCCCCATCCCCATGCCAATCCCTGCTGCGTCCGCCAGTGGAACCATCCTTCGTGTCTGAGGATTTGTGATGTCTGTCTGGATAGATGGGGCTTTAATGGAAGGGGGTCCCACCATCTTAGATACAGACTGTGGCGTAGATGATGCTGAGGGTGTAGTTGTGGGCTTGACGACTCCATTGAATTGACTAGATGGACTGAAAGATGTTGTTGCTGGTACTTTAACAGGCTTCCGTTTGAGGAAGGATGAAGAAGCGGATGTGTGCTGGGAGGATATCTGGGCTCGTAAAGCAGCAGTGGCATTTTGTTCGGCGACCATGGAGGATGAGGCCGAGACTGTGGCAGCTGGTTGTTTACTGGTGATCGCCATCGGGTTGTCGTCAAGAAGGATGGTATGCGGGGGGAGAAGGGGAGGGGTGTTCGTCCTTCACTAGAGAATTATGATTCTAGGATGGATTGAGGGGGTATGGAGGGAGGATACGCAGGAGGAGGAGGAATAGGAGAGAAGAAATGAGATAAAGGGAGGATATCGTAGAAAAGAGATTGCAGGATGGGGAACGAAGGCGAAAGAGACATGGTGCCCGGACGATGGACCAAGGATCAAGGGAAGAATCCTTCGTTGTGGTTGCGATGATAACATCGCGCGCACTTTCAAACCCGACTGTTTGACTGCTGAGTGCATTCAACAGAAAAAAGTGCCGCTTCTTAAGGGAAGGTACCGATAAAGACACAGCCGCAGGCATCGACATTGACATCAACATGGATCGGGATGTTGTGGAATATCGAATGCCTCATAATACTTTTACCGCTAGATCTCCTTTACATTTTCTCTTCTTTCCTTTGCAGATCCAGTTTCAACGTCTTTTTTATAGTTCACAGGGCCCCGGTGAGTGCACGCCCAATGTCTTTATTGTACAAATCTTTGCTATATTACAGTCGTTGAAGAGGGATGCCGGATGGTATTCATTATCCATGCAAAGCAGGGCTATACTCCAGATCGGAATCGCGACTCGCACAGATAGCTGCCACTTTCGAGGTACTCAGCCCTGGTCACCAGCCGGCTCTTGAACTCGCTTGCAAACTCGTCCATAGTAGCGAGTCCTTTCGCACCCTTCCATGCGTATCCCAGAGGACTATAAGTGATGAGCATACAAAGAGGTAGAGTGAGTGCACAGATCAGCCCACTGGATACAGCGGAGAGGATGAGTGAACTGAAAGGGACACTTACTCTTTATCGACACCGACTCGGACCTCGTATTCGGAGGGCACAAACTGACGGAGGTCATGCGTAACTCTTTCCTTGAACCCTGGGAGCTTGGCATTACCGCCGATCAAGACTACATTCGCATAGAGCATGCCTTGGATTTCTACAGTACAGAAGAACACAAAGTCAATGCACATTCCGACAAAATGGACGGAGCAGAAGTAGTGACATGTTATCATTGAGTACCTTCATCACAAGCCGAAATAGCATCGACAATTGCTTCTGGAATGCCGGCTTGCTCCATGCCGATATCCGATGGGTTAAAGAGGATCTCTGGTACTGTGAACCGCTCATTATTCATCGTCAGGATCTGCTCATCCTCATTCGCATCCGCCATGGCTACATCGCTGTCGTCGGTATCATGTCTTGATCCATCCTCTGGTGCATCTCGATTGTCCTCCTCCTCCACTCCATTCTTGTCGTTGTCAACCGCCATGTCATCCTCATTCTTCCGTTTCTTGGGCTTTTTAGCCTTTCCTTTGCCCTTGATATAGCCTGTTTGCTGCATAGAGTAGTCTGGGAGGACGTAATGCTGGAGGATCTTGTTGGCTCGCGGGGATTTTCTATAAACGCCAAATAGATGGATTGTCAGTACATGAAGCCCATGCAAGTGCCGTTCCCAGTCATATCTGCAAAATAACATACTTGCAAATGTCCAGTTCTTCCCAAAAGTTGTCAGAGACGTAGCAGCAAGCCTCTTTGACCTCATTCACGAGATGGGTTTCGTCCATCATGTTCCAGTATCGAAAGGAGATGATCTCCTTCAAATGGTTTGTGAGCAGCTTCCCGCCGACGTTGATCCTCCTGATGCCCACCAGAATCGGCTTACCCTTCCAGAAGGGCACAATGTGCGTGAATGAATATCCAGAGTCCACAATCAAGGCGCAATCGACTCTCTTCTTTCCGCTACTCATCCTTTGTCCGTACAGCCGTGGGATTTCGTTGTACATGGCCATCTGTGGAGCGGACATGCGGGTATAGGATTGAAAGCCATATTCCTCAAATACAAGTTGGTCGTAGGTCGTTGCGATGTTGGGTAGATTCAAGATTGGCTCTGAAATGACCAACGTTGTCGTTGCAGGGTCGCACTACGGAATAAAAGGGAGTGTTGCCTTAGGATCCGTTGAACCGTTTCTTATCCATGTTCATGACCGATCAGATCTTATACACATACCGGCGTGATCTTTCCTGTGAACAATCTGTCCCAAACTTGCTTCTCGACATCCCAGCTGGTGAGCAGGCCCTTCTCGAACGGTAACCGGTAGTAAAGACCAGAAAAATCCTTGCAGGTCCCTAGCTGATCTCCCACGAACGTTTTCCGTTCCGCCTTGGACCGAGTGATGTTGTTGGGAATCGTCCTATAGGTTTTTTCGTCGGCAAACCCGCACTTTATGGTCGACGCGCCATTGTCGACTACGAGTGTCCGCGATGCCATGGTCGCCTGTATGAATGTCGGTGATGGTGATGGACTTGGGCGCGTTGGAAGCAGAGAGGGGCACAACAAGAGTTAGCAATAAGCCACTAGAGGAGAGTGATCACCCTTCTCAGCTCCACCACTCCCTCCTTCTTCCATTGCTCGGATCGATCGACCTCCAGCCAACGACCGACCGCAGAGGACCTTCAGGAAGCAATGTGGAAGAGAAGCCTTCGGCCTGCACAGCAACTCACGAAGGCACGGACACTCCGGATCCAGTCGTGTTGCCACCAATACCGGGACCAGCTTATATGTGCTCCGCCCATGACTGTGCGGCATGCCTGGAACTGGGCGAAGATCAAGTCCGATCCCAAGAACCCATTCTTTGCAAAGCGGAGCACCAAGAACACACCCCAGACCGCTGTTATCCTCCTGAGCAATGCCGAGATACCAATGCTTCAGATCCGGCCTCCAGTCTTCCTACCCGCGACTAGCGAACAAGGTACCGCACTTGGCAGGAACTTTTCTTCGGAAGATGATCAGGTTGTTCTGCCGCATTTGGGATTCTGAGACTGACACGCCTACACTTTATGCCGCATTGCCACATAGTTCAACACTCCCTTAACATCCTGCTGTTCATGTCCGACTTTAATATTGAACCACGCCCTCTTGTCTTCAATGCGCTGGCGTGTTCTTCTACAGGGCTCATTCATTACATCCAGATCGCCAATGAACATCTCTCCCTTATTATCCCGACATACAATATCTCAAACGGTGGAACCAGCCCGGAGCTGATCCCAGTACTTTTGAAGACCTTTCTGGAATCCTCAGCATACACAAAAATTGGATTTGGTACCTATGAGGATGTTTTGCGCATCAAGGACCAGTACGGGATCACCTGTAAGAACATATTCGACATTCACTGGATGGCCAAAGTCATGGGCATTGGATCAGTCAACGTTGGGATGCTGCACAACGTTTTTGGAGACATCCATGACAACTATATACCCGGCAGAATCAGCAAGGATGGTCATGTTTCAGAGAAGGAGCAGGAGGGGCAAGTGATCGATCCACGGAGGTGGGATTGGGAGTCCCACGGCAGCATTGAACTCTCGCGAGAGCTGATCCGGTGTATAGCTCAGGATGCCTTTGTGACCTTGCGCATGTACGACAACATTCAGGAACGGAAGTTCAGACCCGGATATCAGCCATTATTGACAGATCCACAGGGAATGTCTGCAAAAGCCATGGATTTTCTGTTGACAAGTCTGCCGCGAGGAACTGTACGTTGGATTGAATGGACTTTATGAACAGTAACAATACGAGGGAACATTGATCTCACCTATTATCGTTCATTATCTTGAAATAATAGATGATTCCCGTGCGATCTATACACCATCTTTTGAAAGGGCCGTTTATGGGCTCTGATATCAATAATGTCGATCGGGACGCCCAGGCATTGGCGCTGGTCAAGCTACTTGTCGACAGGCAAGAACTCATCACTGATAAAAATGACACCGCTCCACTCACATTTAAGGACCCCATCGATCTTAGTCGCCGCATTGCATTACCGGGTATCCGCTCCAGTGAAGCTATCCTTACCAATCCACAAACCAGGAAGATTGCAGCGGAGGTATTCAATTGTAGGGCGGATGAACTGAGGCTGATGCAAGACTCTGATCTGACAAGAAAGCCGGACAAGATCCAGGATCTGGAGTGTTTCTTGGGCGTATATGAATGGCTCGATTTTTTACCTGGTGCAGAGCTGGACGAGCCATTGGACAGACGGTTACAGTCTGGATCGAATGTGTCAGAGGGGTGTGGACGCAAGGAGGCGACCCTATTGGCGCTATTCATGAACTTTGGCACGGTGGCTGACAGAGCCAAGGATCAACCTACGGAAACGAAACGATGGGTTGCGCAGAGGATAGAGCGGCTCGTTCAGCAGGGTGCCTTGTTGAGGACTGGTGGACCTCAAGGATTGATTCGAGTCAACCCAGCTTTGCTTCGGAAGCTCAAGAGGATCGAAACGAATGTGAACCGGCATCACCATGTCGTTGAAAATAAAGCACTCTCAGCCAATTGAACATGCAGTGTCTTTGAGTGTTGTATTTCTGCTTGCTTGGGGAACTACAGTGTGATCGCACACTGCTCCGATGAGCTGGAGAAATGAATCAGCGAGAGGTGTTGAATCCTATGGAGATCAGTGACCCGTTTTTTTTTTTTTGTTTTGTAAAGAAATGTAGAGCGAGCTGGGATGCTGTGATCCCGTTCACCGCCAGAGGCAGAGCATGTTATGTACCAACACGACGTCTTTCAATGGGCGTGCTCAGTGCTCGAAGTTGTCTTTGCAATCATATCCAATATCGAATGATCATGGAGGCGACCATCGTGTTCTACTTGATGCAGTTGTTTGAAGGGAAAAAAAAAAAAAAGACAGACACGGAAGGCCTTTTATGCGCGGAAATGAATGACTCACGTTTTTTGGGAGACCAAGCTCGCCTCGAGCGGAGTTGCAGAGCTACATCCAAAATCCAGCTAAAGAACAAACATTTTCTTTGGTTTAAGAAAGCAACCTCGTCTTCTTCGATCTCCATATCATGATCCATCCTGACGAATTTGACTTCCAGTCCCAGCTTTTCAATCCCTTTAGCAAACTGTCTCGGTGCATCAAGGTGCGCAAGATGTTTGAGGCCGTCCACAGTCTCTGACAGAGTATCGATTCTAAAGCGTAAAACCCTGCCACGGATATACAGATTGTAACCGGTTCATAGGTTCCAGAACCGCGACAATGGTACGTCTCTCACATACCCAGGTCCCATCCCTCTAGCGAGAGCGGTGCTGTCCTCTCATAGTCCCTCTAGGCGGGTGCGATCAAGGATTGCTTCGATACTGACGCAGGAACGCCGATAATGCTTCTATGTTCTGGTTGGTCCACAGGGGATGGTATACATCTAGCCGCTGTAGACGCGAGAATCGATATTCTGACTGAATGAGATCGTTCTGCGCTGAGACGGATAAGTATTACCTTGATATCGCCTCTGGGGTATGAGTCGCGGGCGCAAAACGGATAAGATAATGGGTCGCACTGGTTCCTTAATCAATCGGAGTACCCCCATAGACCTTCATACTCGGTAATAAAGTATTGGTATCGCTCTAATTGATCCTGATAAACGATAGGTGGTCAAAGAAGGGTGGCAGTTCTATAGTGGACGTCTCGTAGAGATTGCTGATGAGTAGCTGTTGTTTTCCACAGCAACTGAACAGCAGCCGCAACAATGCACAATGGCGCTCGATGGCCTCTTCTTCGGTCACTGTGAAGCGCTGGTGGAGTGCGAGGATTAGGTTGCGGTAGAGAATGGGCGCAGCATAATAGAACCATTTCTTGCTGAGACGCAGCAGCATAGGAAGGGTACTTAGGGGTAAAAACTGCACAATGCGGCGGAGGCACAGGCCCGGTACGATGTCCGTCGGTTCTTGAACAGATTCGGCCAGAGGCGGGAAGATATGAGGCGCACTGGACCTTGAAGCTCTATCATCGCAGGGTCCTCTCAATGACATATCACGTGCAACTGTAAAGGTGACGTGAAAGGCAGTCACCAGGATCTTGGTAAACACGGCAGCAGGTTGATGGGCGGCAATAATCTCCCCCGGCTTCAGCTAATCCTCACTCAACCCACTTGCTTACCCCATCCCTAACACAAACAAGCAACCATGGCCCAAAACTTTGATGAAGCTGCTCAGCGTGAGCTCTCCAAGTTCCTCGAGGCCGAGCAGGCCAAGGCCCGTCTCCAGCAGTCCATTCACACCTTCTGCGATCTTGCCTTTGACAAGTGTGTCACCAAGATTGGTATGTCGACCACTGCGCTGCTGTTTACCACGGTGGAAAGCTGTACAGGAAAGACCAGCACTCGGTGTTGAGAGGAAGACGACTCAGTGATTCGTGGATTATTGACGCAGGATTTACAAGAGACAGGAATGCTATCCAAAAGAGCCGGACGAGCCATGACAGTTACAGCGCTGCCGGTTAGCTCCAGCGTATGATTCACGCATTATACAGGAGGACCGCAACCGCCTTCAATAGTTGGCATAAGGGTTTTGCCCAAGATCGAATACGGAAATCGCAGCGATCTTATTGAAGAAATATGGGAGCTCTACCGCCACCTTGTGTGCTTCCGCAATCTGACAAGGATATTCTGCCCTGTTTTATTACAATTGCATTTTTAGGCAACAAGTTGGACCGTTCAGAGGAGGCCTGCCTGGCTAACACTGTCGATCGGTAGGTTGACAACCGCTTTTTCTCTGCTCCGAAGGGCTTTAGACCGACAGGCTTCGGCTAGGTTGTTTAGGTAGACCGGCTGAAGCTGACCATTTACTGTCTTTTTTTCCCCATTTGCGCAATAGCTTCCTCGACACCAGCTTGTTCATTGTGAGACGTCTGGAGGAGACCAAGGGCTCCATGTAAAGGAGTGGAAGATACAAGCATCATTCTTCAACTCGACCCAGCGTCATTGCGACGCTACACTTGATTTTTAGACGTGCACGCTCTGTTTTTTAACATTCCTCACTTCTTATCCATCGAGCCTCCTTTTATTGTAATAAAGCCTGGGAGGTTTTTTTTGCTGCCGTACCTCAACGAATATGTTCTATTACTGGCTGCAAATCCAAGGCTAGAGGACAGAGAAGAAGCGAAAGATTGGTTATCTAGATGTGCCTTTGAATGCGCTGTGCATGTATGCCCCTTCTTCTTGGCCCACGGTGGATCGCTCATCTTTGTGTCACAACTGAAGCCCAAAATGAGAGCCGATGTTGCGCAGGGGAAAGGACTGGACCGGACCCCCTTGTGAACCCAGGCTAAATAGCTAACTCGTTTAATCGAGTCCTTCCTGTCTTCCCCATCGTTTTGCATTCACTCAACATCACCATCTCTCTCTCTCTCTCTCTCTCTCTCTCTCTCTCTCTCTCTCTCTCTCTCCAACTAGCACCCACTCCAACTAGCACTCACGTCCGACTCTCTACCTAATCATGTCAAGACCCTCAGTGCGCGAAACCATCGCCGCTGCTAGAGCGCGATTGGCTCAGGAACAGGCAAAAACTAAAACAATCCGCGGCGGTGGAGACGATGAGCGACAGGCCTTTGTCAGCTCTGGCGTCCCAGGCGTCAGGAAGACCGCCCCTCCCCCAAGGCGCCAGACAGACGTCGAGATCCTTGGACACACCCAAAAGTCTATCAAGAGCCTTATCGCCAATGCCAAAGGGAGCGGTATGTGCCAGGGATTGGTGGCCAACTACTATTTCTTGCAGTAACCTGACCTGTCGCCACACTTTGGTTCGCTCTCTTGGTTTCTTCTAGGCATAATGAACATCTCCAGCCGCGAACTGACTGCGGTCCCTCTGGAGATCTGGAACATGTACCATGTCGATCCAGACAAGGTTGTCGTCGACTTCAACTCGAGCAGCAGCGCATGGTACGATGCTGCCGATCTCACGCGTTTCATTGCAGCTGACAACAAAATCACGTTCATCGATTCCAGGATTCAGGAATTCGGCACCCTGGTCGCTGTGGACGTAAGGGCTTGTTATAGCGCGTATTCACCGTTCATAAGATCGCGCGTTAGTACTAACCATGTGCCTTTACATGTCTAATAGCTGCGAAGCAACGAACTGACAACACTCCCCGAGGAATTTGGAGAGCTGAAGCGCTTGGTCAATCTCAACCTCTCGTCCAACAAGTTTGCAGAGATCCCCCCTGTCGTTTTCACTCTTGTGGCCTTGCTCGACCTGCAGCTCGCCAACAATCAGCTCTCTGGACCATTGAATCCAGCCATCGGCAGTCTTTCCAAGCTTGAGTCCCTCGAGCTCTCCGGCAACAACCTAACCGCACTTCCACAGGAGCTATCGCAATTGAAGGCTATGCGCAAGCTGAACCTGTCCAAGAACAAGATCGAGGAACTACCCGTCAGCATTCTTGCGCAAATGCCGAAGTTGACAGAACTGGAGATCTCGGACAACAAACTCGAATGCCTTTTCAGTGGTCTCGCCCAGTGGAGCTTGGAGGGAGAGGAAGCGTTTGTTCTGCCGTCTCTTGTCAGACTGGATGCCAGAACCACAGGAATTCAGAGAATCACTGACTTGGAAAGCGGCACAGATGGCTTGTCCAAGCCCAAGATCCAGCTCCCAGCGGTCAAGGAGCTGATGCTATCCCACAACAACTTGAGCAGCCTTGAGAATATTTTATTCGCCACCCCTCAGCTTTATTATCTGGATTTGCGCCACAACAGATTCTCGACCATTCCGACAGGCGTACTGGAGCTCTCGAATCTGCGCAACCTTGATATGGCTAGCAACGGAATGGAACATATGCCGTCAGAGCTTGGAAACATGTTCGACCTCACTACATTTGTCTGGGAAGGCAATCCTATTCGGAACTTGCCTCGGACTGTCACCAGCACTGAGGCTCTTATGAAATTGCTGCGACGTCGTCAGGAGACCGATGTTCCATCGCCAGGTAAATTGACATCCATGGCTTGGTTCTGCTGTGTACCGCTTGCTTACTCGAGGTTCTGATGAATGTTTTATTCCACGCCCTAATTAGTTGATATTTCCCGTGTAGAGGCGCTCAGCATCTCCGCAGGTGCAGAGAGCTCTATCCCCTCATCATCCGCGGCACCAATGTTTCCTACTCATAATGGCCCCGTTGCCGGCCGTTCAGCCTCTTTCTCAGCTCGTACAACGCCAGAGGCTGATGCTTCATCTAAGAAGCCTTCCAGTGCAGTCAATAACCTGAATCTCGCCAAGAAAGGCCTTAAGGAGGTCTCGAAGGAAGAGATTCTGGAGGCGTGCTTGAACCCGCAAAGTGCTATCCTCGATTCGAACGCGCTGGTGGCCTTCCCCGTGGCACTGCATGAGGCCGTTGGAGCAACTCTCATCCAGATCAGCATCCAACGCAACAAGATTCCAGAGTTCCCATTCACGCTGTCCTTCCCGTTCCTGGCGTCGATTAATTTGTCGGAGAACGCTATTACTACCCTGGATACAATTAGTGCGGAGGCCGCAGAGGATGTCGGACTCAACAATTATCCAAATCTCAATGAGCTCAACTTGACAGGCAATCGACTAACAGAGCTCCCGGTCTGGCTGCCCAAGGCATTCCCGAGGCTGAAGACCTTGAACGCGAGTCGGAACAAGATCACTGCGATTGAACCCAAGTCACTGGAGGGCTTGATTGTTGTCGATCTCTCGGGCAATGAGATCGGATCCCTTCCTCCGCTCCTGGGCAACATTAGGAGCATCAAGTCAATAATGCTCGATGGAAATCTGTTCAGAGTGCCACGACGACAGATCATGGATCAGGGAACGGAAGCCGTCATGGAGTATCTCCGCGGGCGAATTCCTGTATAATGCAACATGCTGCTGAAATGATAGCTAATTACCGACAGGCCATTGCTTAACATATATCGCTGAAATAAAGGAGCACAGCGCCACACCCCTCCACGAGTTTGATCCGGCCATGGATGATTCGATGGGGCTCAACAGATTGTTGGTGTGCTCATTGGACTACATGCATAGTTTGCGTTCAACATGTTGTACATGTTTCATTCATTACTTCGCGTCCGCATAAACCCTTCATTTTCCAGGTTCGTATACGTCGACAGTGCATGTCATTCCCTTGCAAACAATACTTTGTCTGCATAGAGGTCTCTAGTATTTTAGAAATATCTGACTATCGTTAGACCATCGTTAGGCCGTCGTTAGGTCACTGTTAGGTTAGTCTGTTTACACCAAGACATGTAGGGCATAGGCGCCTTTAATGGCTTGCCTTGACGACAGACTGATCAGCGACTATTTTCCTTTTCATAAACAAGGGACGCTTGTAGTATGAAGGTCATCTTTGATTCAAAGAATGAACTTGGGGATAGGAAGTAATGACATCGAGTGCGTGATTTCGTGTTATTAGTGACCATCAGTGTAGATAACCGCCCAAGCAACGAGTAGCCGCGTTTGACACGTCCATTCTGATTGATCCGCTTCTCGGTTATTGAACCACGACGCGTTCAAACAGGACGTGTACGCGCTTTGAGTACGATCGCATGTGCATCAGATTATCGGATGAAGTAACCCGACGACAGTACACACAAGTAATGGTGTCTCTTCCGGTTCTCTTTTTATTTAATGGTGCAGGAGGAAATATACAACATAGAGGGGCAGCATCAAGCTGATCTATGGATCCCTTTTACAGCTCATCGCGGGCACGCCTCTCAGCATCACGCAACTGCTGCTGCTCCCGCTTCATCTGCGCCAGACGGGCCTTCTTAATCGTCGTGTTGACATATGTTCCGAAGGTAAAGGCGACCAAGTTGAAGAAAGGCACCCAAACGTTGGGTGGCAAGAACTTTTGCGCAAACGCCATCGAAAGAGGCGACAGCATCCATGATGTCTTCATCATTGGCAGGTATCCCTGCTTGAACGCGGCCTTGATCTGGCCCGTGGTCCTGGCACCAGCGAAGAGGGCCATGGCCAAGATGTAGGCTAGTATAGGTGGCAGAAAAGAAAAAGAAAAAGGATTTATAGATTTAGCAACATAATCGTTTGGGTAGAAGAATAGCCGGACAAGCGGAGCAAATCAAGGAGATAAACCTTACTGGCGTTCTGGATGGGGGAGGTGATGAGCTGGGTGCTCAGGATCTGGGCGACCTTCCACTTGGCGCCCTCCTTGCCCAAGAAGCGCTTGGTCACCAACTCGAACAGCGTGTGGGCCAATGGACCGCTGACCAAGAGACCTATTCATTATCGACACCGGGTTCAGATTGAATATCATTAGCCATTTTCTTCCCTGAGCAATGGAGGTGCTGCTAATGTCCTGAGGATATAATAAGGTGCGAGCCCGGCACGGAGGATTGTATTTCTAGGGGCATCCTTTCGTCCACCGCGTTCCTGAATGCGTCTCGATAGAGTGGTCTGCTATGTTTTCCAATGCAGGTCGAGGTTCCGAAAAAGAGCATTCCACCATGGTCCTCATCATTCCGTAGTCGCAGAGTGTGAGAAAAACAAATGAGGAGGAATTGCAATATATACCATAGAGAGCCATTTGAACCACGCGCTTGTTGATGCCGAGAATGAAGTCGCCTGGGTTCTTGGACTTTGGCATGCCTGAGAGCTTGGTGGCGGTGATCTCCTGCAGGCCCGAGAGGGTGCCGGAGGTCAGGGCCTTGGTGCGGAGGGGGTTCGCCGCGAGCTCCGTCAGGTATGAGGCCAAGAGGGTCGAGGCGAAGGAGGGCTGGGGGGCGGGGACGATGGCGATGACGGTCATTATGAGATATTGTCTTTGTTGGGGTATGAAGAGGAGTAGCTGTGAGGGAGTGCGAGTGAGGGATGGAGAGGAGGAGGAGGAGGAGGAGAAGAAAGAGAGAAGGGATGGAGGGATGGAATGAGCGTCATTCTACAGAAAGTGGTCCCTCAGCCGGTAACAGACGCGGGGCGGGCAATTGTTGGCTGGCCACAGTGGAGTAAAGCGAGTCCGCTCACCCACACGGAACCCCACCACGGCAAAGGCGCTGTGGAGAAAAATCCGTAGTCCACGCCCACCCGCACCCGATCATTCTACGGGACGATCGGGAAATGGGGAAATGATTCTGTAGCCAATCAGACGCGACTTTGTTCTTTTCGAGCCTATACTATACATGTACACAGACGCTACTACGCATTGACACATGCGCGATTACAAAAACGCTCTCTCTTTCTCTCTCTATCTTCCTCTTTCCTTCTCCCCCCTTCATTTCTCGGTCGTAGACACTCAGTCCCTTTGCATTAAGACACCACTTTTTATTGCCAACGCAGGATCCACCCACCATATGTAAAACCTACAACCCTAAAAAAAAAACTCAGTTACCCCGCTCCAAATATATCTGCAGAATGAGACAGAGGCCTCGAGTAAAATGAAGAAAGACTATGGGATGCTAGGATGAGATCTCATCGGCCTAAAACCGTTGAGACACGACTCATCGGATAAGCCATCGAATGCCAAACTCGACGGCACTGCGAGCGGCAGCAGCAACCGTCTTCTCGGGACGATAGCAAGGACGATTCTGTCGCGAGTATCAGAAGGACCTCATTGGCTTGATTTGGCCAAAGACTAGGCATTGGATAACGGCGACACGCTCGAGGGGAGTCCAAACGATAAATTGGATCCAGTGCACGGTGCCAGATTAGACTAGCGAGATGAGCGTCAATTGAAAGAGAGAGGATGCTAAGCCCGAAGGTAGAAGGGTAGGGAGGAGTGAGTGATGCTTGTGGTCATGATGAGGGATGCGTTGCTTTGCTGGTTTTTTTTTTTTTTTTTTTTTTTTTTTTAGAACGGATGGACTGGACAAGGGACGACGACGACAACGTAGTGGGGAGCTGAGAAAGAGGACAAGGATTTTTTTTCTTGGTACTGTTCGGAACATCTTGTGGATGTGTGCTGTGGATGTGTGCTATGTATATATGCCTTAGAAGAGACCGAAATGAGATGAATGTTGACCAAAAGACCGCCAGTCCAAGTTAAGCTTGTTGCTCGGCACCATAGCTTGGAAGGGCCGCCGTATTCATGAGCGACCCTCGTCGTGAGGGAATCGATCCATAGACACGATTGAGGGGCACAGAGTGAGGGATGTCCTCCGGTTGGGGGTGTCCAGAACCAACCGTTACCTCCTTGCCGGCCTTGGAGAGGGCATAGTCGCCTGAATCGAAATATTTCCGCTGTTTTGGTCAGTTCGTGATGATAACAGGAGGCAACAGCAGAAACGGTAGAGGAAGAATTATTAGCAAAGGGATGCTCAATTGCACGATGAGACTCCAAAGGGAGAGAGAGCGAGCGAGTAACGGGGCAATACGGTGCTGAGGGAGCATGGAGAAGAGTCTTAGTGCCTACGGTAAGGGGTCAATTACCTGTTGGTGGCCGAGACTCCTTGTGAAAAGCGGTAAGCTGCCGTACTTGCTGTGGAGCTTTGCCTCTTGCTCGGCCATGATGATATCGCCGTCGTTGCTGCTAATTCCCAAATGCTGGGCCTGCGAGCTCTGCATGGAGGACATTGAATGTGGGATAGTTCTTGGCTTCGTGGAGCGGAGGTGTTTTAATTAACGATTTGCAGAGTGTGTATGTAGCCAAAAGAGTGAGCGCGGGAGAAAGCAAGCAATTAATGGTGGTTTATTGGAGAAGGAAGAGGCGGAAGAATGGGGAAATGAATAGAAGGGCCGATTGATGTTCGATAGTGGAGCGGTGTGTGCGACGAAAAAGATGGGCGAAGGTGGAACAAAAAAAAAAAAAAAAGGATATGAACAGGGATATACTTTTTTATTTATATAGCGAGGGTGAGATTCAGTGAGAAAAGCTGCCTAAGCAAGAGCGTCCTTTTTTTGCATTGATGGTTTACACTCCTTCTCCATTAGCGTATGGCATCTTTGACGGCGATGATGTCTATTGTTCTTCGCTTTCCATCCCCCCCCTCCCCCCTTTGCTTTCTTGAGGACAGAGCCCCTTGTATCTTTTTTTTCCTTGGACTTGGCTCCTGTTGCACCAATAAACGGCTGTCTTTTTATCTTTTTACCCCACACAGCACCAAGCGCACTAGCGGCAGCATGCGCTCTAGCTGGCTGATGAAATCATGCCGCTCTGATGCTTCGTCAAAGTTCTCACAGCCAGTAGAAGCATGTCTTCTGGTAGTGCATCTAGGGCCGTTAGCGCCAGTCAACTACCGCTTTTTACCACCGGTGCTACGAACTCACGCCCCAACCAGCTTTCAAAAGAAGGCCTCTGATCACACTCCCGCACTGTCATTGCGTCGGTTTCGGCTTGTTTGGCCTTTATTTACCAAATGACGAGTACCTGGAGCTATCTTTCTTCCTTTTGGCAGGTCTCGCACTGTCCGTGTCCTTCTTTACCCTACTACCGATATTCACGTTGGGCGGCTATGACAATATCAGGGTGTGAATGAAGCCTAGACTTGTCAGCTCTGGAATAGAGCGCTCGGTTCACATGGTACGGTGCCCACAGACCTCATTGGCATCAAATGTTCGCCATGAGATATAACCGGCATCATAATCCAGGCGCCTGAATCAAAGTGGTTTAAATATAGCTAAAGACATCCAGGAAGGTTGTTGCGAGTGGTATGAAAGCTGTTTGGGTATTTTGGAAGGACAGATGCAGAGGGGCACCAGCAAATTTTATTTATTACTTTATATGTATGTATGTGTTTAATAGTTTTTCGAGTCCTATCGCTGCAAACTGCCATCATCTGCCCAAGAGTCGGTGTTGTAGTGGCTGTCATCAGAAGGGATGATTTTCACATTGCTGCTCGTGGAGTCAATCGATCCTCGCAGAGTATCTGTGCGGATCGATCTCATGGACGAGCGCGACAATATACTCTCACGCTGATTCTCCTCCCCTTCTTCGTCCATTCGTGCAGGCTGCTGCTGCAGGGATTGGGGTGCACGACTGAACGGAGGTGGTGAGGATAAAAGAAGCTCCTTGTGGTGTATACCCGTACGCCCGTATTGTGATTGTTGTTGCTGTGCAAGCATCATGGGCAAAGGAAACGGTTGGTAAGGCCCTCGCATGCCAGTGCTATAATGAGGGCCCACCATCGGCGATGGATAGCTCGGCCGATGCATGTGCACAGATCCACTCTGTCGAGGATGAAGCGCCGGGGGTGGAGGGAAATGCATGTTGGGGGGACTAGCAGGTACGCATGGGAGTCCAGGATGGCTTGCGGTATTGCTAGAGTAAATTGGGCTGGCGCGGGTATAATCATGGCCTTCGAGCTCATCGTCGTTGGATGTGTGGACCAGCGCGGACGGGAGAAGCATATTCTCTGTCCATGCTGCTTGTGCACGGCGCCTTCGACGGCGCCTGTTGAAAGCGACGGCCACGCCAAACAGAATACCGAAACCGATGATAGCCATAATGCTGGCGGCAATCGTGCCTGCACTTGCGCTACCAGAACCCGTTTTTTCTAGAGAAATAGAAGAAAGAAAGATAAAAAGGAATCAATTGAGGAGGTGTACGTCAATGAAAGCCGTTCCGTGATATACTCCCAGTTCCCAATGTATCAGCATTTAGGATATCCGTTTTGGAAATGGAATTGGCTGTCTAGACAAATAGTTTTGGCACCTAGTTTGTTCTTGGGTACATATGTCATGACTACCTTCAGCAATGGGGTCACTCGAAGTAACATTTTGCCCACTCCCCTTCTCCACCCCTCTCTCGGTCCCTTTCTCCTTCTTGTTTCCCCTGTTGTCATGAATGCCCGTTGCTGTTGGTCCATGAGGAGATGCAGGTGTTGGTAACATACCCGGACTGTTGGAGCTGAGGGTCTTCCCTCCGTTGCCGGGGTCCGGGTTGTTTGTGGGGCTCGGGTCACTCGTACCTGATTCTGAACTAGGAGTGGGGTTGGAACTCGAACTAGAACTAGAGCTGGAACCGGAAATGGAGCTGGGGCCAGAGCTGGAGGTGGAGCCGCCTCCGTTATTTGCGGTCGGAATATTTGCGGTGCCGCCGATCAGGAGGACGTTGGCGGTGCCGTGAGCGGCGCCTCCACACATCTCGAAGGGATAGCCCATGCATGGTTTGTCACATTTGGCATCATCGATCTTGTTGGAGTCCGCAGGAGCAGTGTTGGAGCAGCGGCAAGTCGAGCCCTCGGATGTGATTGCATAGGCCGCGCCATTGGACCTGCAAAAGTTGATACATGCGCCTTGGGACATGAAGATATCCTGGACGGACTTGGGATCTGATCCTACGTTACTATCGGGTTGGCCCTGAAAGCAGCCGACCATGATCTGGCCATGAACAACGTGTCCGGACCATAGCGCCGACAGGGCAATGAGAGAGAGCAGTAATTTCCTCATGAGTGTTACTCACGAGTGGCAGAGTTAGAGATGGTCAGTGATTGAGCTGGTGTGTAAGCTTCGAGGGTGGGTGTGAATAGAGAAGGTGGGCCTTGGTGTCTCCTGAGAGGAGGCTAGGCCAGATATGAGTGTTGGGCAGGAAAGTAGCAGTAAGAGTGCAGTGGGCGATTAAGATCGATCGGCGATGAGGTGAAGTCGAAAAAGAAGAAAGAGGTGGTAGATGAGAGCAGCATTACGGAACAGAGACAAAGAAGAAGTAAAAGTGAAGAGGCAAGCAGAGTGAATATTGAGCGAACGGCAGCGCGCGTGTGTGTGTGCTGAGAGGTGGCCAAGGCGTAGGCACCAAGATACGACGCGATGGATTGGGATTCTACAAATGGTATATGCCTGGTTCGCTAGGTAGGCACGTCCAGGCGAGACAGGAACAGGATCCTTTCAGGACAAGCAAGCACAGGAGCAGGAGTATGCAGTATGCCTCAACCTCATTGGTGCCGAGCGAGATTGCCGCCGCCGAGGGAGAGAGTGGAATGGCTCATGGATATCGAATGCACTCGCTGGGAGGAAAGACGCGTGTGGCGAAGCAGCTGGGTGCAGGCCACGTACAGCTGAAGATTCGTACGTGGATTCTTCGAAAGGGAAAATGCGATTGCAACCTTAAGTGGCAGAGGGCACCCAATACACCATTACACAAATAACTGGCCAGGGGAACTTGTGCAGAAAGCCTGGAAAGGGGGGAGGAGGAAGTGCAGAGGGAGGGCGAATGACGGTGGCATCCTCAGCTCATAACAAAAGAAATGCACACAAATGATATATGTCGAGACTACATCACCGGCCAGCTGGCTGCTGTTGCGCTTACCACCGACCCAATTGACCGATTTGTTGTGCTGGACCGCCCTATTTATATTTTTTTTTCCCTTCCTTCTCATCCCAACCCCCTCCCTTTCGCTGTCCCCCACCACCGCTCATTTCCTTTGACATCACTGCTCTTCTTCCATATCATCCCAGGCTCTCCATCTCGATTCACTCATCGAACAGTCTAAAGGATCCTACAATCGATTTCCAGGCACACTATCGCACTATACTGCACACATACAACACAGCAGCAATAACTTGGTTAGAGCAGGAACCCAGGATGTCTTCTCAGAACCCCTTTGAACACGCCGAGTACAGACAGGCTAACCCCTTCGAGGATACGAACCAGATCCAGGCCGATGTTCCGTTAACAGAGGGAAAGTCAGAGGTCGGACAGGACTACACTTCCTACACCCAGTATGGAGACAGTCAGTCTTCTGTCTATCAGACCACCTCAACGATCCCTGCAGAGGACCCCAAGATCGCCGCCAAGGCTGCAGAGCTCCGCCGTCGAGAGGAGGAGCTCGCCGCCAGGGAGCGTGAGATTCAGGCAGCCCAGGCGGAGGCGGACCGTGTCCGCACCCAGGGCAAAAACAACTTTCCCAAGTTCTATCCCCTCATCTACATGTAAGCGTCATACTGTTCTCATTACGTCTTGATTGATTTGCTCAAAGCTGGTTGGTTCGAGCCAGGACCATGGCTCACCATGGTTGCCGTTCTTTCTTTGTTGAATTGATGATATAGGTCCATCCCAGCAGAGATTCCAAAAGCACACCAGTCGACAGTCAGGTTCTTGTACAATATTTGGCTTGCTCTCCTCGGAACACTGGCCCTGAATTTTCTGGCTTGTATGCTGATGCTCCTTGCAGGCATTCCAAACGGCGCGGCGGACATGGGAGTGTCACTCGGCTACTGCTTTACTATTACGGCGGCGTCATTCCTGTTGTGGTATCGCCCCGTATACAATGCCTTCATGAAGGAGATGTCGATGTACTATTGTAAGTGTTGACTTTAGACTGTGCTGGAGTTCCTCTGCATTTTACGTCAGTGCCAAGCAAAGTGAAGGGCTTCTTCGCCTCCTTGGCTTTCCCTCCTCCCTTTGCCGCTGTAGGGCTTTTGGGCTTTAGCTAATCGTGGCCTGATCAATTCCTTTTTGCTGCAATTAGACTTCTACTTCATCTTCAATGGATTCCACATCCTCTTCTCCTTCTACATGGCTCTCGGATTCCCATCGACGTATGTATACACTGGCAAGAGAACATGAAAAGACAATTTTGAGAGCGATGAGGACACAGCGCATGGATAATTATTACAAATCCCCGATATCAGATCTTGCAGGACAAAGGACAACATTGCTGAGGCATTACCCACAGCGTGGATGAAGATGTGATGTAGCAGGACAGCGCTAACGTGGCCACGATTATTTCCTTTCAACTCTGCTCAATAGTGGTTCTGCTGGTCTTATCAACATGATCCAGGTCTTCAATGGACATCACATCTTTGCAGGCATCCTCTGCGTATTCTCGACGGCTCTCTGGTTTGTCCAAGGCTTTGGCAACTTGTTTTTTTACCGGTAAAGACTCAGTCGCGCATTTTTTGTTTTATTTTCGGTATGAGTCCTTCTGTTATCACAAAGAACATTGACTAACATTATGATCGTACGATTTCTTTTGCCTTCTACAGCCAGGTTCACCAGCACTATAACCAGCAGGGACATACCTTTGACCAGGCCAAGGCTCAGGTCACCTCGTCCGCTGTCCGTAGTGAGGCTGTTCGGAATGCTGCCTGGACCGCCGCAACCAATAACAGAGTTTAAGAGGCAGCGTGCGTTGTGCTGGCCACCACCTTATCGTCCTCCAACATCCATTTCTGATATCCCGCTCTTTATGGGCTTACAACATAACATTGACATAGCACTCACCTGGAATAAAAAAAAAAATAACAATAAAAGACAGCATTCTTCAAGTTGCGCTGGACTTGATCGCACTAAACCGTTTGGGAAGACATGCACAGTCGTTTAAAAAGAGCGATAGACTATATGGTAGGCATTTGGCTAAGGAGGCTCAAGGGCCCTGCATAGCATGCCTCATCGCGTCATTGTATGCTCTTGCGCACACACCACACGCATTCGTAACGACAAAGAGGTCACGCCATGCGCACGCATTTTTTTTAACTCCATAACTCCCTTCAGCTCTCACAGCTTCCTTCAACTTCATTCCTCTCATTCAACTCGTCATCAGCATCCGCATCGACATCATGCCTCGCGCGAAACCATTTAGTGGCGCCTTGAAAAAGAAGCAATTACAGGAGCGACGAGCCCGACACAGTGCCAAACTCCAGGAACAGCAACAACAGACTGAGCGTACGAGAGGTAACCGTTGACAAAAGCACAGGATACGCCGCGGTGAAAGCAGCCCGGCCCAGGGATACTGACTCCAAGCGCCTGTGAAATAATCTGATAGACCCTGTCCAACATGAAATTGGGAGCAACAACACCTCAGGCATTGAGCCGTACAGCGGACGGTTCGTGAAGAGTTTTTCGAAAGAGTACAAGCCAGAGTCATCCGGTGGTGCGAGGATCTCGGTCCGAGAGAATTCGAATCATCCCGCAGGAACCAGGTAAAAGATGTCGGCCTGAAAGGGCTACAGATTCTGGTTTGGCATGCTGCTCGATTACTTATGCTAATTTTTTTTTCTTATTAATTCATCCCGGAAAAGATTACGATCGGTTTTTATGAGGCGATCTCAAGCGGATATCGAGATCTCTCGCAGAGCGAGCATGCAACCTCTTGAGCTGCTACCAGAGGTACCATCCTAATCACAACGCTTAACGCTTTAACAGCTTTGAATAATGGTGATTGACAGCGGACGTTCAAACTAACGTGATGTCTTGTCATGACGTTTTTTTTTTTTTTTTTTTTTTTTTCGTTAGTCCGCACTAGAAGTGTCATTTGAAGCGATGTTTCCAGAGGTGATCGGGTTTCCGAAACGGCCCAAATGGGATTACTCGATGAGTCGCGAGGAGCTGGAAAAGAACGAGACGCGGATGTTTGAGGCGTGGATGGACTCTATCTACAACCGATACCCAGCGGACGAACTGAGTTACTTTGAGCATAATCTGGAAGTGTGGCGCCAGCTGTACGTGTATTCTTCTGCTTTGTCCACCACAATCGCACTGGATTGCAAGAGCAGACATTTGATTCTAACTGCTATCTATGCCTCCTGTGAATAATATCTATTGATAGGTGGAGAGTTCTGGAGATTTCGGACATTATTATGATCATTGTGGATATCAGGCATCCGGTCATCCACTTCCCACCTTCCCTCTATCAATATGTGGTCAACGATATGAAACGCAAGCTTGTTGTTGTATTCAATAAGGTAGATGCGGAATCTATGTATTTCTATATTTTTTGTGTCCTGTGCATGATTCCATGTCGCTCAACCCAAATGTCCGCGCTTATTCATATCTAGGTTGACTTAGTGGCACCCAACACGCTCTTCGCATGGAAACAATACTTCAAGGAAGAATTCCCAGAACTTCATATTGCATCCTTCAGCTGCTACCCTCCTGATCCAACGCTGATCAATGACTCTAGTACAGGTGAGTGAACCCGGCGGACAAATTACTGGTACGGGATATGGTCCAAAGTCGTGCCGTTCAAGCTTCGGTTATTAACACTCTGTCCACTTTGTCGTATAGCTGCGCTTCAGCGCGTGGTAAAACGACCAAGGCGTCGTTTCTATAACGCTGTGGGAGTCAAGGATGTCTTGGTGGCATGCAAGGACGTTGAGCTCTCAAAGAATGGAGATCAAGTGGATTGGGATGGCCTCATCGCACAGCATGATGCAGAAAAAGAAGCCGAGTTTCAAGAGAGCGAAGGAGAGAGTGATCAGGAGCACGGCAGGGAGCAGGATCAGGACGAGAGCCAAAAGAACTTGCTTGAGAAAGATAGCGACCAGCGACTAGGTACGTATTTAGCGATAACATGAGATCGGCACTTTGCATCGTATCTCAAGACCTTTTTTTGACATGAACATTTTTTTCATTCTTTGGGATAGCCACGACTTTACAGACGGTCAACATTGAGGACGACGAGCACATACCTCACAAGGACTACGTGACAATAGGCTTAGTGGGACATCCAAATGTCGGAAAGAGTTCTTTGATTAACAGCATTATGGGCCGGACAGTGGTTAGCACTAGTAGAACACCTGGACACACAAAACACTTTCAGACGATCCATCTGACCCACAACGTCCGACTCTGCGACTCACCAGGACTTGTGTTTCCCAGTTTGCTGCCTAAACCACTGCAGGTATGACGAGGCGTTGGACAGTAAGTGGTATTGCGGTGCTACTTGCACCAACTGCACGCGCGCTAACGCCCCCTCCCTTTTTTTTCTGCTGTTATCCTTATAATAGATCTTGTCTGGAATGTATCCGATCGCTCAGGTGCAGGAGCCCTATTCTGTCGTGCAGTATTTGGCGATGCGCGTTAATATCCCTAGGCTTTTGAAACTTGACCCGCCGCCAAGCTACGAACGTGGACCCTTCCGCTGGTCGGCCTTTGGCATTTGTGAATGTAAGTATGAGGGGACCATTGTATTGCGTTCGGAGGAAATTTAACTTTTAAAGTTAGACCATTTATATTAACTGTATTGTTGTTCACGTAGCATTCGCGCTTCAGAGAGGCTATTTAACGGCCAAGGCGGGTCATCCTGACGTGTATCGAGCTGGTGGGTTATATCATCTCTAATTTACAGGGGTGTTTCGTGGTATGAAGGCATCAAGGGTCATACTCAGACGGCTTTTTTTTTTCTTCTTTTCCCTTCGTTTAGCAAATGCTATCCTTCGGTTAGCGAACGACGGTCGGATCCTGTTGTCCTTCAAACCACCAGGATATTTCACCAGCAGCAAGTACGAAAAGTTGAGGATTGCAGCAGCCGACGAGTTGGGAATCTCTGAGGATGATCAGGAGAATGGAAACAAGCAACATGCAGCTGTGAGGATGAAAAATGCAAGAGAAAATGAAGATCAGAGTGATGAGGATGGACTGGATTCTGATGCTCAAGGTAGCGGCGAGGAATCCGCTGGGGGAGAAGGCACGCCTGACCTCAAGAAGGGGTCCAAGTTCCAGATGAAGACGCGTGTCGGAGGATTTTTTGGCTTGCTTCAAGAAGACGAAGACGAAGAAGACGAAGACGAAGAAGACGAAGACGAAGATGGTGATGATGGTGATGATGATGAGGAGGATGAGGAGGACGAAGACGAGGCGCAGGAAGAGGAAGCGGACAAAAAGAAATAAGAGCGTCATGATCCCATGCTCCATGCTTCAATGTTGCGCAAATAAACCAGCAAAAAAAAAAAAAAGAGACAGGTTGCTTTCTGATCCTTGAGATGTTCAATTGGAAGCATTGCATCTGGTACATACACGATTTTTATTAAAGACGAATGCGAAAGTCTGTAGGAGGAAGAAGGCAAAATGGTACAGTTCTTTTTTAGTTTTTTAGTTTTTTTTTCTTCCTTTCTAAAGTGCTGGGAGCGGAGGATGGTGGTATATTTGCAAAAGAAAAAGAGAGGAATCGATGGGAATAGGAAACGGCGATGGGATAAGGATGGGTGCATGTGTGTGAAGTGTGAAGGAGGGGGGGGGGACTAGGTAGTCCATGTTAACGAAATGTGCTGATCCAGCCCTATTTTAACCCAGAAGAGGACGTCTCTCTCCGACATAGACGTCATCCTGGGCGCGCTCGTGCCAGATGGCCACGTTTTTGAGGGCACGTCTGACCAGAGCACCGACCAGCCAGCCAACGCTGACTAAGCTGGTGATGAAGACGACGGGCACGTCGGAGCCCTGCTCGACACTGATGCTGAGGATCATCCTGTTGTTGGGGCGATATCCGTCATCGTAGTAGTAGTGATGGCAGTAGTTGTTAGTCGCGTCGAATCGAGCCGTGCGGTACGGGTTGGGTTATGGTGTTGTTTTTTGGCGCGGGAAAAGGCGAGAGATAGAGAGAGAGGAAGAGAATTTAGTAAGCAATCCGTGTCAGTTTGTCAGGAACCAAAAAAAAAAAGCTAAAGAAACCCAAAAAACACGCGCGATAACATAAGGTACAAAAGTCACGCGGCAAAAAAAAAAACCAGGAACACGCCTGCAGCAATGTCTCAACTAGTGGTTATTATCTCCTTTTCTCTTTTCCTCTCCCCCCTCCCCTCGTCAATGCTGGTCATCCACATCCGTGGAGAAATGGTTAGGAGAGAAGGGAGGGCGAGGCGTCCATATGGTTGACTGGTGTGTGTTTGACGCGAGAGCAGACAGCATGGAGACACAAAGCACAACAACAATAACAATAACAACAGCAACAGCAACAGCAACAGCAGCAACAACAACAAACACAATCATAACAAAAAAAGCAAACAAAAGGCGACATAGCGAACAAGAGAAAGAAAGAAAAAAAAAAGCGGAAAATAGATGCAAATGGGTAACACTCAAACAGCCCGCGCAATCGGCCATCTTTACCAGCCCCATGGACAGTGAAAGGCAGTAAAGGATGAGAAGAGAGGGGCGAATAGACTGACACAGAAGCGGGAAAAAAAGTCGAGGCCTCATCTTCTGATATACCGAAAAACGAGCTGAAAAAAAAATACTCTGCCTCCGCTGTGCGCCTTTTTTCCCATCTTTTTTTTTTTTTTTTTACACATATATAGCCATTTTCGAGCCATTGCACAACAACAACGATACAGCAATAGCAACAACAATAACAGCAACAACAACTTACAAGGCAATGGCAATAGCAGACCACGAATCTGGATCTCTGGAGAACTCGGCATGGTATTCACCAATGGCCAGGAGCAAAAAGATGGCGCCGGCGGCTCCAATGGCAGCCCAGGAGGTAGGACCGCCATCCTTGGTAGTGAAGGCGGCAAAGAAGTTCTGGAAGACATCCAACCAGACCAATCCAGTGTAGAGCGAGAACGAGATGTGGATAAAGGCATAATCAATCAGGTTCGTGGCCGTAAAGACGCGCACCTTGATGTATAGTCTCCAGATGAGGATCGCGTTGATGACCAGCAGAATTTGTCCAATGATCAACCAGTGGAATCTCTATTATCGTCATTTTGCGTCGTTGTTGTGATTCGCCGTCGTTTTTTCATTGTTGTCGATTGGCGGATGAATGGAGATAAAAGATAAAAAGAAAGAAACCACAACGAGGAAAGAGAGCAGTTGGAACGCGGGAACGGTTAGTCGCCTTTGTGTTTAGAGTTCCCCTCCTCACGAGCGGGGTTCTGAAATCCAGGAGAAAAAAAAAAGACGACGACGACGACGACTACTTACCCAAGTAAGGACCCATGCGGCAATAATCAAGTTACTGACAAAGAGATGCCAGTCGACGGCCTCGACGACGACATCGTGTGCGAAATCGAGCCATTGGAAGAAGATGAAACCTCCGAGGAGGAACCAGTTCAGGGCCGGGATGATGAAGCCGACGGTGGAGTTTGTCAGGTAGTTGGGATGGCCGGCTAAGGCGTCTGTGATGAAATCGCGGAAGAAGACGATGGTCGAGATCGCGGTGATATAGGTGACCATGTTCAGGGTCTTGAGCAGAATTGGATGCAACGCCATCTTGGAGCTTGCTTGCTTGCTTGCGAGCGGGGGGAGGAGGAAGGATGGGAGTGGGTGGGTGCTGAAAGAAGAGAAGATGGAAAGAAGAGAGGAGGGAAAAGAGGAAAAGAAGAGGGAGAGTGGGGATGGATATAAACAATGAAAAAGGAAACGAGGCCGAGGCCAGGCAAGGGTGTGAGTCCCGCCTGCGTGCGCGCTGTATTTTCTGGGAAGGACTCGATGGGGACACAAGCACACACATACACACGCTCCCTTCTAGCTGTTCTAGCTCCGTCTGTCCACATGCAAGCACTGCACTGCAGTAGAGCGCAGGAAACAGAGCAGTCCTTCTTCTGCTGGGGCATGGACCACAAAGGCTCAAACTCCACTCCACCGGATCCTTCATTCCTTCTCCATCGACAAGCCCCTCATCCGACATTCGACATCCGACTATGGCTGTCATCGAGGAGATCATCGAGGACGAAACCGTCGTCTCCCCTAACGTGGATACCAAGGACACCGCAAGGCACACCAGTAACGACACAACTGCCGCCTCGACAGAGAAAGGCAGCATTGGCGAGAACCTGGACGTCACCACGCCCCTGGCGAACCTGCAGCTTTCAGAGGACGAGGTCAGCTGGGTTCTTTTAATTTCGGATCAATAGGAGCGCAAAAGCGTTTGTTCCGCAGGCCAGGCTCTAATGGATATGTCATTTCCGTCCATGTCTAATAGGAACTCTTCCAGGAGGCATCTGGATACAAGGCCAAGGGGAACCAATCCTTTGGACAGGGCAATTACACCGAGGCATTGAAATATTATCAGCTCGCCCTGACAACCTGCCCGTCCCCAAAGCCCGCAGCCCCATCAACTGACTCAACACCTACGGGAATTCAATCAAATGCAAATCAACAAGTAACAGACAAGTACAAGGCCGAGCGGGCTGTCTATCATTCGAACATGGCAGCATGCCACATCAAACTGAAGGAGTACCAGGCGGCGATCGAAGGGTGCACCGCCGCCTTGGAACTGGATCCGTCCTTTACGAGAGCACTTCAACGGAAGGCGCAGGCTGAGGAGTTGGTCGGAACCTTCTCGAGCATGAATCAGGCCAAGGAGGATCATGAGCAGGTGATCGAAACGCTAAAGATCGAGCTGGGCTTGATCCAGCCCAAAGAAGAGAACTCAAAGGAGCAGGACTCTGATGAATCTGCTGACAACGAGACTGCGCCCACGGACGGTTCCCAACCAGAACCGTCGTCGTCAACAGCATCAACAGCAACATCAGCGACCGCCACCTCGCCAAGGACATCAATACGGACCGTACCGCGTCCAGCACAGGACGAGCGGCCGGTGTATAAGCCCAGGAAACTGGATCTGGACGAGGCAGGGAAGAAGAAGCATCGGTTGATGATCCAGACAAGTGAGCAGGCGCTCAAGCGGATGGAGCCAATCCTGAAGGAGTTGATGGAGAAGGAGAAGGCGGAAATGCTGGGTAAGTTGTTGCACTAGGGGCCAAGGCAAAAAATTGTCTTATAGGCCCCCCTTCCTGATGTCATATTTAGTGTGGATGGCTAACATAGAGCACACTTGACTTTATTGAATGATGCTCACTTTTAGCAAAACTGAAGTCGATGGGGAACACGATCCTGGGCAAATTTGGGCTGTCGACGGACAACTTTCAGATGAAGCAGGATCCGAACTCGGGAGGCTACTCGTTCAACTTTGTCAACAATTCATAGAAAGGCAGTAGAAACTCCTGTCATGCTGCGAAATAAAAAACACGGAAAAAAGAAATACAAATTGTATGGGCCAGTGGAGTGGCATGGAACGCTGACCTCGCAATAATGGACGGGTACGGTCGAGAGCCTTGGGCGTGGTCAGTATGGCCATGAGAGAAATGGCCATGAAGGAAAATGACAACTGATGTGATTAATTCATTTATCGATATCTATTGCGGTACAAATTGCTTTCAGGTCCGTGTTCGATTGCTCAAAAGACACAAGGAAACCACTTTTTTTTTCTCATGGCAAGCCGTGGCAACTGTTCCTATTGATAGCGACTTCCTCCTCTCCTCTCCCCCTTTTTCTTGTTAGGACGTCGCGGGAGCATGAGGGTCCGGAAGGCTGTGCGCCTATTCCAATCGACCCGAAGAGGAAGGTCTTTGGAAGGAAGGATTCTCTCTTTGCTGCCTAAAATTGGCATCGTCCTTAAGAGAAGCCACTGAGAATAGCGACAGACAGGCAGCATAAGAGTCCCGAGATTAAAAAAAAAAAGCACAGTCGGATGCAAGCAGAACCATGATGGTTCCTGAGCATCTAATTGACCCGGCGAAGGACGAATTAACGTCTCTTCACAAGGTGTTGCTTTGTAAACGAGGCCGGGGAGTCATCTCGTCCTAATGTACTTCGCCATATTCAATTTGCTTTGCAAAGCGCACCATAAACTATGATTGCGCCCCGCTTGATGCATACACACACACACACACAAACAGCAAGACAAGCACTCTACAGTGAGGGAGAGGGAAGGGTCACTGATTCTGATTCTGATTCTGATTCTGCATCCATTCCTTTCCATCACTTTTTTTTGCCTTGTCAACCCCTACCCTCAAGAAAGTGCTCGTTTCCCTTTATTCGAGTACTCCTTCTTGTTCTCCTTTCTCCATACAGTGGTTACTTACGGTTACTGCTGTTGCTGTATTATATTTATTTATTTTTTCCATTGTTATTTTTTATCCTCGACTGACGGAGCTGTGTCCTTCTCATTCCTCATCTCCGTCGTCCTGCTCTGGCTGCTTTTTCTTTTTTCTTTTTTTCACACTCGTCCCTGTATCAATTGAGCACTGTACCTGCTGTTCAGTTCCGTGGAATAAGACAACTCCGGGTAAGGTAAGCAATTGGTACTGGGCATTGGCATTGTATGTGCACGACCGTTGCAAAAAAAAACCCTAAAGACAGGTTCGATGATGAAAACAGCGGAGGACAGGAGTTGGGGGTTTCATCCCACAAGGGAGGAAAGGGGGGAGAGCATGGCATTTTTTTTTTTTTAAACGATGATAAATCGGGTAGACAATCAGGATGTGGGGCACCCTGTAACACAGGCCATCTGGAGATGACGATGGCTTTTGAGGGTGTTTTAGGGTATATACAAGGGGAGGGAGCCAGGAGGTGTCTGGAATGCGTCCAAAAAGGAGGAAATTGCGGGCCCCTGTCGTTTCATCTGTTTCATCCCCCTCCTCCGTTTCATCTTCTCGTGAGAGTCACCGCCGCAAAATATACACACAGACACACCACCAGAGCACCCAACATAGATGCAAACTCACGATCATATTTTTTCTTAGTCCCGACTGTGCAGCCTGTTGATGTTTGTGTCCAGCTCGTAAAGGCGTACGTTTGTTTACACACGGGTTTACGGGTAACACGGATATACGGGTAGTCTATGGGCGCGCAATGCTCTTTTTTTTTTTTTGTGTTCTTGATCCTCGGCGAAATAGTGCGACTAGGGCTGACCCATGGTCTTAGCTAAGATCTGTTTTCTGACTGCGACTGGAGTTTTTAACTTGCGCCAGGGAAAGGTCCAGCTACAGCTAGATTAATCTATGCATCTCGGGTTCCATGGTTACCACGCCCCAGCCTTTTTTTTATTTTTATTCGCGCAATTCCATGTACTGTCGCCCTTCCATCCCTTCATCCTACCCTTTTTTTTATTCTTGGGAGTCGACACTCCCCCTCCTCTCCGCCCCTTGATTTTCGTCATGCAATTTAACAGAACTGCGATTCATGCAAACGGACATGGAGTCCGGGAACCCTTTTTCATCATTGTGCACGGCGACGCCGATAACAGGGGTTGGAATAACATCTTTTCCTGTATTGTCGAGTTGACTGGGGTTTTTGCTTTGCTGATCTAGTAACGCGTTGTATATATGGTAGCGCATGCTTGGACACATCAGATGGAGGGGGGGGGGGAAGGGAATTGAACTATGCGATGCATGAACTGATACGCAGAGGCGAATGTGAACGGACGGTCAATGATTCCGGAACCTCGCCGCTCGGCTCCATTGCTGTGCGCTTTGTATCCATGTGTATGTGCGCGTGTTTTTTTAAAAGATGTTTTATTTTTCTCTCATAAGCATACGAACCCTTCGACCCTTCGAAATGCGCAAACACCCCCTCTCTTCTCCTACTCCTCCCTGCTTGTATCTGGATGGTGTGCGCCTTCGTTTTTTGCTTAATGCAATCTATGTGCCTTTAACATTTGCGAACGATCCCTGTTTTTCCCTGTTTAAGTTTTTGCTATACATTCTGGTTTGAGAGCACCATCGTCCATTCATGCTCTGCTCTCCTTCTACCCACCCCATCCCCCACCCCCCTTACTTTTTGTTGTGGCCCTTGGGACGTACAATGGTGCTCAGTTCTGCTGATCAAGCAATCGATAATGTTCTTTTTCCCCCCAAGCCCAAGCGAGGATCTCCTCACTACGATCGATCGATCGGCCCTGTGCGTATGTTATTTTTGCTCTGTCCTTTTCATTGCTTCACAAGGTAGTTCGATGACCTTTAGGGGGAGGGGGGAGGGGGAAATCGGCGCCACCTGCTCCGCGGATTGACGCGAGTAAACCTTTTTTTTTTTTTTTTTTTTTTTCGCCGACATGGTACATGTATAGTGCAGGACCAGCCCGCCACTTACATTCCTGTGCTTTTTTTTTTTTGTGTTCTTGTGTCTGAACTTCAAATGGCACGTTTGATGCTGATGTTGATGGTGACCAAGACACTTAGGTTTTTCACGGGTCTTTATGCGTGGCATCTGTGTCCCTTGTGCTGCATTGCATTGCAGTGCAGTTGGACAGGTTGTTTGGTCCCATAAAAGATGTGTGTGTGTATATATATGTGTAAAACTATGTTTGGGGGTGTTGTGTGGCCTCGTTTCGCTCCTGGATTTTTCAAATCTCTCACACCCCTTGCCGCCCACTCCCTGTTTTGACTCAAATGCGTTTTGTGTCATCTTCTCATAATCAAAACAGAAAGGGGGGAGAGAACGAAGGAAATAGAGGGAAAAGGGGAAGTGGGGCATCTAAAAAGAAGTAATGCGGTCTATTCTTTCCTCTTTCCACTTCTCTCTCTCTCTATCTCTCTCTCTCTCTCTCGCCAGGTATCAATTGGGAGCGTGTGTTGTCATCTGCATCTGCATCTGCATCTGGTGCTACCATGCCCCCCTCCCTCCATTTCCATCCCATGGCGGAAGGGAGGGGTGGGAGGGAACCATGGAAGCTGTATGGATGCGGTGCAGGTTGGATATGTAGTCATCCCCAGGCACCCAGTCTATCAGCCTGTCAATATGTGTACTCTAATCCATTGCATTGCGCGCTCTTTTCTCTCTGTGCGCGATTGTGGATTGGACCATGCAGGTTCTTCAAACACACATACAGCGTAGACAACCCTCGGAGCACAGAGACATGTATCCACACATAACATACACACCCACGCCCTCTGCTCACAGTTGCCCTCGTGTTGTACCTGTTTGTCGCTACTGCCCTTTTGCATTGATTAATCGCATTAAATTCATGATTTTTTTAAGGTTGCCTTTTTTACTTTCTGGCGGAAGAAGGGAAGGGTGGTATCTAGCGATGCGCAACCGAGCAAAAGCAGAGCAAAAGAAAAAAAAATACGTTCGGCCCATTCGAAGGCGGGTGTGCATTTATTAAAGCTAGTCCGTCCTATGTCCTATGCACATGTGCCATGACATGATTGACTGTGCGAGAGGAGAGAGAGGGACTAGTGTGGGTCTACTATGGATGGTGGGATGCCATGGGATTGATTCAAAGCAGAAAAAGGAAAAAAATAAATAGATTTCTGCATCGATGGCGACGGGGCCCTTTGCGAAGGTCTTGGTGGTCTTGGTCACTGACCCGATATGTCTCCGACACGTATAAAAAAAAAGAGAAAATCTCCACTTTAATGGCCCTTGCACAGCATCGACATATCGAAATATCCAATCTTCGTCGCCTCTTTGTGTCTCGCTCTCAGGCACAACAACAAACAGGAACGAGTGAGAGAGGAGGGAGTGTGATGACATGTACACAAGATACATGCAAAAAAAAAAAAACTTTCTTTCCTCCCCCTCCTTTGAATGCGCTGGGTAATCTATAGCGACGGCGTCCGTAGCTTTGTTGTCCCCGGATGGATACAGGCATTTCGTGATCTGAGCGGACATCGCCCTCTGCCCCTCCCCATCGGGGCGGCAATGGGCAATGGCACAGACAGCCTCCCTCGTATATCCTCTATTGAATGGACCCTATTGAATTAACCCTCTCTTTCTCTCTTTCCTTTTCTTCCCTCTTTTTTCTTCTCTTCTCTCTCTTCTCTTCTCTTCTCTTCCCTCTTTTCCTCTTCTCCTCCTCCCTCCCTCCCCTCCTATCCTGCCCAAAATACCTCTTGTCGTCGTCGTCTTCGTCCCTCCCTCCTCTTCTCCTCTTCTCTTCATACGCGACAGACACTCTTCCTCGCACGCTGTGCTGTAGAGACCACGATCAATCCTCCGATCAGACCCCCAACGGACTGCACACCCGCGCTCAGCCAAACCAAATCTCCAGCCCAACGACCTGTCTCCTCCTGATCTGCGCTTAATAGATTAAGAATCCGTTCGTCCCTGGGATCCCATCCAAAAGCTCGTCCCACTCCTCGCGTCGTCATCCAAGTCCTCCTCCTCCTCCTCCCCCTCCCCCTTGCCTGCCTTCTCCAGATATCCTATCCCAATCCTGCCCATTTTCCATCCCGCGCCCCGCAACCTTGGGTCGTTTCTCTCCTCTCCCTTTTTTTTTCTTGATCCTTCTTCTCGCTCTTATCCTTTCCCACCTTCGGGCCGTCGTCTTCCCTCTCTTTCTCTAATTTGCTCCTTCATCCATCTCCTAGGCACCTTATCTGTTCTACTTCTGCCACCCCCCCCCCCCTCCCCTGGTTTATTTTTACACTCCTGGCCCTTTAGACATCGAACTCTCGCACGCTGCCTATACTTCATTGCGCCCTGTCTCCCCACCGACTGAAGACGCATTAACCTCTAAAGCTCATTGACCACAAAAAGGCCCAGTCCCCGCTGTTCCTTGTACACACCAGACCAGAGGTAAGGCAGGCCTGTCATGCAAGCGCACAAGTACAGAAGGAAAACAAAAAATATGAGCTTTCGGTGATATATCTTTATTTATTTTACTGACCCACTCTCACTTCCCTTCCCTTCTTACTTCCTTTTCTCTTTCGTCGCTTATCTGCTCGCGCTCGTTCTTGTTCGCTCTTCCGCCATCCGCCAAAACTGTCCTCATATTCGGACCTGAACGCGCACTTATGACGCTCCACCACACCGACTGAACTCCTTCCTCCACCGTGCACAGCTCACTTTCCAGCCTCCGCCGCAGCCTATTCGTCTTGACTTCAGACGTAGCACACTCGTACCAGACAAGACTTCAAGGAACACCACATCCTTGACCCCTTTCCATCCCCCCCCCCCCCCCCCCCCCTCTTTTTTCATATATCGCACGTGCGGTATACCCATTCGTAATTCAGCATGTTGACCGCTACCTCCAGACGACAGGACTTTTTCACAGCACAACAGCAACACTCACATCATCAACTGCAGCACCAACACCAGCACCAGCACCAGCATCCTCAGCAAGCATATCAACAGCAAATCTCACAGCAGCACCCACAGCATATCCAGCATTCTCATCAGCAACAACAGCAGCAGCAGCAGCAACAACAACTGCAACAACAACAACAGCAGCAGCAGCAGCAACACCACCACGAACAACAACAACAGCAACTCCAGCAGCAACTCCAGCAGCAACTCCAGCAGCAACAGCAGCAGCAACAACAACAACAACAGCAACAACCACAACAACAACAACAACAACAACAACAACAACAAAATCTGCAATTGCAACAGCAGCAGCAGCAATTACAGCAGCAGCAACATGATCAACAGAATATCCTTCTCCATGAATCGCTCGCTTTGAGCACCGCGTCCGCCTCGAGGATAGAGGAGATTGACAGACTGAGCGTGTTCTTGACCACGGCCCCGACCTATCAGATGGAGCTCTCCAAGTTCCTGCTACCCACAGGCGAAACGATATCCTGCGTTCTCTGGAACGAGCTTTATCACATCACTGGCACAGACATTGTCCGGTCACTCGTCTCTCGTTTTGACAGCTTTGGTCGCCCTGTCTGCAACATCAAAAAGTTTGAGGAAGGTGTCTTCTCAGACCTGAGAAACCTGAAGCCAGGCGCGGATGCCTGTCTCGAGGAGCCCAAGTCCCCGTTCCTGGAGATGCTCTACCGCAACAACTGCATCCGCACCCAAAAGAAGCAAAAAGTCTTCTATTGGTACTCTGTTCCACACGATCGACTCTTCCTCGATGCCATGGAGCGTGACCTAAAGCGCGAGCAAGCAGGCACCGAGCCCACCTCAAAAGCCGTTGCTGAGCCGGCCTTGTCATGCACGCTGGAGACGGTGCGCGATCTGGTTGAACGCCTCTCTCGCCGCACTATCGAGATGAACACGATTACAGAGACCCTCCAAAGTTTCACCCCCGATGGAGTTGCTCCCATGAACCGCCAGTTGCCCGCTGCCATCTCACCCTCGGAAGTCTCGCCAACACAGGCCCAGTTGGTCCCTGAAAACTCTCTGCCAACAGGAGTATCTGCAGGCACCCTTCATGACAGCAGCGTCGGACCCTTCAGTGAGAGTGGACCAGGATTCCACCAAGGTCCATCTTACGTTGAGGATGCAGGGTACGCATAAATTTACACCACCCAGGGTTTTGCATATCGTCTCTTCTCGATTCACCTTTTGCTAACCTAGTTGTGCTCATTTCCTTCATACAGATCCGACGATAACTCAGAGTCCAAGGTGCCATCAGACCCTGATGCTGCCTTCACTGGTGGTGCTGAGGCCATGAACCATGCCTCAGACGCAAATGCTGGCCTTTTTGGTTCATTCACTTTATTCGAGGGATCACCTACTTACAAGAAGCGAAGAAGGCGCTCGACAGCTGGTCCCTCCATGCTGTCTGAGTCTATCGACCGATCAGATATGATCTCGAACGGCACAGGGACTGGATTCTTGCGTGGCGACAGCCGACATGGCTCCATTGATTTTGACCATGACGGCGAAAGGTTTTTGGATGGTAGTGGCGTTCACGGACACAAGGGCCATGGCATGCAAGGCGGTTTCCTCCACGAATCATCTTCTCGCCCCTATCACCACCATGGATCGGCTTCCATGTCGTCTTTGCATTCGATACACGGTAGTTCTTCCAACCCTTCGCGTTCATATGCTTGTCCAGTCCAGCCCTGCGGTCGTCTCTTCAAGCGACTTGAGCATTTGAAGCGCCACTGGAGGACACATACCCTCGAGCGACCCTATGCATGCAACATTTGCTCCAAACGATTCTCGAGAAGCGACAATCTCGCCGCCCATCGCAAGACTCACGAGAAACCTTCGTGGGCCAACGATGACGACTCGTCTGCTCCTCGAGGAGAGGGTGAGGATGACGACCTCGATGGCGATGAGCAAGACAATGACGATCAGCTCCGAATCTCCAAGGACTATGCTTCGGACTACAGCACGACTAGGAAGCGTCGTCGCAGCATGCACAAAGACCGAGGAATGGAGTCCATGAGTGAGCGAGAGAGTCTGAGCGGTCTTAGCAGCTGCGACGAGGACGAGGATGGAACCGTGCTCAACATGATGCGATTCTCGGCTCTGAATCAGGCAGAGCAGCAGCAGCTTCAGCTTCATCGTCAGAGCTTCTCAAAGGCAACAACTCCCATGTTGCAGGCACAGCACCCACCTTTTGCCTTGGCCAGTCAGTCATTCGGACCAACCATGTCTATGATGACTCCCAATCAGCCGTATGCACCCTTCGCAGCTGGTCCTCTCTCAGCCGGCTTTGGCGGTTTCCTTGCAAACCAGCCAGCTCCACCTCCACTGTTCACTCTGGACGAGGAAGAGGAGGACGAGAACGAGGAGATCTCCGATATGGAGAAGCTGCGTTACAAGTACGAGTACGAGATCAAGGCCGCTATTGATTCAACACCGGTGCTGTCCGAGGTAGCGAAGATAATGGCAACGCCTTACAGCACTGGAGCATTTGGATATGGGGGCATCTTGCCCGATTACGCCGTATACGGCGCGTACCCTTTGGCGACGCCTGTTAATCTTGGAAGATACCCTTTTGATCCTTCGACTCCCGGGGCAACAGCGAACATGTTTGCAGCAGCAGCAATGATGCCTTCATCATCAGTAGCTACATCGTCCTCGATCTCGGCGGCAATGACATCTGGAGCGTCATCGAACTACCCTGTCGTCCATACCGCGGCCTTGCCACCCTCGCACCATCACCAGGAGTACTTGGAGTTTACTCTTGGAAGCATGCTGCCCAACATTCCTATTTAGAAGATGTTTATCTCGACCTGATCTACATGGATCGCTGTGTATAGAACCAAAACCATTTCAACTCTATTATTAATCTTCGTTGACAAAAAAAATAAAAAATAAATAAAATAGCGCCTGTATTGCACATCATTGTATGACAAAAAGAATCGAAAAGCAGGTCGTCTCACGCTCAAACAGTCGTTCTAAAACGCGAGCCCTGAATTTGCAGGCCGCCCTGAACGTGTGTTCTGTTTACGCGTTTCGCGAGGAGGGGGGAAGTGTGACTGCACAGGACGTTTATTTTCTGGGCCCTCTCTTCAACACGCGCGCCCTCCGCTGATAAACACACGCACGGCTCATGCTATCCCTCTTGCTCTCTCGTTCGATTCCTCCTTCAATCTTCCTCACTTTTTTTTTTTTTTTTGTGTGCCTCGACCAGATTAAACAGCAGTAGAACATGACCTCAGATACTCGGCCGGTCAAGTCGCCCGTGCGGACCAAGGGATCGAACGGCCAGCCAGCGATGACTCAGAAGTCGCTCCTTTCATTCTTCAAGACAGGAGCCCCTGTCCCGGCCCCCAGCACCAACGCTGATTCGACACCGGCGCAGGTTCTCATAGCAGAGACAGCCAGGACATCATCAGACCTACTCCGGACACCTGTCAAGACGAATGGCGGCGGTAGGAATTCGCTCTCATTGGACTCCCCGCCTTTGTTCTCGACAGATGAAGCTGTTTTGAGGAACACCAAGCGCAAAACCATGGACTTTGAAGAGTCCAGTCCACTGCCAAGCGAGGAGACCCGGTCTGTTAAGAAGTTTGCTGCTGCGGTCGAAAAGCTATCTCTCCATACCCCTGTTCGGAAACTGCTGCTGGATGATCTTGACAATGATGAAGACGACCAACCCCTGGGCGCAAGAAGATCGGTACGTTGTCTTGTTTGGCTTGTCAATCTGATTATATACTATGCTTGGAAAAAAAGCACTATTGCTAAAAGAAAAGCGCCCTACGCCCTTTGTATTCTCTAGAGCCGTGGTCTCAGAAGAGTCAAGTACCAGATTTCGGATGACGAGGATGATGGCGACAACGATGTCAACCGTGCTAGTTCAGGAGCAACCAAACCACGCAGGAAGTCAAAGGCAGCCAACGACGACGACGACGGAGATTCCGAATATGAAGCATCGCCCGCTGTGCTAGAAGACGATTTTATGGATATCGGTATGGAAAACGTAGTGTGCTAGCCATCTTGCACACGGATGATTCATGGCTGCAGGAATATTTGTAGGGACTAATCATATGTTCCCTTGGATCATGATAGATGAGACAGACTTGAATGATATTCTTCTAGAAGAGGAAGAGGAACAAGGCGCCCCACCATCTCCTCTCCGCCACAAAAGCACCGCAGCCAAGACTCCACCGGTACTACCACCGGCAAAGCTAGCGTTGGCTAGTGTTTTCAGTGTATGGCTATTGTATCATCAGGAAGCAGCATGTTCATGAGCACTGATAGAGAATAGTGACACTGACCATGACTTCAAACGAAACAAATAATAATAATAATAATAGAGAAGTGCGGCGCCACTGAGCAAACCAGCTGCTCCTCGTCCGGCGTTGATGCTGAAGGATGACAAGAAGAGAGAGCGCGTTGCCAAATTTGAAGAGGCTAATAGCGGACGATACAAGTGGCTTTTGGATATCAAGGACGGAGATGGCAACCCGATTGGTATGCTCTGCTCAGGACATGGCAATCTGGGTCTACAGTGAGCAATACACTTATTAACATCTGGTATTTTATACTGAACAATGAACGTGAACTAGGCTCGCCCGACTACGACCCCAGGACACTTTACATTCCTAAATCAGCATGGGAAAAGTTCACTGATTTTGAGCGGCAATTTTGGGAGATCAAGGGACAGAATTTTGATTCGGTCGTGTTTTTCAAGAAGGGCAAATTCTACGAGCTGTATGAGAACGACGCTGATATTGGGCACCAGCAGTTTGACCTCAAGTTGACCGATCGAACGAACATGCGGATGGTTGGTGTGCCCGAGTCGAGTTTTGAGTATTGGGCAGCACAGTTCATTGCCAAGGGCTACAAAATTGCGAGGGTGGACCAGATGGAGACCGCTCTTGGGAAGGCCATGCGTGAGCGTGATGGAGCAATAAAGAAGTCGGCGGTACAAAAAGTCATTCGCCGCGAGCTGCACTCGATTTTAACCGCAGGGACACTGACAGACTCGGGACTGTTGACGAACGAGATGGCGACGTATTGCATGGCTATCAAGGAGCTCGTCCGACCGGGAGCGGAGCATTTGCCGACACAGTTTGGAGTCGCTTTTGTCGACACATCGACCGCAGAGTTCAACTTGGCGACATTTTACGACGACATGGACCGCACCAAATTTGAAACGCTGATTACACAAATCAAGCCTAAAGAGATTGTCGTGGAGAAGGGTGGATTGAGCGTGAGGAGCACCCGGATTCTGAAGAACAGTCTTGGCGCGAACACGATATGGAACCATCTGCAACCTGAATCCCAATTCTGGAATGCTCTCGATACTGCGGACGAGCTCCGGATCCGCGCATACTTTGGGGAGGACGTTCCAGGGACAGTCGCCACCGGTTAGTAATTTACAACGATTGCTGAATGCCATGTATCCGCTTGTCATGGCACTCATACTGATGGCCTTTGATTTTTTTTTTTTTTTTTTTTTTCACTAGACTGCTGGCCACCTGCTTTGCAAAAGATGAAGGATTACGGTGCCGTTATGAGTGCTTTGGGCGGTTTGGTCTGGTATTTGAGATCGGTAAGTGGTATTGCCGTTCATGGATTCAAAAGTGTCAGCAGTAACCTCATATCAAACTGATACTAATCTTGTTTAATCACCTCTTATTTGCATCTTACAGCTCAAACTGGAAACAGAGCTGCTGTCCTTCAAGAACTTTCACATTTACGACCCTGTTCGGCAGGCGTCGACTTTGATCCTGGATGGTCAGACCCTGTCAAACCTGGAGGTTTTCCAGAACAACAGCGATGGTACCGATACGGGAACTGTCCTGAAGCTTCTCAATAGATGCGTCACTCCTTTCGGCAAACGTCTTTTCCGACGCTGGCTCTGCCATCCACTGAGGTCCATTCCAGCTATGAACGCAAGACTGGATGCAGTCGAGGATTTGATGCGTGTCCCAGGGTTTTTGGAGCTCTTTGAGGAGAAATCCGCCAGATTCCCAGATCTGGAGCGCATCGTGAGCCGTATCCACGCTGGTTCCTGCAAGATCTCTGAATTTCTTGTTGTCCTTTCAACATTCAGGGTACTGATGGTACGGATCCATGGTTGATATCTGCTCATTTACAAGTAATGCGATGTTGCGTATAAAGCACTCCCCACTCACCACTATCCATTTTCTGGTCTTATAGGATACTGCACAGCGATTGGGCTCGTATACTGAGCAGTTTAAGTCCAGGAAGCTGGAATCAATTCTTGCCGAGCTACCGGACTTGACAGTGCATTTGGAGTATTTTGACAAGGCCTTCGACCATGAAGTAGCCGCGACTGAAGGGAACGTCATCCCCTACCCAGGTTTTGCAGAGGACTACGATGCCAACAACGAGACGCTCAAACAACTCGACTCTGAGTTTGCTCAACATCTCGAAAAGGCCAAGCGCGACCTGAAGTAAGTCGAAGCTCATGAATATGACCAGGCCATTCTTGAGGCTGCAATGGTCCGCAATACTGATTATTTTGGTATATTTTTCGATAATGATGATGAATAGGACTACGAAAGTGATATACAAGGACTTGGGCAAGGAGATTTACCAGCTTGAGGTGTCCAACAAGGTGGCCGCGCCCAAGAACTGGAAAAAGATGTCGGGAACAAGCGTAAGGACCCTTCTATTCCGCTTCTTGCTGGTGCAACGCAGCAGTTGGTGGACGCGTTTTCATAACCATTTATGGGTTTCGTTTCTTCTACTAGACTCTCAGCCGATACTACAACCCCGAGTTAATCTCATTGGTGACTCGACTTCAGGAAGCCCGAGAGACCAAGAGCGCTATCATGAAGGAGCTCCGGGGTCGTCTCTATGCCAAGTTTGACGAGAACTACAAGGATTGGCTGAAAGCTGTCCATATCATTGCAGAGATCGATTGTCTCGGATCGCTCTCAAAGAGCAGCTCTGCCTTGGGCTGTAAGTTCAAAGGCCACAGCACAACGCTTACTATGAACTACTGTCAATCAGAACATGAGCTAATCAACCCCTCTCTTTGTTCCTTTGATTTTTCAGCACCGGCTTGCCGACCAGAGTTCGTTGAAAGCGAGACGTCAGTCCTGGAGCTGGAGTCGTTGCGACATCCCTGCGTGATTCCTGGTATCGCGTCTGATTTTATTCCCAACGACACTGTGCTTGGAGGACAGAGCCCCAACCTGATCCTGTTGACTGGACCTAACATGGGTGGTAAATCGACATTGCTTCGACAGGTAAGCATGGATATCTTGTCTGCTCAGGCAACAACATATGAGGAGGAGATGAAAACACCGATACTAATAAATGACCGGCTTCTCTATGGATACAGACATGCGTGGCAATCATCATGGCTCAGCTGGGATGCTATGTACCAGCAGAAAAGTGCAGGCTGACGCCGTTTGATCGCATCTTTACAAGGATCGGAGCCAACGACAATATTCTGGCTGGCCAGTCCACGTTCATGGTTGAACTGTCCGAGACATCGAAGATCCTTGCCGAGGCAACAGAGCGGTCTATGGTGATTCTGGATGAGCTGGGACGAGGCACGAGCACGTTTGATGGATATGCGATTGCATACTCTGTCCTACATGAGCTATCTACGAGGGTTGGATGTCTGGGCCTATTCTCTACACATTATGGTACCCTGACAGATGAATTCGAGCGAGACCCTAACGTGGCACTGAAGCATATGGCATGCCAGGTGGACCAGGCTAACCGAGAGGTGACTTTCCTGTACAAGCTGATCGAGGGCGTGTGCGAGAAGTCTTATGGCATGAACGTCGCGCATATGGCAGGCGTTCCTCGAAATATTGTGGATCGGGCGGAGCAGATGGCAGAAGCGTTTGAGCTCAAGCAAGAGACGAAGCTGGAGGAGGAGATGCGGACGACGCGAGGCAGCAAGAATGTTGGGCAGGGCATAATTATGGACCTGGCGTATCTGCTCAGCCGGGTCACCGGCCAGGGTCAGAAGGATAGTGAGGAGATGGAGGAGAATTCTGCAGCGCCTGGTGACCGAGAGTTGTCACGGAAAGCCGGCTGCCGACGATTAACCAAGGACCAGGAAACGAAGGTTCTGGGGCGCATCTTTGAGGCCATGGCCAATCTATAATAAACAAACACCGCAGCGCGGGTCGCCGTATGTATGTATGTATGTATTTATTCGGTATTTTATTAAAGAACCTCTGCCAAGAAGAGATGCGATGATGAAGGGTTATCAAAAAAGATCGTTTTTGGGAGATGTTTGAAGGGTTGGAGATATCAGCTGTGATATCCCAGCTTGTCCCTCCGTCCCGCAATCAAAATCCCGCCTCTGTTGCTCTCCCCTTCTTAACCTACTAACATCCATATTTTGTTCGCTGCGAAGGTAACGCGCCATCGGAGGGCGACGGTGGCCACCCCCCAGCGGATGGGGATAAATAAACGATCTGTTAATGAGAATAAACATGGTATTATCGAGTGCTTGAATGAATGAAAAAAGGCAACTTCTGAAAAGCTGGACTAGTCCCTCGACTGCTGCTGATACCAGGGCACTCGTTCTTCGCATTCTTAAACGGATCATCAGCGAATCCACACGCGCACACACTGCTCGAGTCCCCCATAAAAAGGGTCCGTGTGAGTCCTTTTTACAGGGGAAAAAAAAAAAAAAAAAAGCAGGGCAGATCAAAAGTAGATCTGGGTCCCTTTCCTTCGCCTCATGGTCTCCCTTCGTGTCTGCTATCTCGACTGCTCCTCGGCGCCGGCGCACAGGGGATCTCGCTCTTTCTCTATTATTGAAGCCGTTTAGCCAAGGAGCTATAAGGAGATTAAGCGTTCGCTGACGGGACCTTAGACGCCGGCTTCACATGCAGGCAAGCTCTTCGATCGAGTCCTACAGGCCGCCGTAGAACGTATAAAAGGGCCCTTCACTACCTGTTAATAAAGCACTCATTCTTACCCAGATTTCCTGACTTGAGTTACTGTTTCAGCCATCATAGCCACCGCCTGCGACGTCGTCTCTGAAAGCAGAGAGCCTGTGTGGAAAAAAAGGGAGCAGGTGGAGGCATATAGCCATTTTACATGCTGCATTAGATCCAGCAGCGAGTCCTATAATTTACTTAAGCCACGGAGTGACATATAATGTTCTCGGTGGATTATTTATTGAAGATCTCTCTCTTGTTCTCATTGACCTCTGGATCACATTATACTTCGCAGGGGTATTCCCCAAACCGCGGAATCCTTCTGAGGATATCATTGCCGTAGGGGAACAAATAGTCATAGATGAGGCCACAATGATCCACACACACATACTCTCTGTCTGTCTCTATCACCGCCGCCTACCACCCATCCTACTCTGAAATCCTTACAACATACCCAAGTGCGAAAAGTGCAAGAAAAACCACGACCGCCGGACCTATTACGCACGCCCGAAAAAGGTATTTCATGCCACCGTGTCGTTCGCTCATTTCGCACTGCAACAGCCACAGTGAGTGCTTAGTCTAAGGCATGCTCATCTCATTCTTCCTTTTTTCTTTTGTTTGCACCTTACGAACCCAGCGGCGCTCCATCAAGTGCAATCCTTGAGAATGGCCAGTCGAAAATCTCTTTTTTGATTGCTCGTGCATCCCGAGCCAAGCGCAAGAAGACTGAACGTCCCGGAGGAGAAGAGGGAGAAGAGGAGCTGCTGTTGCACGGTAGTAAAGGGTCCTTCGACCACCCCTGACCCATTGATCGACTGCCACAACTCCATTTGATTTTTATATATTTTTTTCCCCTCCTCAGTTGCCTTTCCCCTGAATTTTTACTTTTTTCGCGACGCGCAAATCCTTGACACAAACCGCAACACCCTCACCATCCACGGTCTTTCATTACTCTGCTCGTTCGACTGTCGCCTCTGCTCGTCCCACTTAAGCCGCCCAACACGCTCTCGCCGCGACCCTCGCCTCCCCTGCTGTCGACCCCATGGCAATGGAGATCGACAACATGCGCCTCGAGATCAACGCGCTCCGCAAAACCGTGAACAAGTTCCGCTCCGGTTCTTACTCCCGGAGCAAGCCCCCTCTCGACGCCGCTGAGCGTACACGTTGCATCCGTGAAAATAGATGCTTCCGCTGCCGCGAGGTGGGACACGTCGTACCCAACTGCCCTGAGAATGAGCGCGACGGTCGCGCCTTCAATAACATAACCGAGGCCTCAACCCATGCTGCTTGAACATCCATTCACTGAAAAACACGACTCACCGTTCCTATCCCTCGCGACAATATCTTCATTCCAGAACACCGATCTCATCCCATTTATGCCGGGGACGCCATCGGTGGGCACTAGCGACAACGTTAATAACAGCAGCATTGACGACGATATCTGCATCAACGATAACCCGCACCAGCCTGGCCACGCTGGTCAGCCCATCCAGTTTAGCGGCCATCAACAACATCCGTCGTTCATATTCGCCTCTGTCAATTCTGGCCCATTCGCGTTCTGAAGAATCTCGAATTCCAGCGTAAACAAAAATGAGGCTGGCAAAGACGACCCAGAGGGCACCATCCGGCGTCTTAGGGACAGGATCCTCGCTAATGGTGGTGTATTCACCCTATTGTCCTGCTTATTGAAAGTACCCCATCCCCATTTCTCTGAATCTGCCACCACTCGGTGCCGATTCTTTATTAAGAGCATGGTGTCTCTGAGATTACCTCCTAGTATATAAGGCACGACTTGCCCATTGTTAAAAGGGTATCTCGTTTTTCACAGATATCATTCCCACATACTCCTCATTTTTTTCCAAAAAAAAAAAAAAAAAAAAAAGTTACACCCTTGCACACACATCCGTCCTTTTTTTTTTTTTTTTTTTTTTTTCGCCACGACTCACCACTTTCAATGACTCGTGCCACAAAATCTAAGCGCACCCCCGCTGTTTCCGCTCGCAGCCGTTCATCGACTCCAGAGTGTACTGATAACCACGCTAATAGTAGCAACACGGCCTCAATCGTCAGTTCCACTCCAGCATTGGCTTCTACAGTACTTCCTGTCGACGACAATGAGATGACCGACGCACTCCCTGTCGTTCGCCTCTGACCGACTCCAACCATGGTCCCATTGGGTTCTCTTGCCGTACTGCGCCAAGCCAACCCTAGTCGCGAGGCACTCCTCGGTATCAGTCAAACCGTACGCAGTATTGTCGATTCCAACAAGGACATGTGCCGCTTTCACTTATACCTCATGTCCCTCGAGACTGAGGATATCTCGCATTCGCGCACAGCGGATCTTCAATCCGTGTCGTCGGCTCTTCTCGCCAACTACCTGACCGAGGGCAAGACTGCTATTGTTGGTTTTCAAACCACGATTGACCAGCAGAAGATGACGCTCACTGCCATACTTGATGCTATTCAGCGCCTTGATGGACTCAAGCAACCTCCACCCTTCACCAAGCTATCCTCTTTCAAGCGGGAACAGCAAAGACGAATTTGCTCTACCCCAGGATATTGCCCAGTTCGGAGCAGAGGGCGCACCGACGAATGCGATCGAATATTTCGATGCATTTATCCGCAAGTCTCCGCAACGGCTCCTTACGATCCCTTAGTGTCAATCGATCCAAGTGCTTGTTGACCCTCAACTAGAACAAGGTGACCCCCCGCGCCTTTGCTAGGTAAAGACTCTGATCTGACAATAATGACCAAGGAGGACCACGAACAGTACCCCTTGGAGAATAGAGCATTCCCGCACAGGGGTCAAGAAAAAATCCCCTTTGAGCTGATAAACCTCTAACTCGGCTGTGTTGTTGTTGTTATCAGTCCTCAGTAGACAGTGGCTGCATTCCCGAGAGAGGCACCTGTGGAACCAAGTGATCCCTTTAGTATCCAACAGTAAGTGACTCTTCTCCTTTGTTGTTTGTTATCCTTGTCATAGTGTTACACTACCGAAAATAATGAGTAAATGTTTTGGTATAAGTGCCGATAAAATTTTATGCTTCGATGTCCAAGACCACTAGTGCTGTGCATGTTCGCCAGTAATATCATGGTCCATTCAGCATCGCGTGGAATGACTACCAGGTGTGTCTAATACAGCGAGCCATATATATCTCAAATTAAAAATTATGACGTCATCTACTCATTATTACCCCCATGCACTTTTGAACCTCGTTTTGCTCTTTCTTCTCCACTTCAGCTACCCACACACTCCTACTACCATAATATCGACTACCTTACGCCACGACTTTAAATCCTACATGAAGAAGCTCAATCATAACATTGAACAGGGGATCATTGCTGACCTCCGGTTGAAAATGACCACACGAGCCATTGGCAAGAGACGTGGAGTATCACAGGCCAAGGTCTCTCAGCTCGCGCAGACCATCAAGGAGACCCTTCCGCCGCGAAAATCCGGCCGCCCTGGGAAAGTATCCGAGGCAACCAAACGTTTGATGGTTCGAGAAATCACAAATGGTACACTTCAAACCGCTGTAGACGTGCAGGAACGGCTTAGTAGAGACTTTGCGACGGACTTGACGGCAGCAAGAGTTCGACAGATCTTGAGACAGGAGGGTCTGACCGCCGTGCGCAAACGGCGAAGGCCAAAACTTACCTCCAAGCACAAGGCGGAGCGCATGGATTTCGTGCGAAAGTACGAGCACTGGACAATCGATGATTGGAAACGAGTCGTTTGGTCCGACGAGACTAGGGTCAACCGCATTGGGTCCGATGGAGTCCTGTGGGTCTGGAAAAAGGGAGGTGACAAGTCTCTGGACGATCGGCTTGTCCAGGAGGAGGTCAAGTTCGGCGGCGGTTCCATCATGCTATGGGGGTGCATGACCTGGCATGGTGCTGGATTCATTTCCAGGATCGAGGGGATCATGGACGCCAGTCTCTATGTCGAAATCCTGGAGGAATGTCTCCCACTCGCCCAGCGCTGGTACAAGATCAAGCCTAAGGATATGATCTTTCAACAGGACAACGACTCGAAACACACTTCCAGCACTGCGATGAATTTCTTTAAGCAGCACAAGTACAATTTGTTGTTCTGGCCGCCCAACTCTCCTGACCTAAATCCGATCGAGCACTTCTGGGACTACGCAAAACGCCAGTTAGGCAAGTACCCGGTGCCTCCGAAGGGCATGATCGAACTATGGGAAAGATTTCAGGCGGAGTGGAACAAGATTCCCCCTTCTGTCTGCCAAGGCTTGATTGAGAGTATGCCCAGAAGGATCGAAGCTGTTAAGAATGCCAAGGGAGGCCACACTAGGTACTAAGCAGGCCATCAGTAAACTTGACATCGAAGATGAATAAAAAAAAATAAAAACCATGTCCATGGGAGAAATAATGAGTAAATTGAACAGTTTAAACTTAATTCTGTATACAACGCGCAATAATTTTCTCCGCATCTCCCAAATGCTGTAGATTACTTTTCATTGCACTGGCATGTTATCCTATAACTATCACCAGCTATCTAACCCGGGTTCGGAAACAACTGACAAATGTGCTACAAAAGTGAAAATCATTTACTCATTATTTTCGGTAGTGTATATACTTACCTTGAGCAGCCTTTCTGTATAGCGATCTTGGATTCCCCGAACTGAGAGAGCTCCCCCCAGTGTCTAGACAGTTTCTGTCGCCAGACCTCCATAATAAGCATCCTTTCTTCTTTTCCGTATATGACCTTTTGCTGAGAAAAAAAAACACCATGTTTACAGATTTGTCCTCCTCTATCGTCCTAGACCTACTACACCACACTGCCCAAGACTCTGACCTGCAAGGACGTGAAAGAGCTCTTTCTTCGACACTGCGACACACAGTCAACCGAATTGGAACTGTCACGTTCGCTTTTGGTCATGAAGCGCAAGCCTGGTGAATCCCACCAAGCGTATGGCAAGCGTATTGAGCGAGTGGTCAAGAATACGAGCACCGCGGACAAGACTCCGGCCATTGTTGCTCAGCTCAGCACCATCGTTTCTTGGACAACACTGTATTTTCATCGTCTCTGGCGTAATCAACGTCAGAGCATGCAGCACTTGAATATTTCAACACCAAAGAGGGCCTTGATTCGATCCGCGAATTCATTGCGGGTCTCAGGGAACTCTAACAGGATTAAGCGTTGGATCATAGGCCCTTGGCAACCAGCTTCATAAAGACCCCCTAGTTACCTGTTTAATAAGGCAATAGTTCTTACCCTCATCTTCCTGTCCTTGTGTTACTATTACATGGTAGCAAAGGTCCTCAATCCACTGCCCTGTTCCACAACTTCACCTGTACCGCCTTGTCCCTGAACAGTTTTTTTTTTTTTTTTTTTCAGAACCACTGCATTTCCCTGTTTCCTGCCCGCACTTTTTTTCCTGATTTTTTTCCTGATCCACCAATCACAATCCACCCTGGCCGACCCTTTTTTTCGTACCTCACTATGAATGAACCTACCCCCACTTCCGCCCCTGCCCCTGTCTAGGTCCTATTACCCTCCTACAGGTACCCATCCCTCGTTGCCTTCAACGGAGTGAGGGATGGCTTCGCTTGCGAGGCATGGCTAACTACTGTTCGCCGTTTTTTCGTTAGTGCCCGCATCAGCGAAGAGGCGCGCATGGTCACGGCTGTTGCGTACCTCGGCCCCACCGGCCTCCTCTGGTGGGACGGCTTACAAGCGTCAGACACGACGCCCTGGCTCCGCTTCGAGGAACTTTTCCGAGCAGAGTTCCGCCCTGCCGGATTCTACGATCATGTCCGAACTCTCCTCTTCGGAATTAAGATGACCGACACTGTTGCTGACTATGTCAGTCGTACTCGCCGCTACCTGGCCATCCTGTGCACCAACGAGACCCGCCCAGAGACTCGTATCATGCTTGAGGATTCCGCCAAGCCGTGCTTCTCGGCGGGCGCTCTGTTGGCCCTGCGCCAGATGTTGATGAGTGTGATAGTATCCTAGGCTAACCTTCTGCTTAGCCCTCAACCACGCCCCCATCACCGCGCCTCCACCACTGCACCCCCTGTATATTAGTATAAATACCTCTATCTCTCTGTATAATAAAGATCATCCGTTCTAGCCCTTGTGTCAGGAACAGACTTGGAAGAGTGGGATATGTGTTATGGAGGAGACAGACAGTGGACAAGGTAAGGAAGAAATGTATTGCAGACTGAGGTTATATGCTATGGATTCTATGGCTCTATTTATGTGTTTCTAGGATTCTTGGTCAGGGTACTCGGATGGCTACTACGAGACGCGAGGTATATTTGCTAGGAATAGCACAAAGGTATGGATCAGGTGCAATGATTCTAGACGGGCCGGACAATGGTTCTAGGCGGGCCGGATAATGGCAATATCAATAAAGATACTTCGTTGAACATATGTTGATCGAGCATACGGTGGCAGAGGTACGCGTGCAAGCGCGTGAGCGCGTAGAAGCAGTCACGAATCAATATGAGCAATTGTGTGCGCAGCTCAACTGTCGCTCTGCACCACACGCTATGGTGCTATCCGTGACACCTTGTCTCTTGTCCCCTGCCTCTCGTGTTCCTACCTCGTGTCCTCTCGTTCCTGCACTTGTTCCTTCCTTCGTTTTGTTGCTATTACAATGAGCCTCGCCATCAACAGCTGCAGCCCAGTGTGTCGCGTGCCACGACACGATCGATCGATACTTGGCAAGTGATCGGTCGACTCTTGGCAACGCGTACGACCGTTACACGAAGGCAATGAGAAACATATATATATGTCCGAGATTTGTATCTCTGTGATTGGACGGTGGTCACATGCACAAGACCAGAGGACTTCGGGCTCTTCTAGAAAAGCCTAGGAGTCCTGTTATCCTAGGTGGATACCCACCTACAGCCAGATCCATCCAGAACACTCTCTTTATTAGTAAGACCCAGCTTAGTAATACTCAAGCTGTAGACAACTATAAAAGGACGCGCCCAGTCTAGCTAGTTAGTCAGTCTTGTCTAGTCCTAGTCCCTGTCATAAAGTTCCCTGTCTCCAGTATCCTCTTGTCCCAAGACTCACCTTGTCAGCTCTTCCACACAAAACTCTTACAATATATATCCCGTAGTTCTGTATCTTTTATTCCTTATCTAGCAACTTCAATATATCTACGCTTTCTTGACCCTGTTTCCCAAACTGCATCTCCTCCCCCTTGTTCTGTCCTGCCACGCTTAAGAAGGTCACCTTGACTCTGAATAAGCATAGGTTCGTGACACAGTGTCTATTCATGAGATGAGCCAGACTACCGAGCAGTTTGACACTACACTACCGAAAATAATGAGTAAATGTTTTGGTAGAAGTGCCGATATAATTCCGTGCTTCGATATCGAAGACCACTGGCGCTATGCAAGTTTGACATGAATATCATGGGCCATTCAGCATTGTGTGAAATGATTACCAGGTCTGTCTAATGCAGCGAATGATATATATCTCAATTTAAAAATTATGACGTCATTTACTCATTATTACCCCCATGCACTTTGGAACTTAGATTTGCTCTTTCTTCTCCACTTCGGCCACCCACACACTCCTACTAGCAACATATTGACTACCTTACGCCACAATTCTGAATCCCACATGAAGAAGCTCAATCATTACACTGAACAGGGGATCATTGCCGACCTTCGGTTGAAAATGACCACACGAGCCATTGCCAAGAGACGTGGAGTATCACAGGCCAAGGTTTCCCAGCTGGCGCAAACCATCAAGGAGAGTCTCCCGCCACGAAAAGCAGGCCGTCCCGGGAAAGTATCCGAGGCAACCAAGCGTTTAATGGTTCGAGAGATTACAAACTGTAATAGCTTTAGTGTGATAGTATCCTAGGCTAACCTTCTGCTTAGCCCTCAACCACGCCCCCATCACCGCGCCTCCACCACTGCGCCCCCTGTATATTAGTATAAATACCTCTATCTCTCTGTATAATAAAGATCATCCGTTCTAGCCCTTGTCTCTTGTCCCCTGCCTCTCGTGTTCCTACCTCGTGTCCTCTTGTTCCTGCACTTGTTCCTTCCTTCGTTTTGTTGCTATTACATGGTAGCAAAGATAACATCAATCCCCCCTCTGCCCTGCTTTTCCTCTCTTTTCTTTTCTTGATTCATCCTTTTTTTTTTTTTTTTTTTTTTTTTAAAGTTTGATTTTTTTCCACCGTCTCTTTCACTCACACTATCATTATGTCTGACCAACTCGATTCCCTTCTTGACGGCATTCCCACCGACCGCCAGATTGCCATACGCAACTTTTTCGACGCTATACCGATCTCTGCGTCTGTACCCACTCCCGCCCCTGCTCCGGCCGAGCCCACCGAGCGCGAGCTGGAGGCTGATCGCCGTGACCTTGCCCGTACTCTGGCCCAAGTCCTCAAACCCCAGCGCCCTACCCCCTACTCCGGTGCGATTGATGCAGATGCATGCATTAACTTTATCGACAACCAAAAAGAGTACTTCACCGTTGTCAAGCTTGGTCTGGCCGAATGGGTTCAGTACACGGCACTTAATCTGATCGACGATGCCAAGTCCTGGTGGCGCTCTTCGGGCCTGACTATCCGCACTCCTTGGGACGAGTTTGAGACCGACTTTCTCACCTTTCACACTCCTCCCAATGCCGTCGCCGCTGCCCGTGAGGCCCTCGAGTCGCTTAAACAAGGAAAACGATCGGTCGCGCTTTATACTCATGAGTTTCGTCGATTGCTCCGCCGTGTTCCCACCCTTGATAAAGGCACGGCCCTGCACTGGTTTGTTAAAGGTCTTGAGCCAGATACCAGCAAGGAAGTCAAGCTTCGTCAATGTGCTACCTTGGAGATTGCCATCAGCCAGGCTACCTTGATCCACTCCATCCTTTTCCCCAATGGCCCTACCGTCGCCCCCACCCCCAAGCACGACCCTAACGCCATGGACATTGACAATCTCCATGTTGCCATCCACAACCTCACCACACAGGTCAATTACCTGTCCCGCAGCAACGGCTTCGGCAACACCAACAACACTTCTCGCCCTCCCAAGCTCACCCCTGAAGAGAAGGCCTACCTCATCGCCAACAAGGGCTGCTTCCGCTGCCGCAAGCTTGGTCATATGGCAAACCAGTGTCGCACTTTTCCAAGCCAGCAACAGCCGCGTCAGGTCAACAACGTCGAAGTTGCCGCTAGCTCTTCTTCTGCACAGGCTTCTTCCCAGACCCAGTCGGGAAAAGCCAACAGCAACTAGAGAAAGTCCAGGTCCTAGTTGCTGCTGCTCCCTCCTCTGTTCTTCTGGACCAGGGGAGTAAGCGTCTTTCCTCAGATAAGTTTTCATTTTCCTTTTTAAATAAAAAATCTGCTGTGCCCCAAGACCTTGCTCCTCCCCCTTCTGTCGTTGCCGATACACCTGCTGACCCTCTGTCCCTGGTTCCCCCTTCTACGATGGTGCCCTTGCCCGCTGTATGCGCTTCCCCTGTCCCTCCTCCTCAAGAGGGGGCTGGATTGAGTGATACAGTGGACCTGGACCCACCTATATCTTTCTCCTCTCTAGCCCCCACGTCTGTCTTACCTGTTATGTCTATGCCTGAGTCTGTGTCTCCTCCTCTACTCGCCCCTGCCTGTGATACTGGGCCTGCTGTCTCTCCCTCACCTCTTCCATCGGACTGCGCCCCCACTATGTCTAAGAGCAAAATCCGTCGGTTACGAAAAAGGGGAATTGGAGTATCAACCTTTACTGTCGAACAAGCCAAAACAACTCTTCTTACATTCGTCTGCAATGTCAATGGCCATGCCGCTCGGATCCTCATCGATTGGTGGA